AGGGTCTGGCATAGCTTGCCCGTGCTGGGATCCCAGAGCTTGATGGTCTTATCCTGAGAGCTGGATGCTAGTAGTTGACTATCTGGTGAGAAGGCAACCATGTTAACCTCACCGGAATGACCCTCAAGGGTCAGGTGCAGCTCGCCCGTGCTGGGATCCCAGAGCTTAATAGTATTGTCCCAGGAACTGGATGCTAGCAGTTGACTGTCTGATGAGAAGGTGACCGACTGAACCCAATGGGAATGGCCCTCGATGGTCTGGTGCAGGTCGCCTGTGCTGGGATCCCAGAGCTTGATGGTATCGTCATAAGAGCCGGATGCCAGCAGTTGACCATTTGGTGAGAAGGCGACTGACCGAACTAATCCGGAATGGCCCTCCAGGGTCTGCAATTCCCCACTCCAAGTCTTCTCAACTTTAGGTAGTTGCCTCCAGGTTAGAAATTCGCTCTCAAATGATTTCCTAATTGCGGAGGTCTTTGGAGTAAACATAAGTCCTGAAGAGTAAAGCTGAAGGGATGCAGTATTAGCTATCTGTTGATTCTTAAGAGCGAACCGCCAAGCATCGTAAAGGAATTTGAGGATTTCAGGATCTTTATTGTTCTATGTTTTTCAGTATTTGTAAGTATAGTAAATCTGCTGACACTTACTTCTATGACTGACTGTAATACCCTGATAATTCTGACAGCTTCAGATATTATACCCAAAAGACTCATTGCTTCCATCCAGTGAAGGAAATGTACCTTAAGAAATGAGAAAGCTTGAATTAACTCATTGACTGGGTCATAGCTCTGTATCAAGTGATGCACCCAATACCGGCAGGCGTATTGCAGTTCCGGAGGTAGATGGGAACCAATAATATATTTGTTTATCTCACTCCGAAGTGTGGTATCATGATGTATGTTGCAGATATTCTTCCTTAAACCATAATGTTCACATTGCATAACTTTTAGACATTGAGTAGTGAGCTTCTGGTGCACCTCTTTCTCGCTAATCCAGAATGGATTCTCCTTTTTAACATTATCGAGAAGGAAGTCCCGAAAAGAAAGATGTAGAATCCTAACTGGTTGATCCAGTTCAGTAGGGACATCGAGAACCGAGTGGAGCAGATTCAAGCGAACTTGGATCTTATTGGCTTCCATGTTCACAAGTCGGGCGAGAGTATTTACCGACAAGGGAGTAACAAGAATGATAATGACGCCGACTATATCCTTGAATTCTTGTATTAACTGCCGTGACTCCTGTGCGTCCTGACCCTTGAGAAGCTGATTTAATACAGGCATATATGTACTATCCATCTTCGTCACATAGCTGGTCTGGTCAGTAAGGATTGCCCTAAGGCGCTCTTCGGGACACCAGCGCTCATCACTGATAAAGCGATACAGTGTGGTTGCAGAAATGAATAATGGCAGCGCTCTCTCAACTAGTGTCTTTATAGTCATATCTCCAGGCCAATCCGGTGGAAGTAAGCGCTTGCTCTTTAATTTTGAGAATCCATCCTCAAAATATAGTTTTATATCGCGCTCAATCACTGGCGTGGGGATCCTGTGAAGAATGAGGTCCTGGTAATCATCTGCAACAATCTGGAAACCAAGCCTGATTGGCAGCTCAGGTCTGCTGGTAAGCAGAAATCGTAGCTGTACTGAATTTGACTTCTGGACTTGTGGTAAGAGCCGAAGGATAACCTGAATATCATCTTCCTGGTCGCATTCATCCAGTGCATCGATCACAATCACCATAAGTTTATTTGGGCCCTGGTCAATTTCAAGGACTGGATGCAAGATGAGTTTCTCAAATTGCTCCCTAAGCACCCTTTCTGAAATGTCCGGGTCATCCTCAATTGCTCTTCGGATACTAGGGATCAGTTGAGGCATAGTGTTCCCTAAGTGTTTGGCTAGCGTTGAAAAGAGCCTTTTGGCATCCCCTCGATCCTGTTCACCCCTTTTAAAGAAGAAGCTCGCCCCAAGAAGATTTTGCCTTTTAAGATGGCCTGCAACGGTCCGAGAAATTGTTGACTTTCCAGTCCCAGCCATGCCATTTAGCCAAAATATACATTTTCCGTTAGGATCCTTGGTCCAGTTGTCAATGTCACGCAGTAATTCGACGCGGGTCCCTGGAAGGCATTCTGTGTGTTGGTTTTCGTAGTCATTAAATGCCGACCCTTTCGCAACTTGTAGTCGGCTCAGATCAACTTTCTGACTAAGTAGATCTGTTGTTATCCTGAATAAAGTAAGCTTTACGGAGCTAATTGAGGTACATACGTCTCACGTCTGGTCAATCTCCAAAGCTAAACTGAATAGTGTCTTGTACTCCATGATGTCATTGACAGCCTTGTCGACCTCTGTGCGTTTCAAGGGCCATTTCAAGGCATGAAATGTCCATCTTCTCCTTGACTTTTGCGTTGAGTCTGGGTCAATGCGCTCCCTCAGTTTTGTGAGGGTGGAAGAGCAGTACGCGACGTCGCTAAGTAATTTTCGTGAAGTGCTCAGTTCTGAGCCCTTTAATTCATGAAGAAGCTTATTAAGAGCTTCCAGTACGACTGCGAGGGCCTTAATACTCTGCTGCAGACGGATGATGTCTTCCTTTGCATCCTTCACTTTGCCGATGTAAGTACTACATATTTGAATAATGGTACCTGTTAGCTGGATGACTGCAATAACGCTTGCTGCACCAGAAAGCGGTTCCATATTTAGGAGTGAGAAGATTCGGACCGGTTTTGCTAATTGACGGGCAAGGCACGCGGAAGATTCTTTGGGGGTTGAAATGGAGTGATTTCACAGATTAGGCGGATAGGAAAGAGGGGCAGACGCTCGAAGCAAGGCTGAGCAAGACGAGGCACCTCATTCTTATTGGTGTTTAAAGCGCCAATCATCTCGCTCTACTGTTAGAAAATGTAGTAACCAATCATTCTAATGTATGAGTAATAAGGTCACTTGATATCCACAAAACACTGCGCACAGTAAGTAGTGTTTTGCCCTAGCATTTTGAGGAGCTCTCAGGAGGCTACCAAGACAACACACATCAGGGGACCAGTCCTTGCTCCCCGAATGTTAGACCGCGATTTGCAGCAAGACCAACCCCACCCTATGCCTACTTACCTTGTTCGTTGACTGCAGTTTTACCTACAGCTCACAGTAGCACCGTGGCTTGCCGCCTCCCAGCTTGAAGCCGCAAAGCGGTGTAAGTGCGTCCAGCACGGCTAGGTAGTCACTGTAAGTATCGTACCATATATACAACAGTCATTTTGTGTGCACCTACTTGCGTGGCTGGTGTCTTGGCAGTAGCCTTCAGAAAGACCAAGAGTATGCTAGGTGGTGAAACTAGTTTTACTCGCCCTTGTACAACTACCCGTTGAGATTGAATATTTGTAGTCTTATCCACCGAGATATTCAGGAAGCACCTCCTCCCACACCTCAGTATATGCCTTATCTAGAAGACTATAGGCAATTCAATGCCGATCAGGGAGTTGATGGGAAGGATTAGGTGCATGGATAAGGTCTCGCATCTCCTGTTGCTCCAAGGGATTAAGAGACCTCGCTCTATTGAAGCAAACCTGAGCAACTAACTTACTGGGTTCTAGTTAGTTTAGAATTAGGAAAACTTAGCAGTTTCTGTCTTTTTTCTCCTGATTCCTGATCTTGTTCCATAAGGGTCTGAGCTCTCGTGCATTTATTGACTTGCTCACTTTGACATGTGGTGTTTTGGCTCGGGTTTGAAGCGTCCAAGGCACTTAGCTTGGGGAACCTACCCGCGTGATTAAGAGGAATGATTAAGACATGATTTAGTATAGAAATATTACCTTTCTATTACCCTGGATTATCTCAAAGCATCTCTAAAGCTCGATCTCTGGATAGCAGACTTTTTAAATAGTATTTTGTGCCCACTTTGGTGGTGATTTAGACTTAAACTGAAGTAGTCAACAATGTCAATATATATATTCATAGATTATTGCCAGGCGTTACAGCATTACATTCACTAAAGAGAAGAATAGTGGCAGAATCAAAATACAGAGTACCTGATTGGCCAATTCTACCCCACCGCCTAAATGACTAAGCAAAGTTGAACCCTTGAAATGTAATTGTAACGGGAAAAAAAGTTGAAATTTCAATATTTCGTAATGAGTTTGCCGATTATGTTATTACACCAGCACTAACTAACTTAACCGGTAAGCGACCCGCATCCCAACGGCGTTTTCTACGCGCCTCAATTTCTTAGGTGATTCAAACATCAGCCATACCACCAAAAATGCCTAAATCCTCAAAATCACGCGTTGAGCAGGAAGGCAGGATCCTACTGGCTATATCGGCTTTAAAAAATGATGAAATTCATGGCATTAAGAAGACAGCTCAGATATTCAATATACCTTTTCTACCCTATGTGATTGCCTAAAAGGAGTCTTTTTTAAAGGTAATACTTGTGTTAATAGTTATAAATTGACTTCTAGTGAAGAGGAATCGCTTAAAGAATGGATTATATTACTAGATAAATATGGAGCATCTCCTTGGCCTGTATGTATATATGAGAAATGGCCAATATCCTGCTTTTAAAGTGTGATACTACTTCTCCCCCTACTACTGTAGACAAGAAATGGGTATATAACTTTACCAGTTATATACCTGAGCTTAAAACCTGCTTTGCACGTTGCTATAACTATCAGTGTGCTAAAGTAGAGAATCCTAAGGTCCTAGATACTTGATTTAAGCAGGTAAATAAGGCTATTCAGAAGTACAGCATAGATTCAAGCGATATCTATAATTTTAATAAAACAGGATTTACAATAGGCTTAATAGCTGCAGCCAAAGTTATTACTAGATCTGATATACCAGGCAAACTATTTTTATTACAGTCAGGGAACCAGGAATGGTTACTGCTATAGAATATATATATTCTAGTAGATAGGTTCTATCCCCTGTATTATTTTCAAAGATAAGGTATATATAGAGGTCTGTGTTATAGACATAGCGGGGTTAGGCTGAACCACTAAGCTAAAAAGACCAAAATATCGAACCTCTTGTTCGATATGCCTAACCACCACCTATATATGATGTTATCGTAACATCAGGCAGATAAAGCCATGTAGGCAGATAGAGTTCTGTCTACTGAATCAGCTCCTAGGCGCGCCCTATTTAAATGTTCTGGCTGTGGTATACAGGGTCATAAAATCACTTACTGCCCGAATCGATAGAAATATTTATTTTTATATAGAAGTCTAAATTCATGGTGTTTTGATCATTTTAATTTTTTATGTGGCGGTTGGGGTGCGGGTTGCTTACAGGTGCGGGTCGCTTACCGGTTACGTTAACTAGCGGGAACTGCCACCACCATAGAACAAGCCAACTATAGCGCTTCCAATACGTTCCTGTCTGCATTTGCTCGATACTGCCGTCAGCATGGTCTAGTGGCGACGGTGCTAAACCTTGGCCCAGTCGAGGACATTGGCGTACTCAGTCGACGCGAGGATCTTGCACAACTTTCCAATGTAGCATCTATTCAAAAACTCCGCGAAGGAGACGGGCTGGACGCGTTCCACCTGATTAAAATATAACTGAACGGGAAACCTTAACGGTTATTTAACATCGCTAATATTAGAAGTAGCCAAAGTAGTAGACGGAATACGCAAGAATAGCATTGATGAAGCATCTACACTCAATTGTGTATTGCCACGCAAGGGATAGACAGTCGGATAGGTACCCCAAAGTTTCTACAACCTTGACAAAAAAGGTCAAAGCACTGGAATAGACACTCTTTTGTCATTCAAATAGCTAGAAGTTATATACCCGTACAGAAAATAACAAAAACACTGAAAACAACATGCTACCAAACACCGACTAGGTCACACTATAAACAACATTTCCCATAGTTTTCATCAGCAATGTCTCTAATAAGAGAAAATCGAAACCGACTGCTTGGTATCGGCATCAGGAATCTTGACCTTAGCAGCCGCGGCATCAACAAGACCCAGCTCCCCCCGCTTCAAGTGTGGCACCATTCCATCGATGACATCAACACTGAAGTTGTCGATGTGGATCAAGTCCTCCGTACGAATCGCGTTTCTTGCCCTCATGGTAGTCAAAATGCGCTGTTCCTCAGGGGAAAGGGTTTGTTCGAGCAGGGCGGTGTTCTGCTTTTCAGTGCTGCTACCACTACCCTCGCCGGCCAACTTGGCGTGGAGAACTTCCCGCTGCTCCTTAGGCGCGGGGTGGAATGCCTTCATGCAGAAATCGATAGTTTGCGAGATCTCGGAGGGGGTGAGTTTATTGTTCACATCCGCTGTTCCTTGGATGACTAGAATCGTAGTGGTTAGTTGCATAGTGCAGGGAGGGGGAAAAGAATACATACTGGGTCTGAAAAGGGAGAAGGCCCGATCAAAGCTCTTCTCGTCCCAGTCACCGATAACAGGCTCATCTGGTACTGTAATCTGCTTCAAAGCACTCATGACGACAAGCAGGAAGCGGGTGTATCCTGTTCCGACCTTGCTGGAATGCCACCCGGCTGCGGCAGTCTCCTTGATATGGCCCTTCTTAGCGGCACAAATGGTCGTGGCGGCTGAGAGGCCAGCAGCCAGCGCTAAGTGGACTCCGGAGGAGAAATAAGGATCAATGAAGCATCCTGCGTCACCTGCAATACGGACATATGGAGTGGCATATGTGGAGGCGCTGTAGGACCAGTCGGATGCCGACTTGATGTCGGAGGTGAGCTCAGCACTTTCAAGAAGTTCCCAGGTCTCGGGGGTGGACTTGAGAGTATCTAGGTAGAAGCCCTTTGTAGATGGGTCGGCCATGGTCTTCTTCTTTTCAGTGGCGGCGGCCTGGTTCATTACAACACCGACGGAGGTCTTGTTGTTATGCAGAGGAATTGTCCAAACCCAACCGCTGGCGTCTGAAGAGACGGAATGATGGTGTTAGCAACTGATAAAAGAAGGCACCCCAACTGAATAACGAAAAGATAATTCCTACCTTGCAAAGCTTCGAAGAAGGGCTGACCCTCCCTCTGGGTACCTGGTGCATGGACCTTGGCGTTGTCCCAGTAGCCCCAGCTAGCGATGTTCTTCAATCCCTGGTTGTATTTACGATTCTTGAAGTATTTCGTGCTGACCAAGCCGGCACGACCACTGGCATCGACAAGATATTCAAACTTGATAGTACCAGAGCTACCGTCTTTACGGGACCAGGTAGCAGAGACTGGGCGCCCAGGGTTGGGAAGCTCAGGATCGGCCGGGGCATCTTTCTCATCCAAAGGCACAAACTCAATCGAGTTGACCTTGACACCATCAAAAACCTTGGCACCGCTCTTGCCGGCATGCTTGAACATCAGATCATCGGCTTCAGAGCGAACAACGTTCCAGGCATAGGCGTCGGGGCCACCAGCAGCCACAAAGTCCGTGTCTGGTCCGACATGTTAGAACTAAGATCTAAGTAACGACAAAGGATACAGATGCTTACAAGCTTCGGGAAACTGATTCAATCTGAAAGCAGCACCTCTCTGTATTATTGGCGTCAGTGACACTTTTCAAGAATAATTTGGGAAGGATAGGTGGATCCAACCTTCTGGACGAATCCATAGCTGTCAAAGGTTGAATCGAGGTCTATAAAACGAAGGAAGTGGCGCATCGACGGAAGCATACTCTCGCCGATGTGGTATCTGCCAACTCGTTAGCTTAGCTAGTTCCAATTAAAATTACCACACGATCTGCATACCTGGGGAACACATCTGCCTCCAACAGAACTGTGCTGATGCCCTCACGTGCTAGAACGGCAGCAGTGTATGAGCCTGCGGGCCCACCACCGACAACCAAGACGCTAGTTTCCTCGGGAATAGACATTTTGATGCAATGGACAGCAATGCGTAAGATATGATGAATGTTTTAGGAAGGTGATAACTGCTGAAAACCAAAAAGCATGGTGATTTTCTCACCCTTTTGTACTCCCATTTTGCCGCAAGATCTCATAGAGAATTGACTACAACAGTACAACATCAGATGTACATGCTCTGTACCTGGCACGACGTGTGCGAGGACGACGTACCTAGAACGAAGCTCCCGTCATTTTACACCCGAAGGATTGACCCACCAGGGCTAGTCCTCGTAATTAATTTAGTACCTTGTGCACTATGAGGCTTAGCATGCATCGCTTATTTCTAGCAGGATGTCATGCACCTTATGTAACAAAAACCCCGCTCACTCGACAGGAAGATACTTGATTTCCTTGTCCTTTCTTCAATTGGACGTCTCGACTGTAGATCACTGAATGAGAGCAGGTTTTAGTCTTTTCTGTCTCGCTGGCATGAAAACGCACTGCGTGGGGCGGGCGACAAACAATAGAGTGTCCTTCCTGTATTCACGTTACCATTTTGGCCTGCTTTTTTATTTTTTTTTTTTATTTTTTTTTTTCGGCTTTTGCGGTTTTTACGGGTTTTGGGCTACCAGTGCGCTGTTTAGGCACATTGTCTGCCCTTGCCTTTTTTTCCTATGGGAGATGTAGGGTAGGGTCTTGGATCTCTAATTCCTACATTCTCTCGGGCTTTGGAGACCCTGAATAGTCCGAGTTAGCCCTATCTATCTGTAAATCTGTCAGACGTAAAAAGCCCATACTCTGTAGTTTCTAAGAGAGCACATTAGCCCTCCAGCTTGCGTCAAGGTGACCTTTCATGCCACACCTGCCTTACTGAAAGGTTGTGGAATCGCCTTAATATATCCATCAGAACCACAAGAGAGCATAGCTACGGAGGCTAACAGTCTGGAGAGATTCTTACAATGACAAACGAAACCCCGTCCAAGGAGCCCAGCTGGGTGGCCTCTGACAGTGCCCTTGATACACCCAAACAGCCTTCCGAGGCGTCATCATCAACAGCGTCTGTCCAAAACCCTGATGAGGGCTTTTCCCTGGGTATGCGTGGTATTATGATCTTCGTGATCTTAGCTGTCCTAACCCTAATGGCGGCTCTCGATGGCACGTCAATATCTGTTGCTCTACCGGTATGTGAGAATACCCATTAAGAATAACGATCGCGACAAACTTTTCCTAACGTTATGTAGATTATCTCTAAGAAGCTCAATGGAACTGCTATCGAGGCATTTTGGAGTGGGACATCGTTCCTTCTGTCTTCAACGGGTAAATAGGCCTACTCTTCCTTAGGGATCTCTTCTCACATGGTCAAACTTGTAGTTTTTCAACCAAGCTTTGCATCTTTCTCCAATATCTTCGGTCGTCGACCTATGGTTCTGATAGCGATAGCTCTGTTTCTGGTTGGAGCTATCATTGCAGGAGTGTCCAAGAACTTCACAGAGCTACTCGTGGGCCGTTCCATCCAAGGTGTCGGAGGGGGAGGCATCATCGCTCTGACAGAAGTGATCGTGACCGATATTGTTCCCCTAAGACATCGTGGCCAATACTTTGGTGTCTTCAGTGGCATGTGGGCTGTGGGGTCCGTTTCGGGACCGATTATCGGCGGTGCATTCTCTGAATATGTTACCTGGGTTGGTTCAACCATTGTTCTATCTTCGTTTACTTGGAGCTAGCTAACTTAGGCTTATCCAGCGCTGGATTTTCTATATCAATTTCCCATTCATTGGAATCGGGATTGTGATGGTGTTGCTCTTCCTCAAGCTGAATACCATTCCTTCTTCATTGGTGGAAAAGCTCCGGCAGGTTGATTATATCGGTACTGTCATCTTCGTCGCTAGTATGACCTCGTTCTTGATTCCTCTTACATGGGGCGGCGTCTCGTACTCATGGAGTTCCTGGCATACACTCGTTCCCCTCATTGTCGGTTTTTCCGGATTATGCATCTTCGGCTATTACGAACATCGTTTTGCAGACGACCCCATGATTCCCCCTGTTATTTTCAAAAATAGGACCGCGACAGTCTCTTTCATCGGTAGTACTTTGCAAGGGCTGGTGCTCTGGTGTACCTTGTATTATCTACCGCTGTACTACGAGGCCGTCAAAGGTTATAGCCCTATCCTATCCGGCGTTGCTCTCTTTCCTGAGACATTTACAGTTGCTCCCAGTGCTATGGCAGTTGGGATCATATCTTCCAAAACTGGCAGCTATCGATGGGCTATCTGGCTGGGTTGGGCTCTGTCGACAATCGGTTGTGGAATTATTTGTGTGATCAAGGTGACTACCAATGTACCAGGATGGATCTTCCTGAACCTGGTTGCAGGCCTCGGACTGGGTTTTCTGTTCCCATCGCTGGGATTTGCAATCCAAGCATCATCGACAAATGAAAACCTGGCTACCGCAGTGGCAATGTTTAGTTTCTTCCGTGCCCTTGGCCAGGCCCTCGGTGTCGCTATTGGAGGTGCCATCTTCCAAAACCGAATGTACCAGAACTTGCTCAAGTACCCTGAATTTCTCTCGGTGGCTAGCGAATATAGTGCAGATTCCGCGGGCCTTGTGCAGATTATTAAATCTATGCCGGATGGCAGTAGCAAGTTGCACTTGAGAGAAGCGTATACTGATAGCCTGAGGATTGTTTGGGCTGTGTGTTGTGCCGTTTCGGCTGTTGGGTTTTGTCTTAGTCTTCTGACGGAGGCGTATGACCTCAATCAGGCTTTGGTTACCACGCAAGGCCTTCTAACGGAGAAAGATAAGCCGTCACAGGAAGAAGGGCGCATTGAGGATAGAAGTGTCACATAATGAAAGATTGACTCTATGCGCCTTCACACTGCTGGCAGAAACACTCAATTCCCCATTAGTGCTACTGGATTTTGCGTACTGTTTCGCCGTGCTAGTTCCGTCAAGCTACACGTTTACAATGAATGAGTCATGGAGGACACTTTCTTTTATTGCTTTCCCCTCTTCATCGTATTTTGTTTTCTTTTGGCCTTCTCTTAACAAAAATAAAACGTTCTATAAGGCTCATCCTCATTTTTCTCACGCTAAATGCCAGACTCAAGAGAACTTAGGACCAACAGCCTTAAACACCAAAGAAACCCCAATAACATCCACCTCAACATGATGGAAGTTCTCCCGCAATGCTCTAATAAAAGTCTCAGCGTCATCATCCCGGTTATCGAAAACCCCATCTGCAAGGCAGTGAGCCCGGACCCGCCTCCCAACAAAGTTATCTTCAACCCCTTTCCCCAGGACAGTTGCACCAGTCAAAACACCATCCTCAGTCATGCAGTTCTTAACATTCTCGAATACCACCGTCTTCCGACTAGCTGGTCCCGGCACACAGTGGACAACGTAGAACATCGAAACAGAGTCAAATTTCTCATACTTCTCTTGCGGAATGGGGAAGGGCTGGGTCACATCCCAGAGCACCTCTCCGGCATCAGGACGACCGGATCGAAGCTTTGCTACGCGTATAGCGTTCGGGCTTAGGTCCGAGAGGGTCAGGGTGACCTTTTCAGATATCTGGGCATGTTTAAGATAGTAGCCCGTGCCGACGCCGATGTCGAGGTGGTTGGTGCGGATATTGTTCTTGAAGAGTGGCAGGAGGTGCTTCTTTGTGGGGCAACGCCAGGCGAAGTAGTTCAGGAAGCCTAGGACGAAGAGGTCGTACACGTACATGATCCAGGATTCGTAGCAGGCGGCGCCACGCTGGGCCGCTTCTGTTGTCTTGACCTCGGTAATTTCTTTCGTCATGGTGGGTATGATAATGGCCTTGTTGCACGGCAGTAGTACTAGATGCGAGGGTTGCGCGACTGAGGATATTATGAGCTGTTGGAACTAAGGAGGGGAGATTGGAAAGTGAAAGGAAGATAGATGGTCTGGTTGCTGCCGCGGATTACGGGGTATTGTAAAGCTGATTTTGAAAACTGCCCGCGGCTTTTACTTCAGAGATGTCGGCTTATCTTTGGTTCCATGGAATATAGAGGTTTAATTTGTGTTTGACACGGAGGTGGCTTGACACTGTGATAGAACGCGGTGGAAATGCTACGGCAGCGGTGGATTGAAATCTCGGGCCTCACGGCATGGCGAATGGCCTCAATTACTTCGCCTCTTCTCTCTTTCGCTCTGACTTTCCCCCCATCATGTCGGCAAAAGCCTAAGTCCATGTTCAAGCACCGCCACTCATTAATCGTTGCTCTACTCCACTCCGTGTTTAGCACGAAGTAGGGGTAGCCTACAATCAGAGCAGTTACCCAATTTAAGGAAGTTGTCCCACCCTCTCCTACTCTAGCTGGCCAAGGAAACAGAGAACCGTTCAGCGAAAAATGTCGTTAGCGAGCTTTAACGAGAGTATCTTCAGTGACTACCTCGCGGGTCAGAAGGCCCTTCTACCTAACCTGCCTGATATCCAGAAGGTAACTCCGAGAGTCACTCGTGTACTAGGAGCCAATCCAGGACAAGTAGGTAGTGATATTTGCTTTCCCCATAACTCTCTTTCCTGTGCATTGCTGGGTACTAACACTCTGGAAACTCGAATGTAGTTCCAACTACAAGGAACAAACACATATATCGTCGGCAGCGGCAGAGAAAGGATTCTCGTTGACACCGCACAAGGAGAACCCGAATGGATCAAATTCATCTCTTCCGCTCTAGAGGCAGGCGGGTATAGAATCTCGCATGTCCTCCTTACGCATTGGCACTGGGACCACACAGGCGGTGTCCCCGACCTCATCACACTCTACCCAGAGCTCTCCTCAGCTATCTACAAGAACCACCCCGACAATGGCCAATTGCCGATTGAGGACGGACAGGTCTTCAAAGTAGAAGGTGCCACGGTAAGAGCAGTGCACACGCCAGGCCATGCCTATGATCACATGTGTTTCGTTCTTGAAGAGGAGAATGCCCTCTTCACGGGTGACAATGTGCTGGGTCATGGCTACACAGTGGTCGAGGATCTGGGTCTATTTACAACATCTTTGGACGTGATGGAAAACCAGAAGTGTAAAATTGGGTATCCTGCCCACGGTGATGTGATCGCGGATCTTCCGACAACGATCGCGCAGTATAAAGGGCAACAAGTACGACGGGAGAGGCAGATAATTATGGCGCTGAAACGGAGTAGAGAACAGCAAAAGCAAGAGGGTAGTAGACACAAAGGCAGTGCAACTGTTAGGGAAATTGTTATGGCAGTCTATGGCGATGTGACGGAGGAAGTGAGCAAGCTTGCCCTTGAGCCGTACACAAATGAGGTGTTGATGAAGCTGGCTCAGGATCAGAAGGTTGGATTCCAGTTCCAGAGAGGATCGAAGAGGTGGTTCCTCAGTGCTCTAGCTTGAATGATAAAGGCCTTTATAACTGTAACTTTGCATTCTATTAACGGTGTTTTTAATTTTCTTGTTAAGGAAAGCGGTTGTAGATCTGCTTACTTCCCAGGGCTTATAGGAACTTTCGAATACTAAAGATGTCGTCTCATAGAGCGCTAGTCAGCGTGCCTGGTAGGATTATGTGAGGGGAAATGACCAAAAGAACTATCACTAGGGTTTGCAGTTGGACATACATATATTTATGGTCCCTTCCATCCCTCCCCTTCTGATTCATTTCCCCCTTCCTTCTTTAGAATTGCCCGCCTTTCCTGGTTTTCCTGTATACCACGACTGACATTCGCAACATGTCGCAGAAGACAATCCTTATCACCGGTATTAATGGATACCTGGCTTCAAACACTGGTAGTGCTGTGTTGAAAGCAGGCCATATTCTTCGTGGCACTTGTCGCTCTCGCGAGAGAGTAACAGCCTTACTTGAAGGACCATGGAAGCAATATGCATCTCAAATTGAAATTGCTGTCGTACCAGATATTACTGAGACTAATGCCTTCGATGAAGCCGTCAAAGGTGAGGACACCCTCTGAGTAACTATAACGCCGAGAGCGAAATGGACTGAACGAACTCAGGTGTGTCGGCAATCATCCACATGGCTGCTCCGGTAATTAGCCCCGAGATCACCAAGGCGTCAACCCAGTTAATCGAACCCACAATCGCTGGAACACGAAACTTGTTGAACTCGGCCCTGAATTACGCCGGAAATCAGCTGGAGATATTTGTGTTCACCTCCTCCGCAGCGGCCTGTATCAAGCCCGGCGCTCAACCACCTTACGTTTATAATGATGATAGCTGGAACGTCACTCACCCGAAGATCGTGGAGAGAGAGGGTGATAATGTTTCTATATTCACTTCATACCCTGTCGCAAAAATCAGGGCGGAGAAGTACGTTTGGTCCCTATACGAAAAGAAGGTAAGTAGTCTTGATATCTCGTACAACGCAATAAGCATTATCTCTTTATATTATCTGACTATATTTTCTTCAGTTACCATTTGCCATTGCATCAATCTGCGGCTCCATAGCAACCGGACCGCCAATTCTCCTCCCCCAGTCTGAATCCGAAATCCCCTCTACCTGCAAAGCCGTTCTGGATGCTCTGCGTGGCAAGAAAGTACCCGGACCCCAAGACCACATTGCCCAAATCGCCGGCGCCGCACCGTACTCGGATATCCGTGACATTGCCAAAATATACCTCTGGTGCGCTGAGAACCCTAAACTGGCGGATGGACAGCGCTATCTGGTTGTTGCAGGCCATGGACCACAGCAGGCAATATACGACATCCTACGTGAAGCCTACCCGGAGCGCGCAGAGATCATCCCCAAAGGTGATCCAGCGTTTCGGTATAATAGGGACTGGACCTTTGATACGGATGGCGTGCAGTTCGACTCGAGCAAGGTGAAGAACCAAGTTAGGTTGGACTTTATTTCTTACAAGAAAACGATTCTAGATACGGCGGAAGCGTTGGCACCATTCTGGAGGTGAGGCCTCGTTGGTACCAACATATCATGCGATAGCCAATTACCTCTCCGACAATTCTATATAGTATCAGTTATGGCCCATTAATTATCTTCTATATTGCCCTCATGCTTCTCGAAATAATGCTCAATTCGTACAAGCAGCGTGATGGCCGTTAGAGGCTGAACGGGAGTACTTCATGATAGCGTATCATCCTATGCTTAGAGGTCATCAGAAATGGAATTCAGTAAGGTTACTCTGCGATTTGAGGGCGCCGTAGTATGACCCTAACCCTAGTGTAGCTCACTCCCAAGAGAGTGGACATGTGACGCGACATCGTCAGCTTCTGCTGCTCGGAAAAATCGGAATTGAAGAGGCAAAATCCGCTTCTCATCATGGTGATTCTCATTGGTCGCTGGGGTATAATATTCAGGAAAATATGCTTGTGTATCTAAGTATAGATGGTGAATTGGAAACATATTCGAACACACTGCTCGGAAACTCACGCCCCGTGCGGTCCAGACTCAATATCTCAATATCTGAAGTTTCACTAGTGAAGAGGGCGGGGCTGGGACGTCCTTTGCAATAGGGCCTTTGCTCGACGACGAATGACCAGGACTGAGTGTGTCGTTCTCTTCGTGTGAAGCACGACGTGTTAAACCTGGACCATCCAGTGCTCCGCCCCAATCCTTTCGTATCTATCACCTGCAGTAGCTTCGGGTTTTACCCCAGCATTCAGCCTCCATGAAATTAATACTGTAGTGCATCAGGTAGGACGTGTCGCGCATAGCATTGGGGTATTTATCTAGTTCTCTCCCAAGGACACATCAGGAGGCCAACTACTTCTTGGCCCTGTATAGGTCAGGCAATATTCCGTCTTCCCGTTGTTCCATACCCTTGTTGCTTCTCGGCGGCTTCACCTTTTCCAGAGTGTACGGCACCTAGCCCTATCATAGATATCTTTCTATTCTTTCATCATGGACACTCCTTCATGCTCCTCGACCGATATGGTCAACGACTTCGCAAATGACCTCACAACAAAGTTAGTGTTTTTCAGCAACGAGTTCCCTAATGATGATCTCAAGGATCTTTTCCGCCGGCTCCACAGACATAGCAAGGATAAGCGCTTCACATTGCTTGCTACTTTCTTGGAAAACTGTGCGAGGGTCCTTAGAGAGGAGACTCGCCGTTTACCGCAGCACTTAAAGGAACTTGTCCCTCCTTTCGAGACCTTCTTTACGCTAGTGGACAGTGGTAAGTTCCATCTGGGTCCGCTGGGAGCATCCATGGAAAGCGCCTTCCTCTGTGCTCTCCAAGTTGGTATGATTATTGGGTAAGCCTATACCGCAAACGGCAGTATTGGAAGTATCCTGATAAGGAAAAGCACTGATCTTTGGGTATAGGCACTATGAAGGCCAAAACATCGAATATGATCTCACCGCTGAAAGCACGGTGTTAGCTGGACTGAGCATTGGATTGCTCGCTGGTGCTGCTGTTTCCCTTTCAAAGTCGTTACAGGACCTTGCAAGCACAGGTGCTGAGAGCGTTCGTGTTGCTTTCCGCCTTGGCATATATATCGACGAAATTTCTCGGACGGTTGAAGTTCGGGATCCCGCTACGCCTCCGCAAAGCTGGGCTTATGTTGTGACTGGACTGTCTGTGGAAGAGGTTCAGCAGGAAATCGATCAGTACAATACAGATACCGTAAGAGTACCAAGTGACTGGTGCTTGAGACTATGGATCAAAGCTTATTAACGGTGCATCAGTTTAACCCCGAACTTACCAAGATTTTTATCAGCGCTGCGGATGAAATCTCCATCAGTGTCAGTGGACCGCCATCTCGTTTGAAGAGTATCTTCTTGCGCTCACGGAAGCTCCGACATTCCAAATACCTTCCTCTTCCAGTCTACGAGGGCCTGTGCCATGCGCCCCACTTGTACAACAAGGAGGCCATCTGCGAGACCATCAGTGGACCTGAACCAAAGATCGATCGTAATCGACATGTTCAGATCCCCTTAATCTCGTCGGAAACAGGAAAGCCGTTTAGTGCTTCACTATCGGGGGAGCTGTATGAGGAAATCAGCACTGAGCTTCTCACTAGCTCTATCTACGTGGATAACGTGACTGCGGGCATCATCGATAGTATCTCCAAGCCTCATCCCCTAGAGTGCCAGGTGCAGGTATTCCGCACTACCCTCGTGTCAAATGGGATTCTTTCTGCCATTGAAACAGCACTGCCCCAACTCACCATCAAGCGGGAAGATCTACTAGACTGGACTTCTCTTGATTTTGGAACCAGACAACCACGACAATTCAAGGACTCAAAACTGGCCATCGTTGGAATGGCCTGTCGGATGCCTGGAGGGGCTGATGACACCGAATTGTTTTGGAAGCTCATGGAGGACAGGCGCGACACCCACACACGGGTTCCCGCTGATCGATTCGATCTGGAAACGCATTACGATCCTACTGGAGAGACAGAGAATGCCACGCAGACACCCTTCGGGAATTTCATCGACAGCCCAGGCCTCTTCGATGCGGGATTCTTTAACATGTCTCCCAAAGAAGCCGAACAGACAGACCCGATGCAGCGTCTCGCATTGGTGACTGCATATGAGGCCCTGGAGATGGCAGGTTATGTTCCTGACCGCACCTCATCAAGCCACCGTAAGCGTGTCGGTACATATTACGGCCAAGCTAGTGACGATTGGCGGGAGTTGAATGCCAGTCAGAATCTTGGAACATATGCTGTCCCAGGCGGGGTGCGTGCCTTTGCCAACGGTCGTATCAATTACTTCTTTGGGTTCGCTGGCCCAAGTATCAATCTCGATACTGCTTGCTCCAGCGGTCTGGCTGCAGTCCAAGCAGGATGTTCGGCACTCTGGGCTGGCGAGGCTGACACTATTGTTGCCGGGGGTCTGAACGTGATCACGGACCCCGATAACTATGCCGGATTGTGCAATGCCCATTTTCTGTCGAAGACCGGTCAATGTAAAGTCTGGGATAAGAGTGCCGATGGCTACTGTCGTGCTGATGGTGTGGGCTCGGTTGTACTCAAGCGCCTCGAAGATGCGGAAGCCGATAATGACAACATCCTAGGAGTTATTCTCTCTGCAGCTACCAACCATTCAGCAGAAGCTATCTCAATCACGCACCCACATGCTGGGGCTCAGAGGGATAACTACACTCAAGTCATGCAGGCTGCCGCCGTCAACCCTCTCGATGTGAGCTACATCGAACTTCATGGCACTGGAACTCAGGCGGGAGACTCAGTGGAGTGTGAGTCGGTCTGTGATATTTTTGCTCCTATGTCTCCACGTCGCCGTGCGGATCAGCCTCTTTTGCTTGGTGCTGTCAAGTCCAATGTCGGACATGGTGAAGCCGCCGCGGGTATTACGTCTTTGATCAAGATGCTTCTTGTATACCAGAAGTGCAGAATTCCTCCTCATCTCGGCATCAAAACTGAATTAAACCCCACCATAAGTAAGTATTTGGAAAAGCGCAACGTGGGCCTCGCTATGGACATGCTTCCATATGAACGGAAGAACGGAAATCGTCGGTACGCTGTTGTGAACAGTTTTGGAGCTCATGGAGGCAATACGACCGTTCTCCTTGAGGACGCTCCTGAGAAGCAGAAGGTTGGCTTTGACCCGCGGACAACTCATGTGGTCACAGTATCTGCAAAGAGCAAGGCATCCTTACGGGGCAACATCGAAGGTTTACTATCCTACATCTCTAACAACCCGGATACTAACCTGGGTGACCTTGCGTATACCACTTGCGCCCGACGGATCCAGCACAATATTCGAGTCGCCTCTGCTGTGTCTAACATTGCCCAACTCCGCCGTTATCTTGAGACATCGCTTGAATCTATTTCCACTCTGCGGCCTGTTCCACTTGATGCACCTTCAGTCGCTTTCACTTTCACTGGACAGGGGTCGTTTTATAATCGAATCAGTGCTCAGCTTTTCGAGCAGTTCCCCTACTATCGCACTCAGATTGTCCGACTAGACCATCTCGTCCAGCGGTATGAATTCCCATCAATCATTCCTGTGGTCACCGGAACTATCGATGAGACTCAAGCTTCTCCTCTCGTTACACAATTGAGTATTCTCGTCGTGGAGATCGCCTTGGCAAGACTTTGGATATTTCTGGGCGTTCATCCCACTGCCGTCATTGGACACAGCCTGGGTGAATATAGTGCATTGGTAGTAGCCGAGGTCATCTCTGCAGCCGACGCAATTCTTCTAGTCGGACAGCGTGCATCCCTTACTATGAGCAAATGCGAGGCTGGAACCCATCTCATGCTATCTGTTCGGGCTAGTGTGGAGGACATCAAGCTGGCCATCGGTGATAATGACAGCTACGAGCTGTCCTGTATCAACGGTACAAATGACACTGTCATTAGCGGCGCTCGAGACGATATCGGCGAGATTCGCCAGAAATTGGAATCCGGTGGCTTGAAGTGCACTCCATTAGACCTACCTTTTGCATTTCACACTAAGCAGATGGAGCCAATGCTGGACCTGTTTGAGCAAACCGCCAAGAATATCTCATTCAAGGCCCCCAGCATCCCGGTCATCTCGCCTCTTCTGAGTGCATGTGTATTCGATGGGAAGACTATTAATGGAGCATACCTGCGCCGTGCCTCCCGTGAGCCGGTCAACTTCATTGGCGCTCTTGATGCAGCGCAGGAGATGGGCATTATTGACAATCACACGTTGTGGGTCGACGTCGGTCCCCACCCCATCTGTGCCTCATTCGTTAGCAAGCACATTGTCAGCGCAACAGTCCTATCGTCGCTGAAGAAGAATGAGGACAATTTCGCTACTTTTACGAAATCTCTTTCATGTCTGCATACTCACGGTGTGAACATCCACTGGAACGAGTACTATCGGCCTTACGAGAGCGCACATACTCTACTCAACCTGCCCCACTATCATTGGAATGCAAAGAACTACTGGATCCAATACATCGGAACCTGGACTCTTGACAAGGCTCTTTTGAAGTACGGTAAGGAGAAGACAAGACCTGCCATTAACATGCAGGCCAGTTCGGCACTCCGGACTTCTGCTATACACCAAATCACCTTTGAAGAAATTGGCGATACTGTCGGCCAATTGAAGACACTCTCGGACTTAATGCACCCTGACTTCCTTTCATCGGTGAAAGGACATAGCATGAACCACTGTGGCGTGGCCACTTCAGTAAGACTCTACCTGAACAGCTTATCCATTTGTGCTCATAGCTAACTTATACACCTTCAGTCTATCTGGTGTGACATGGCATACACAGTTGGAGAATACCTGTTCAAGCGCATGAATCCCACTGCGAGGGAAGTTCATATGAACCTCGTAGGCATGGAAGTACTCCACGCAACCATTGCCAAGAAATCTACGACTAGCCCTCAACTCCTCGAGCTCGAGTGCAACCTAGATATGTCTTCCCGCACGATGACCCTGGCATGGTACCACGTCGATGAACAAGGGATGCGTTCCGCTTCTTCCTTCGCAACTGCAAGCATGTTCTTCGAGGAAGCTGCCGACTGGCGTGCGGAGTGGGACCGCGTAGCCCACCTGGTCAACGGTCGCATCGAATCCCTCGGTCAGATGGCAGGAACAGGAGCCGCTAACAGACTGTCCAAGAACATGACCTATAAACTGTTCAAGAATGTTGTAGATTATGCGGACAAGTATCGCGGCATGGAGTCGGTCGTCCTACTCGAATACGAAGCGTACGCCGATATTTCTCTCGTGCCCGAGACACACGGCAACTGGCACATTCCTCCCCATTGGATCGACTCGGTTTCCCACTTAGCCGGTCTGATTATGAATGGTAGCGATGCCTCCAACACCAAGGACTTCTTCTACCTCACCCCTGGCTTCGACTCTCTCCGTTTCATCGAGCCACTCAATCCTTCTTGTAGGTATCGTAGCTATGTTCGCATGTTCCCAACTAGCGATGGGAATGTCCGTGCAGGCGACCTCTACATTCTCCGTGATGATGTCGTGGTCGGCATGCTGGGCCAGATTAAATTCAAGCGCGTTCCACGCTTGTTGATGGATCAGCTGTTTTCATCTGACGGGAAGTCCGCTGCCCATTCCCCTCCCGCATCTTCTGGCACCGCACACAAAGCAGCTCCCAAGCCAACTGCACCGGCAAAGAAGGCTGTCACCCCAGCACCACCAGCACCAGTGACTCAACCTACAGCTGAGGATAAACCCTCTCCTTCCACCGCACCATCACAACCAGCAGTAGCCCCAGTTGAGGCGGAGTCAGGTGTAATCGGGGACTGCATCAGCCTCATCGCTCGCGAGACGGGTCTCGACGTGCCCGAAATTACAGACGAATCGACCTTCGCGCAGATTGGCGTGGATTCCCTGATGTCTCTTGTTCTTGCCGAGAAGTTCCGGAATGAGCTGCAGCTCGATGTGAAGAGCTCTCTGTTCCTTGATTGTCCTACGATCGGTGATTTGAAGGGGTGGTTGGAACAGTATTGCTAAGCTTTCAGGGTTGTTTCTACGTAATCAAGTTGTATAGATAAATGAATTATACCCTAGATTTACTGCACCCTTGCTTGTATTTGATCGTGAATCTTGCATCTATTTGTTGAAGAGCCTAATCGCTACGGAATCGGGCAAGAAACATATAAATATATATCATAGGAAGTCTATCTTATAAGCTGACTGTGGTCTATATTAGAGGAAGAATATATATAACGCCAGCGGGCATGCTGACGTCAATAAATGCCTGGTGTCTTCGAATACTGCCATTTCAATTTATACTTCTGCGCTGTTCTCATCCTACAGGGGTGCGACGTCGTCAGTGGATGCATGTGCGGATGATGCTTTGCTCGTTAGTAAAAAGAGTAATGGTTCGTCAGATGCGGCTTCTACCATATTACCATGGCGCTCGACGAGCCACAGAGGTCGGATTTCTATTGAACGTGTAAACACTACGTCAGCTAGACACTTGGGTCTCCTCAGAGGCTTATTAGGCGGCGTTGCAGGTAAGTCGACCGAAGACCTACGATTGGCCTTTGGCGATGTGGTTAGAGGCCAACGAGAATGCAAAGGGACTGTGATAGGAGACTCTATTGGTCGACTTCTAGAGCCCTGCGCTAGCCTTTCTATGATTTTAGACAGATGCCCCTGGCTCAATGAACCATCTGATTTGAATTCATCGGGCGGATGGAAAAGCTGTCTTCGGCTTGTCTTAAAAAGGCTGCAGCTTGCTGGCATTTAGGCTTGTGTAGGCGCTGACTATCCTGAGATGCTCTTATCGCAACTAGCAGTTCTTCTACATATTGGTCAAGACACATGTGTGATTATTCCAGCGGTCTCTCACTCACCAATGTGAAGAACCTCCAAACTTTTGGTAATGGCTCATGCTGTTCGAATTGTTGTAGAATTTGATCGTGTCCCTCAGATACGAAGCGTAAAAAATTACTTTCACAAACGCTCTTATGAGCTAGGAAGTATTATAAAAAGTATTCGAAAGCTAAGACATGAGATAATGTATTCGTGTTTTAATGCCAAGCGGAGAGGAAATATGATGCCAAGACTTCCTCCCCGGAATTGGTTAGCGGGAGGAGGTTTGGGGTAGTTTGGGGTATAAATAATTCCCCTCCCTCGCATCTTCTTTCACCTTGTTTCTTCTTCTCTTTCCACCCTTCTTGGCAGATAGAAAATAACTGCTTTCATGCAAGTGGTTGTTTGTCCGTCTTGTCTTGCCATGAGAGAAAAAAAAAGTTTCACATCTCGTAGACACATCCTAACCTTTCTATTTTGGTTTCATATCTTCTCTCAGGGTATTTAACCCCAGCCACGACAAGCCCCTCATGGCCCAATCATCCGTGTGGAGTGTCGTTAGCTGTTTGCCTCTAAGTACCCAAAGCAATGGATGACAAACAGGATGTTGGCGCTTTCCCACAGGGTATTTGTTTATCTTGTCGTGTGCTAGCATGAAAGTCGTCATCCTACATTTCTAGACTAGATTGTAACATTGGTAGAGGATACTAGCCGTAGAGACCGCCTTGGACATTAAGGATTGAGTCCTGCTGAAGATTGGGATATCTAGGGACCTGTGTCTGCGATGTCATTATCAATGCGCTTTATAGAATGATCATAGATTACATTGAAAACCATAGGAGACGGACCGTTTGTAGCTCTCTTGGTTATTCCAATAGGTGGTGTCATGTTGCACCTCCGCTCCCGTAGCTCCGAACTCCCAACCGAGCTTAATTTTTGTCCACTGCATGAGATGGCTCGCGACCTTAAGATGGCCCACGTCGGTTGGATGCCCGCCCGGCGAGATATCGTTGTGCTGCCGAATACCCTTCGTGTCGAAGTAGTGCACGTATCCGTCTTTCTTGAAGTGCTCATATACTTTCTTTACCTCCGATACGTAGAGAGGTTGTTGCACCCATGTTGACCCGGACTTGGTGAAATCGCCCCAAAGAGACTATCGCTATTAGTATATCGACCCCACATCGAATAAGCGACATACCATAAGGACAATCTGCGCCTTAGGCCAAACGCGGTGCACTTCCTCGATCATCTTGACGTAGCTTTGATAGTAATCGTCGCTGGGGATGTTGTTCTTGGCGTTCCCGTCATTCGTGCCGAGGTTAATGATCACCAGGTCGGCCGCGCGATGGGCTGTGAAATTCCATGATTCAGGTTCGTCACCAAATGCTGCTTTTGCACGATCGCCGACGTCTGACGCGCGGGACCATTGATATGTCTGCTTCTATATTAGCACTAAGGCCTGTTACGTGAAGAAGAGACATACCATGCCACGAGCGTCACCCCCATAGCATTTTTTGTCTACCAGACAAATCCCCGGATACGCCTATGCGAGTTAGACTTTTGGTACCGATTTAGTTAATGGAAGGAGACATACTGTGATCGTGTACTCAACATTACCCAAACCAGCTGCAAAGTCGAAGCCCCAGGAAGCGAGACCCTCGTAAGTAGCATATTGCCCCGAGGCCAGCCTTGGAATCGATGAAATCAGTTCCAATGTGAATGTTATATATGTAATGAAGAGTCAAACTCACGAATCCCCAATTATCTCAACTGTCTTATTAAACTCCGGCGCTTTGACAAGCCGCGCATCGGAAGCAACTGACACGCCGTCAATCTGGACGGTGCGAACAGTGAGCAGGGGACATCTAATGGACAGGGTAAAACTTATCCATAGCCCCAGTTCGTGACTAAATCAATTAGTACATCTACGTATACATCCTGCTTTGAACAAAAACAGCATACCTCTCAACTCAAACGTCTTATCATCCCCATACTCCGTCCCATTCAGCGCCGGCGATCCGGGCTTGACAAACTGGTACGCCGAGTTGGCCGTAACATTCGAGAACTCCCAATCAAGCCCACCGACCCTACACAGTCAGAACCAACCTCAACAGACCAAAAGGCAAGCATACCGATAAGCAACGAGCACATTCTGAGACGTGTTCTCGCCAAATTTCAACGCGAGCTACCGGGCCCGAGAAATGTCAGCCACCACAGCCCAGATTCCCGCAATAGTACACCCATACCTTATCCCCAGTGAATCCAACCTTAACACCTGGAACACTATAGCAATCAGCTCTCATTGTCGAGTTCGGCCAAAATGCGTAGAACATACGACCACCCTATCAAACAAAAATTAGCATTACTCTATCAGCAGGAAAACGCACACGACATACAAGATGTATACCCACTATCCCACCGCCCCTTATACGAGATCTCCGACGCGTCGGTATCATATCTCCTCCAAGAATCATCAATAGAAACTTTCGAAGCCTGCCCCGGATACGGATTCAATCTCTCCTGACCATTTTCTAATATCGTCGCAGTAACGCCAAGTAACCACGTCAGCGACAACAGCGGTGCAAACCACATCCTGAAACCACTCGATGCGAGAGTGTACTCCGTATTCTCAAACAATTAGCCCAACGACAGAAAATGCTATGGAATCATTAAAAATCACCAGCCAGCGCAAACAGTCACAGTTTCAATCTAGACGGGCTAGTGCAATGCAAGGGAGCGTCCTTCGTTACCTCATTTGCGGGAAGGATTAGATTTTATTTGGTGGCTGGGATAGACATAATAGTTAATTCTGCTGATGGGTTGTCGTTGTTCTGCTGTGGAGCTTATTATATGTCGGGGAGGTGGTAAATCACTTCCTTTCTGAGGGTTTATTGGGTTTTAATGTGGGTTGCGCGGCAATAGATCGCACGATTGGGTGTCGATTCAATCCGCTTCTGGTTGCCGATCAGGGGTCTCTTTGTGAGAACTAATTGATTTTAATATGATCTCAATTGGATAGGTAGATGTAAGAACGAAATGGGGACGTGTTTCTAAGTTCTTCTTGTGGCTATGAGAAGACACGTGACGTCATGGGATATGGTCTCAATTAGGAAATGCCTAGGGCGAATATTTTTATAAGCATCTCGCGTGGTGAAGAAGAGAGGTTAAATATGTATATTTATTATTCGTTTTATAACCGTACGACCGCGTATCTGGTGTTTACTAGTCCACCGTCGCCTTCGGCGTCTTCCAGTCCGGGTTCGCATCCCTTGACCGCTCCTCGTCATTCTTCACAGCGGCACCTGCCATGGTCTCGGCATCTAGGGCATTCTGAAAAGCCACACGCTTCGGCAACAAGTATCGCACATCGATCAACCGCAGGATACATGTCATGACAATAACGAGGACCAGTAACGCAAGGGCACTCTGCCAGCCATACTTATAATACGGCGCCTGAGAGGCCGGCCAGACCAGAACCTGCGACCACGCCGAGATAGCATAGTATCCGGCGACTGCGACACCAACGATGAGCGTGCGCGCCTCAGGATCCTGCGGGATGAGGTCCGCCAGCCAGGCGAAGATGAGCGGCGCAGTACCAAGACAAATGTGAGCGATAAAATACGACGCGTACGCGGCGGAGACTGGAGCCGAATCTGGATGTCGAGTCCAGACGCTCATGATGATACACGGGATGATCCCGATGACCCCCTGCAGGACGATGAGTGTCCATCGCGTCTCGAAGAAGTCAGACAGTAACGCCCACACCCACACGAAGACCATGTTAATGGCAGAACCGCCGATCGGGATCGCGTTCACCTGCGACACGCTCCATCTGGGACGGCCATCTGGTCGAGTGAGGGACTTCAGGAACAGCGAAAAGTAGACGTAGCCGTAGGTCCCCAGGACGGTTGCGATGTATAGTATCGCGACGAAGTAGACTACCCAGCCCGAGAATGTGCGCTTAACGCCCGCCCAGGTCATTTTCTTCGGCTCCGCGCGGCCGTTGCGCGCGAGTCGCTCCATGGAAAGTTCCGCGTGCACTTTCTTGAACCAGTATGCACGGGGGTTTGGTTTGTTGGGGAGATCGGGGATCATGAAAAACCCTAGGAACCCCCACACCACGGTGATGATCGCGTTGACAACGAATAGCCAACGCCACCCTGCTAGTCCATGATGCCCTTCCATGGTGTTTGTGATGGCAGTTTGTAACGCACCGGACATCATCTGCCCAGCGGCTTGACACGAGTGGTAGAATCCCATGCGTTTCGCGAGTTCGGTTGGGGTGTACCAATACACTATAACCTGTTGGCTTTCGCCTACAATTGCATATCGACGTTCATGAAAATAGCAAATGGAGGGACCTACTGAATAAGGTAATCATCCCAGGCCATGCGCTACTTTCGCAGAGCCCGAGAAAGACTCGTAGAACGTATATTTGTTTTGCATTTTTGGTCATAGCGATCAGTCCGGTTAAAACACCCCAGGCAATCTCCAGACCAGGAAGCCAGAGACTCGGTCGGACGTAGGTCAAGATGACCTGGGAGGGGATTAGCATAACGCAGTAGGCGGCATTAAAATATGTCGTGAAGCTAGACAAGTTAGCTAACTGTAACAAGATCATGGTGGCGTATTCCCCTCACAGATTCAGCTCGTTCCCGAGAAGATTCAAGTCTTCCTTCATGCCAGAAACATAGGCATTGTTGATGTTCTGCTGATCCAGATATTTGATCACTGCCGGTTGAGTTAGTGTTTGTTTCCCTTGGATTATTTATATACCACCTACCCTGGGAGAGACAACCAAATGTCAGCAGAAATATATCCAGCCGTCGAACGAGGGCCTTCTCATCTGAGGAGCGTTCATGATGCCTCGCCAATGCCGTGAGACCAAGTTTAAAGGATACCATTTCAACTCTCAAAGTGACAAAGGAAAGACAAAGCAAACTAAAGACTTCAAAGAGAGCCGGTCCTCAATTTATCCCGTTTGGTCCTCGTAGTCCACGTGGTGCCGCCACGATACGATGATCCCACTCCTATCTTCACCCCTGCTCCTTGCGTCGTAGAAATGCCGTTAAAATTGTACAGGTGACTTGAGACCTTGTGGAGAAAAGAGACCCCAACTTGATAAGAGCCCGGCGAGAATCACCAATGATGGCGCTGCTCTCCGCATACCCCATCGGAAGGATTCCATAGCCAAGCGATACCATACCCCGCTTGATCAGCTTTATCACGGCAGCTCGAGGCGATAGCCGACACCGGAACCTCACATTTGTCCCAGGTGGACAAGCGATAGAAGGCTATTATCTTATTACGTACGGACCTCTGACTCCCGTTGTCACCGGCTAAGTATTGATGGTTATCAGAGAATTCAACGGACGTACACTTTGGAGGTTTTATATATCCACTGCCTAGGTGCCCTATGCGAATGGGGCAGGGCTAACCTTGGCTAAGGAAATTGCAAGCATTTTATATTTTCTTAGCATTGTCCTTTTTCACTAAGTCGCAGGCATGTCTGAGCCATCTCACAATGGCTCTAGCAGAAGTCTTCCCAACAAGACCCCCTGTTTGAGTTTCTGGCAGCGCAATACCCGCGCCTTTCCTCTGTTACACGCAAACCGCAATACACCTGTTCCAACAAGGTCGAAATATGTCGTCATTGGCTCCGGCATATCAGGCGGACTTACAGCATTCGAGCTTATTGAAGCTGGCGCCAAAGGAGAGGATATCATTATTCTCGAAGCACGGGAGGCAGCGAGTGGTGCAAGTTCTCGAAACGCTGGGCACGTGCGACCAGGTAGGCGTTTATCACCTTCACAGATCTACTGATAGTTCAACCTCTGACGTTGTCTAGATGCATTCCGGGGATTTAGCGCCTATGCAAAGGTCCACGGAGAAGAGCAAGCCCTGGAAATAATAGCCAACGAGCGCGTCGTTCTTCAAAAGGTAGACCAGTTCGCCAAGAAGCACGGAGTCCAGTGCGACTTTAACCTAACTACAACGTTCGATGTATGCATGACTCCTGAGTTCGCATCGTACGAAGCTGAAAGCCTAGAAGCATACAAAAAGGCAGGAGGCGATGTCTCACACATTAAGGTCTACGAAGGGCAAGAGGCACAGAAGAAGACAAATGTGAAGGGAGCCATCACAGCATATGAATGGCCGGCTGGATCAAGTCACCCGGCGAAGCTGGCACATTTTCTTCTCCAATCCGTCGTATTACGCGGCGGAAGACTGTTCACGTTTTGTCCTGCTACAGAAATAAACTGCAACGAGTCTGAATCGGAATTTTGGGATGTGCATACACCACGAGGAGTCGTGACGGCAGCCAAGGTAGTCCATTGTACAAATGCTCATGCTGCGCTATTGTTACCGCATTTGGAGCCTTACATCCAGCCGAACCGCGCGCAGGCTCACAGTTTGATTCCTACACCTTCATTTTCAGGGGTGAATATCCTTCAGAAAACCTTCTCATTGCGCTACAGTCTCCACCACTTCTACTCCTTGATTCAACGGCAGAGCGATGGAACATTAGTGCTCGGAGTGTCACGATCTAACCCGACCCTTAGTGATGCAACACGGACCGGAATTTACAGCACAGATGATACAAGCTACAACGATGAAATAGTCCAGGATGCTTTGCGAAGCTTTAACAAGATCTTTCCTGAATTTGATAGCGAGCATGCCATGCATGGCGAGGGTCTGGATCACGCTTGGACTGGGATCATTGCCATGACGACTGATTCTGTGCCATTCGTGGGAGCAATTGAATCGTTACCGGGCCAGTATATATGTGCTGGATTTAATGGACATGGTTAGTCTTAACTCTTCTTAGAGAGGACATGAATTGTAGGTCGAGTGTTCACTGATATACGATAGGAATGGCACGTATATTTACGTGTGCGCCAGGCGTTGCGAAGTTAATACTTGGTAGCAGTTGGAGCAGTACTGGCCTGCCTGAATGTTTCAAATTCAGTGAGGAGAGACTTTCCAGGTTCTCAGCGAAGGCTGTACCATCTGTGTGGTGAGGTTATGAACCATTGCGTATCTTTCTACCCTTAAAAGGGAATATGCCATGTTCTGAAGGCAAACTCCATCATATACCAGAACTCTCAACAGCACGTCATGCCAGTGTTGGGATCAAATTTAAAAATTGAAAGCCTCCCTGTTTTACTCCGTATAACCAGGACATTGCATTGAATTATAAATTCACCTTCTCTGTAGTCAGCTGGGATATGTAAAACCTTTGTCTGGCCTCGAATTATCCAGGCACGTGATACGTCCACTGTGTAGGGCGACGGGGAGGCATTGCAAACCACATTACGCACCACTTAAACGACACTCAGGTCCAGATTCCGGAGGTCGGAAACCTACTGCGAGAACTCTCCATCAGCTATAACGCCCAGTAAATTAACTGTGAGGAAGAGGAAGAGGAGAGCGACAGGCCGAGCTTATTGAGAGCTCAACGTGCTCAAGGACCCAATTCAACGGCAATGAGATATGTACAAAGGCTTGCTAGAAAAGGCACACCATGATAGACCTCAGCAGATAATTAGGGACGTCAGGTCAGAAGGAGGAAGTGTTTTTGCAGGCATAGCTAATGTCGAAGATCCGTATGGTATCCGGCAGGATATGAGGGGAATTAGAAGCACCAGGGATGCTCAAGTTGCTGCTGAGTGGGCGAGCAATGTAGACTTTACCGGTAGCTTTGGCAGAAGCTTGATGACTTGTACTCTGTGCAATAGCCCCCATAATTAATACAATCCCTGACGGGAATAATGATATTCAGTATAGCACTACCCTATTTGGGACGCGTAGTAGCCTTAGGCCTAGGCACCAACCTCCAAGCAGATTCCCGGCAGAACAAACGTCAAAGTCCCGTTGATACAGACAAGGCAATGACGCAAAACGATAAAAAAAAAGGGACAACATGGACAACATTGACAAAGAGAGTAATAGATAGAAGCAATATGTATAGAAGCAGTATACTATACCCATAAAACAACGCCACATTAATTTGGTTTCAATTCAGCTTTTTAACTTTTTAATGTCAAATAAAGACAACCCTTTGCCCAGGGAATCCAGGCATAACCATCAGGGATCGGTCGGTCCATAAGGCAGGCGTCTGGGCAACTGTACCATCCGCCCGTTGGAATAGATCGAATCTCCGAATATGATAGATTCTGACATTATCCACATAATATTTCTTTGGACCACCTTGTTGTCCCCGTTGATATAGCTCTTCCACCATGACAGCACGTTTATTTAGCCTTACACTGATTATCTTTCTAGGCCCAAGCCATCAAGCATCTAGCTTCCGCCTATGAGCCTTGTCACACTGGAAGTTACGGACCAGAACCAAGTACCCTTCTTTAGGGATTTGCCAACTGATAGACCCAGATTATTCTCGAGTCCTTTCCTCGGCAGCGGCATTACTGATAGCCAACGCCTCAATAGTCAGTTGCCTCCTTTCAGTCTGAAGCATATAGTACAACTGGGTCAGGTGTGCAGAGGTCAAGTCCATCCTATTAGGTTAACTCTATCAGTCATAGCCTCCCCCCATTGATCCAGTGGTTTGTCTATACATGGTATTGGTGCTATATCATAGTGTCTTCTTTAGGGGTTGAACCCTATCAACAGCTCCGCGGGAGTATACCTGTAGACTTGGATTAACCGGCTGTTGACTGAGGGTATTTGGTCTTCAATAACAAGTCTCTATTACACAGTATTAGATGGATTGTTGTAGCATGTCTTTCTTAGTACTAATAAGATTATCTGTACTGCCCTCCCAATCATTCCTACTGACTTAGGATATGATATTGGGGCAGTAATATAAGAAACACCTCTCATTCTAAATATCTCGGCCATTTTATGACCGGTAAAGTGAGGACCATTGTTACTAAATATATTAGCAGGCCACCTGATTACAGGGGATAGTCATTACTCTAATATATATATGATATTCTCTTTCCTTGCCCGTACACAAGGGTGAATCTAAATGAACTGGATAAAGTAGTCAATACAGACCAGAATATATTGCTAGCCGGTAGATCCGCACAGTGGATTTATGGAATCTGTAAAATCTATTTCTATCATGGCCATCGGTTCAAACTGCTGTGACCTGAGATAAGCATTGGATAAGTTCTTTCAGGCAAATATTTGGCATATCTTGCATGTCAAGCAATAATACCTCGTGTCCCGGGCTCAATTTGGCCAGTATATCTTCCTGATAATAGAGTCAAGGGTGATACTGTCAGTGTAGTGACCATGATCCTTATAGAAGACCGGCAGTATGTGGGTAATTTCATCTTCTATAATATATCGGTTCCATAGTCTATTTCTCTCCTGCTATATTAGAAGTCTCTCATGGTTATCTATTAACTTATATCTATTGTCTTTCTGTTTTAAGGCCTTTCTTTTATGTTTAGATAGCCCAGATATATAGGGCATGTCTCCCTTCAGGTACTTGACAATACCTTGGTACATTGGAGATTTGACGTATTTCCGATCCTGATTAGTCAGGGAAGCAAGCGGTATTCAGTGTTTGTGAGATATCACCGCAGCAGCCAGGGAACCCAGATTATCTTCTGCAGTAGCATTCATTTGGTACTGGGAAGGCATTTGACTAAGCCTATCTGCAATACCCATCATGTTATCTGTATTGGACCGATGGCAGACAATAAAGTCATATTCCCCAAGACGATTTTTCCATTGTTATATTCGCTGGTTATTTGACCCGTTGACTAGGATGGACTTTAGGACTATATGGTCGGTATAGGTAAATGTAGGGTGCTTGCTTCCAGCAATGATCCACCGGGCATCTGCCAGACACCGGACAACTGTAAGGCATTCCCTTTCTGGGTTCGAGTATCTGGTCTCCACATTATTTAGTCTGAACAAGAGAAACATAATTATTCTTTCCTTGGTGCGGGTTGTTGGACCATCTTCAGTCCCAGGTGAGGTGTCGGCCAGCTGGAACAGCACCCCTCCAATACCAGAGGCGGACGCATCAGTAGCCAAATGGAACTGCAGTTCATAGTCAGCCCCGCAACAGGCATTCGTTACTATAGCGTTTTTTATAAAGTCGAATTGCTCCTGTTGTTCAGAACCCCAGGCCCATTCCTTCTCTACCCAACGGGTCCTGACTATTGCCTTCCTGGCCCCGGTACCCACGGGCCTCTTCCCCTTAACAACCATACGTTGGCTCCTGTACTGGATAGAATATACACTTGCTATGCCTCCTTCCAGTACCCTCAAATACCACAAAACGAAGGTAAAGAGATGAAGCTATAAAGAACGTCAGAGCAGAAGACATGGCAGGTCATGAGGTCAGGTAAGGAAGCTCTTGGTGATTTGAATTATCACCCACAGTGGCTGAGCCACCACCTAAACCCGTTTCATAATCTGGGAGAACCGATGAATGGTCCACAACTTCGAATCGTCATCTATAGAATCTCGCGAGGTATCATCTATCTGTTATATCATCCAGGGCACGGTTTCCTCAAAATCCTCTTCTTTTGTGACAGCTTGTTTGAACCCAGTGGTAAACCTTGGACCCTCCTGTAGGCATGAATGTCTGCACCCGCCAAACGATGTGTGTACTTGGCGCGGATTTCCATATTGGCATGGACTGTCGAAGGGGTAGTTTGTGGTGGCGCTTGAAAAGGTCGAAAAAAGTCCAAGTCTTGGCAAGATTAAAGTGCCTTGATCTCAGCCTGATACTCGCAATTTGCCATTTGTATTATTATCGGGATGTCGTTGGGTCCACACTGCACAGACTGTTCTGAATGGAGCCTTAACAGAGATATGAATGCATCATCCGGCTTCCCGCGTGCATACCCATACAGCCCCAAAAAGAACGCAGGCCTGGATTAGATGAACAGAAGGCGGGAGCCCGATTAGACTTGAGCAAAAGCAATTTGACGCTTGCTTCCATGAGAAGACAATCGGTCCGACTTTCACTTGTTTTGCTTTCATTGGGAAATCACTCATGCGGCTCTCGATAGAGAGTGATGAAACACAGGTCCCCTTTGATTATGCATGTTAGCAGGCACCAGTTGTCATTAAGGAAATTCGGGCAGGAACCGGCATAGAAGCCGATTCTTATTTTGCCCGCGGATACTGGTAAATATAGGCCCCCGATTTCTCTCTCACTTGCCCACGGTGATCCGTCCACCCGTTCAGCGTCCGACTTTTGTCCAGGACTCGGACCAAAGCACAGGCTTCAGCTGAGATGGGATCTCCGACATCAGCAAACGCCGGTGGGCTGCGAAGGCTGATGGGGAACGAGCATCGTTCCAGGCAGAGGGGGAAAAAAAAACATACGACATGATAGGAGGATGGAGGCACCGCGCGAGAGCGAAACTTCATCTCGGTGTCTCAGTTTAGCAACGTCATCTTTTGGAAGTTCCAGCGGCTGGTTCTCTATCTAGGCAATGTTAAATACAAAAGGAACTGACGTTTTTGCTTCCTGCGTCCGGACTTTCTTCTGAGGGAACCCAGATAGTAAAACGGGCTCGTAGGGATGGGAGGTCCGGAATGCAAGGAGGTATATAGGACGCGGTGTCATCATGGGTGATTTCAGTATATATGTAGCAATGGAATGACGTCTTGCAAATGTCGACTAAACTTAAATGAGGTCGTTGAACAGATAGACTTCCTATACGGATGTCAACAGTAAAAGGGCCTTCAGAACCTATACGGCTTGGAAGGAGATCAGATCTATACAACCTGACTGGTGATGCTAAGCATGCTACCATTCTGTAAGGAATCTCAGTATCATATGTATATTCGTAAGAAGGAAGGTCGGTAAGACCTAGTAAATATATGTGGAGAGGGAAAACCTGGTCATGTGACAGATTATCCCATTGTTTTTCTGGCAACGGATGAAGAAAGATCCAAGTAATCAAGGGTCTTGATTATCCAAATACCCTATCGGAGCTGGAAACTGGTCTCGGGCTTTTCAGTTATTACCGACGGAAATTGCCTTGGATATTCGTACATCGCCGAGCCGCTTGAGATCCTGAAAACTCACCTTAAGGGCGCTCCTACCAAGGGCTCTAAGCGCAGTACGTACGCCTTGAATACCACTTTTGCCAGTGCCTTTGATCAGGATTGTCGAGATGCTTGGGATGCCTTGAAGAATGCCTTGGCTACAGCGCCACGAAGGGTTTTGCCTGATTATTCTAAACCATTCCTTCTCTATGTAGATGGATCGAAGGAATTCGGCTTTGGCATTGCTCTTCATCAAGTTGATTTCGAAGGCAAAGAACGGCCAATCCTATTCTTGTCCCGTCGACTAATCACAGCGGAGAGATCCTTTTGGCCCACTGAGCTGGAGGTTGCCGCTCTAGTCTGGCGATCATGAAGCTGCGGCACTAGTTGGACGGCAATGCATTTACAGTTTATACCGACCATTCCGCAATCAAAGGCCTATTCCAATCCCTTAACCCTCACTGAAAAAACCCCCGTCTGGCCGCTTGGGCACTATTTTTGGAGATGGGAAATGACCGGTATTGTTTGCCGGATATTCTGCATGAGAATTGGTGATATAAACTATACATAGGTGTCATACCCTCATAATTGCATCAGTTGTTTGTGGTATTAGTTCGGAAAACGAGGATCGTGTGAACTTCTGAGTTCGTCAAACGCATCTCTAAGATTGCCAGGCATACAAGCAGAGCTTCTGCATAGGCACCTGCGCTGAGCAGGCTTACGCCATGCAGCAGAAGAGACTGCATTTGCAGAGACGATAGTAGTTGGAAATATGATCTAAACGACTGTTAATGTAGACGCTACGAACAGTATGCCAGATCCCTCTTTTTTCATTCAAAGCGCCCCTGTGGAACAATATGGAGCAATCACCAGAAGACAAGACACCTATGGCAGTTAAACGGTATACGTGGCTTGGCATGCTGCGAGACACTAGCGGCGCTCAAACACGCAGTCCCTGTGTCCGTAGAATAGGCAGGTATCGTACTTCTGACGAAGGCCACCAGAGATGCAGTCAGCGAATGCCAGGGAGGCACTGGGATCGCGACATGCACTACACTCCTTGCCGCGAGGAGGCTGTGACCCAGACCCTTCTCACATATTGAACTCGCGCGACTCAAGAGAAAGTTCCAGATGCTCGACCGCACAAGCCATATATTCGCTGTCATCGAACTTTTTAATGTCGAATGGCTATAGGAGAACATTACCCCCATAACGGGGGCGGGAGTTGGTGACAATAGGGTCGCCGGGATCCTCAGGGAAAGCCAAAACGGACAAACCAAGGCCACGTTCTTGTCACAAGGACAGTCTCGCGGACATCGACACGTACAACCAATTGACCGGGATTGCGGAACCTACAAAAGCGGACCGACTATATATATAATCGGCTCGCCGATAAGTCGGCGCTCGCGACCAGACAGAGGTTGCTAGCCTGTCCAGGGTGGAGAGTCTAGCAGCACCACGGGATTCGCGCACGAACGGTGCGTGAACCACACGTCAGCCGGAATTTCAGCGGGTCGAGCGGAAGCCTAATTGTTGGCGCTCGCGATGATAGGCTTTTATGAGTATCCTAGCAGAAGACTGGGAGAGCCATAAGCCGTATTGCAGGCATGTCGTATATTGCCCTGCCACGATTCACACTGTCGAAGAAGGCAGATCTTCTGCTTGTGGTTACAGATGGTTTAGAATGATGGGGTCGGGGTGAAACGATCTGTCATACTCTTCTTCCTCCTGATTGATAAGCAGATACTGGTAGCTGACACATTACGACCACACTGTCATCACTGCTGGCGTAGGTAGGTACGGTTGGGTTTTAACGTAACTCACAATTGCTTCCGTACGTCCTGCAGTCATACCTGATTTGAGGCCGAAGTAAACGAGGTTGAGACAGAACTCTTTCGACCTTTCTCTTGCCTTTGTCCGATGAAATTGCGGGAAGTGAAAGAATCTAAGTCTTCATCGGCAGACGACTGTTACATCTATACTTCGTTACTAGATTCGGATTGGGTTTAGGACCTGATATAAGCTTGGAAATCCAACCACCATGGGCTTGTCTTCTTCTTTCGCAGCCAAAACTGTTCCGCCCTCACACATTCAACGTGGGCTGGATGTGGGTAAGCTTTTGAGAAAGCGTTCTGTGACGGTCTCTGTTCGGAGGATTATCCATGCATCCTACTGGAGCAAAATACCTCGGAACGGCGCCATATCTACTCGCTAGTTCAGTATCACCCTGAGAATGGTCTCTGTAGTGCAACTGCCATCATCTCTTACTCATGGATCTTTTCATCTGATGTGGCAGTGTCCACAATCACCCGACCCCCAAGGTGACTCAAAAGTCGACTGTGACACCATCACCATCGGTGTACAAAGGATATGATGTCCCTACCATGGGCCAGCGTTTGCCCGTGGTTCGCACCCTTTTGATTGTCATCAGCACCTCCAAGGCCTTGTGAGACGATGAGGCTGCAATATTGGGAAGCGGTAGAGTGGAAAGTAAAAGTTTATTGTGTAGAGTGATACTTCAGCCCGGTCCATTGCAGTTGCCAGTCACGTATCGTCCTGTAACAATGGGTGCAAACGCTACGAGTGCCTCTTTTGGATGGAGGGTTTCATCTCTCCAATTCTTTCCATAAAGGGTCTCTATAAGATCTCTTGCCCCTTTGTTCGACGTTCGGAGATGACGATCATGTATTCCCCCCACCCAACCCGCCGCCTTTATGACTGCTAGTCACAATCCATATTTGGTCGCTAATGTAGTGGACTGTGCCAAATGAAATCCGCAGATGAGCGCATATCTCCCCCACCCTGGGAACGACGGCAGCACCTACGACGAACAGGCCATGGCATGAGTACCGGGTCAGATGGGGCGTAGACAAACTCCTTCCGGCCTGCTGAAAGCTTCCAATGGCATAGTTGAAGGTCAGCACAGTAGCCCACCGTGCAATGCAATGGAATACGACCCATCATGATCAAATGCAGCTCGGACAGATATGAAATGGAATCGAACAATCCGTCCGGGCAAAAGAAAATGTCTAGACGGTTTGCCACGGACATCGTCTGCTCGAGCGCCATCGATTTACGGAGAGGCTTCCGTCAATTCATGATAAGGTGAATCTAACTGTTTTCTTAGGGTTGGCCAATAAGCAGGGTGCGTAGATATATATACCTTGATCAGCGGCCAAAGATGGTTTCCACCTCCGGTCCACAGTCGTCGGTCTGCGAAGAACAGGGTATGTTCCGAGCAGTCACTGGACGTCCCACCATTCTCTCCACTTCCAAAACGACCCTAATACTATATACTATGAGGGGCGACATATCTGGCGGCTCAACGTAAGCCCTCACCGTTCGGACTTGCCAATATAGTTTATTCGAGCAGTCACACAACAGGTTGGTAGATAAGTATCGAAATTTACCGATATATTATGAGTTTTGATGCCACATGGTCTGTGCTGGCACATGGCAAAAGCAAGGACATAGAGGCAATGATATCGGAGGATGATGGCCTTATTTATTAGTGGCAGAGCGGATACAGTTAGTCATCGAGAATGTCGACGCCGTCGACAGAAAGGACACAGAAACGGTAGTCGTAAGGAGCCTTTGCAGCCTCTCCACTTCCCTATATGGAACAACATTGCGCTTGGGTGCTGATTAGTAGAGTCTCTCAACATTTGTGATTTTTACCTCCCCCGTCATCGCCCGGCCGACTGAGGTTTTATATATATTGACGATGGTGAGGAAAGAGCGATACCGCAATAGCAAAGCCCCGCTCAACCATTCACGTACTATCCTAAACCCGAGCAATCGTCGCCGTTTTTGGCCTGACACAAAGGTGTTATAGTGAATATCGCTGGGCTGTAAGATCGGACGAGCATATTCTCCAGGTGATAAAGCCAGAGATGACACAGCTACACCGTAAGCAGGCAAAAAGGAACTCGCCTGACATAACGACAGAGTCATGCATCCACCGCCATGGGCCTCACTACCGTACAAAAGAAGCCCCTTCCCAACAGTCGTGAGTCGTGCTCACTGAGCACATCGTCGACAGCGAGGAGTTAAATGTGCTGTAGTTCTATGCGTCGAGGCCAGATAATATTGTCAACACACTCTCGGGCTTTTTTGAACGGACTCTATTCCCAGACTCGTTGTTTGATCCTTCCATGTATTGCATGCAGTAGCGCATTCCTCTTGTTGTTCCGCCGCGGCTTTGCCGTACTCTATCAATACTGTCCAATAGAAGAAGTCGTTGAGCTTCCTAGGGTCAAACCAACGTTTGTACCATCAGTTAGCTTGTCTGCTGTGCGCTCCGGAGAATGACACAAAGTTTCACTTGTCATCCGAAGCTTCAGCGTCGGGGCGAATGCGGATGGACACTATTTGCTCGGGTTTCCTATGATGCTCTCTTTCGAAATTCAGGTCCAGCGCAATGGAGCCAGCCAGTTTGCTTAGTCAGAGGTCCAACAATACTCAGTCCTGGGAGAAGATAGTAGAAGGTCCCTGGCAGAAGGTAGATCCGACCTCGCCTGTCGATAATCGTAAGACATCTGCTTGAAGAAGTTGATATGACATGGCTTAGCGTTAACTTGGTCGATAAGAGCTGTCTTGAAAGGATTACATCGAAGACATTAAATATAACAGAAAATCCCAACAAAAAGGCTCGCGGTTTGTAAATCGTGTAGTGATGATATGAGCTTGTCATCTCACCTGCACGTTCGATCACGCAAGAGAGCGTACCCCCATAACTGTGGTGTCAAGTACAGGGAATGGTTATAAGAAGAAGTGGATATACATTAACCATCGACAGTAGAGTAGTAGGTGGGATACTAGTTATGATTATATATGATGAGGCTGAGGAAGAAGAGGAGGGGGGATGAGGGAGCAAGGGGCTATTTATAAGCACGCAAACCCAGTGACAGTGTAATATCCCTAAGAAAACCAGCGCAGAAATATGAATACAAATGTGTACCATATCCTTCACCTCGATGCATTCCCCATTGCTAGTACAAAACGTGCAAGGCAATATGAATCTACCCGTGTGGCTGTAGAGTGACAGATTGCATAACTTTGTTGAATACCGGCTATTCTTGTCAAGAGCCTTACTCGATCCAATAGCGGGGTAGGATATTTGATTTGAATGGCTTTTAATAGGAAGGCGATATTATGGTGAAGATACTCCGGAGTCAATATAGTCACTGCGCAGTAGTATAAATATGCACAGGCCAGAACGAGATACCGCGCATTCATTGAATTGTATTAGATTTGCTTCCCATGTATTCCTCGCTACAGATGTTACTTTCCGTAATATTCCGACATCTAGTATGACATTTCTTCCCTGCAACACTATCCATGAGGAATGCTGTTGAGAAAGACGGTCAAGTCCAGCGTTCAAGCTATGTGCCAGGAATTAGTGCAATCGAAGGCCGAGTGAAATGTTTGGCCAGTGCCGCTTGAGCTTGGCGCTGACAAGAACGATGATAGTCAAGGAGAATAGAAAGAGGATCCGACCGAATTATTGCCTTCATGAATTGATCGTATCCGACCTTTGCATTGATCAATACACCGAAGTCAAATGCGCATAACATGGAGTCCAAGGAACATGAAAGTCGAATCGAGTGATATCGTACGTAAACAGCGACTCCATGCTAGCCTCAGCCCTTACAGATTATTGAATAAATCGTACGAATCATGCAAAGTGCATTTAATATTGTACAAGAGTTTATCTGTGGAGGCGGTTAGTTTTACTCCTTGGACACGTGAGTAGCACTCCAAATGCAATCCTTACCGTGATCGTCGTTGTTTTCTTTTTTTTTCCTTTTCTATTTTAGCCTTGTTTTTGACTCTTTCGTTAATGCTCCGGAGTGGGCTTTCGGAAGCGCGGGTAGTAAAACAAAAAGAAGACAATCACGGCCAACAGGACGACCAGCGTGGGAAGGAACATGAAGGTGAAGAGTAAGAGGCTCAGCCCGAAGGCGGCACTTTGGCCGGGAAAGAAACGGCGAGCCATGATCTCAACGCTGTCCCAGACCATTTGGAAGAGGAAGAGGGAATAGGGAAAGGTTGAAAGGCGGTGATGGTGATGATATATCGACGGAAGGGCGGTAAGGCGAATGCTAACGGCGCTAACACAGATTGCCCCAAGTATATGTAGGGTCACTACGATGCGGAAGTTAGAAGAGCAATTAGCTGATCAATTTGAACAGCGCATGAAATGGTTTCAACATGCAGATGGGAGATGAAGGGAGAGGGAGAGGTAAAAAAAAATAACTATATAAATATATTTCTTGGGTCGTACAGTTGGACATAATACAGTACATACATACATACATACAGCCATCTGTACAATTAATGTAAACTAGTTAGTTAACGTATTTCACTACCGAGCGCCGCACCACCACCGAGCGTCGCACCACCACCGAGCGCCGCACAACCACCGAGCGCCGCACCATATATCCCATACTAATTCAGCATTTTTTGACTCTAATATCTTGACCAAACTTAGTCCAATCTACTTTATACTTTTAAATTAGTATATTGAGATGGTGCAAATCTTAATATTAAAATAATATAGGATATATATCTATAGATCTTTAGGTAATATATATAACATTGTAATTTTGCGTAATTTATTTTAGTCTAATATTATAGACCTTATATAGGTCTTCATCTAACTATTTTAAGAATATATATTCTAAATGTATATACATAGCTGTTATTATAATATTATTACAATTAAGCTAATAGTTGTTGAGATATTTGAGGTCAAAAAATGCTGAATTAGTATAGGATACACAGTGCGGCGCTCGGTGGTGGTGCGGCGCTCGGTAGTGAAATACGTTACATGGCTTTTCGCTTAGTCAGAAGGGAAGTTGAGCAAATTGGATTTCTAATTTTTGATTACCACTCATACATAGAAGGCGTTTATCTCACAAATCATAATTTCCACCAGTATGATTACGAGTCTCTGATGAATGACAAGAATGGGTATCCGCGACGCCCCGTAGGGATTCCCCCACTATTGGGAAACGATTGGCTTGGGAGTTCCAGACCCACCGAACTACGGGCGGTTAATCAGTCACTAAACCGGAAACGGCGGATGACGCCCCGAGCAAGGAACATCCTTAGGGGCAGGCAGCAGCATTCTTAGTACGGAAAGATTGATGATACAGTACCGTTTGTGTATGAAACAAGGGAGTGAAAAGGAGACGAATCTATAAATGGAATTGAATTACTGGTACTAGTTATAGACTCAGTGGAGATGAGAGTGACGTTGCCACAATCTCTTCACTACGGATACCAAGTACTAGTAGTTAAAACTATCCCTAAAATGAGGCTGATCATGTGGCCATGACTTAGGTACTCAGAGGAAGGCCTAGGCAACCAAATATTGCTAAAAGTCTCCGTCTCTCGGTTACCAGATAAAGCAATGTCTTTCCGGGTAACATCGTAGAATCAGCCACTGGCACAACCTGTTGTAAGAATTTCATAATCGGTATGGAACAAGGTGGAATATCCAGACCGAGACTTCCGAGATTTATCTTTAATTGATTTATTTACGGAGCACTACGTAATCCTTATTATCACAGGAGGGAAAAGAAGAAGTATGAGAAATAAGAAGGTTCGTCCCTCTGAAGGGAAACCAATTGCCTTGTAGGGCTGAAAGCTTGGCATGGATCCTCCGTTGTCAAGGTTTGTGTTAATTCCACGGATACAAACAAACAATACACTCCCAACTGTAAGATCGACGGCAAATCCCCATTAATCGTGGGGCAGCAAGGACGAACCCTTGTCCCCATTTCACCTTTTCCTTTCCCATTCCATTTTCCTTCTCTTTTCTTTTTTTCTCTTCCTTTCTTGCATGAACCGTCGAATGATCCGCGGAGATGCGGGCTACTCTTTATCCCTTCACCATCACTTCATGAATACCCTCTGATGAATTTATTATTGCTTCTACTCGCACAACATCCCTCTGTCGACATGGGTCTGCTTACGGGAAGCCGCGAACTCGATAGGGCCGAAGCCAACAATTTTGGCGTGGACTGGGTCATTCACTACCAGTTTGAGGACACCGGTAAGTTTCTCTCGACCGGTCTTTTGTCTTGATAGGCACGTCTCACTAATTCGCGCGATTGTCTCTAGAACTTGGCAATGCCATCGAAGAGTTCCGCACCCTCATCCACGATCTGCAAGAAGCCAAACTGCAAGTTCAAGTCCGACGCGGCTATGGCCCTTCCTTATTGCTGTGCATCCGCGTGCCCCGGAACCACCTGGGGAATATGGTGTATAAATCTCGGTATGACTGAAGACCCCACTGCGAATCGGTGACTCCGCTAACACCGTCTAGGGTAAAAGACTGGCTCTATGGAATCATCCATGAAGTCCCCATCGGCGATGAGCACACCGCGATTGACTCCGAAACCGCCGCTGAAGAACTCCGATCCGTATACCATGCGGTTACCTGGTCGAAGGCGCTGGGAGGTGCGGGCATCACCGCTCAATTGGGCAAATGGAAGAATGTGGCTAGCACCTTTCCATTACACGATCCGTCTGCCAATGCCGACCTCTTGCGTAAGTGGAGTCGGACCCTGCTACTAAACGCAGAGGATCTAGATGCGATCCGGGCGTTATACGGCGAAAAGGTTGGCCCCCTCGATTATCACACCAGGGGCTCCCGCTGACGATCCCCGCTCCTAGGTCGCCTACTATTTCGCCTTCATCCAATGCTACTCGACCTTTTTGGTCTTCCCTGCCGTCTGGGGCGTCTTTTCCTGGCTCTATCTAGGGCCGTACTCAATTGCTTCGGCATTTGTCAACTGCCTCTGGAGCATCGTCTTTGTCGAATATTGGAAAATCCGGGAAACTGATCTGAGCTTACGATGGAACGTTAAGGGCGTAGGAGTGCTCAAGGTCAATCGCCCGAAGTACGTATGGGACAAGGAAGTTCGCGACTCCGTGACGGGTGAAATTGTCCGCGTCTTCCCAGCGCACAAACAATTCATGCGCCAAATGCTCCTCCTGCCCTTTGCCACGATCGCCAGTATCGCATTAGGATCATTGATCGTCGTCACGTTTGTCATGGAGATCTTTATTTCGGAAGTGTACACGGGCCCCTTCAAAGACTACTTGGAGTTCCTCCCGACGGTCCTCTTCTCCCTGTCATTGCCATGGATCAACAATAAATTGACAGACATGGCCACCCAGCTGACCGAGTACGAAAATTACCGCACGCAGGACCAGTATGACATCGCACAAACCACCAAAACGTTCGTCATGAACTTCATTACCTCCTTCCTCCCCACGATCCTCACGGCCTTTGTGTATGTCCCATTCGGCGCCCGACTGCTGCCATATCTCGATATGTTTCGCGTGGGTAGTCTTGCCAAGTCTATTGACACCCGCCGAGTCCACATTGACCCCTCACGATTGCAACAAGAAGTCATCTATCTGTCCGTGACAGGACAGATCCTGAACTTTGGCGAGGAGGTTGTGCTCCCTTATGTCAAACGAGTGTTGGTGCAAAAGTGGCGTGACTATCGGAAATCGCACCCAACGGGGGGTCGCCGTTACTCGTACCGAACTGATCAGCTACTGAACGACGCCCCAGACGAGGCATCCTTTCTGGGGAGAATCCGAAATGAAGCCGAGGCGGATGAATACAACGTGCACGATGATACGCTTGAGATGTGTGTCCAGTACGGCTATCTCGCGCTCTTCGGGACGTCGTGGCCGCTCGTCCCGCTCGGCTTTCTCGCCAACAACTGGCTGGAACTGCGAGGCGATTTCTTCAAGCTGAGCCTCGAGTGCCAGCGCCCCCCGCCGATCCGTGCCGACTCGATCGGGCCCTCACTGCAGGGACTGGAAGTTCTCACCTGGCTCGGAACCTTGTCCACCGCTGCCATCGTATATCTATACCGCGGCGGCATGGCTGATGTGTGTCTCTCCTCGCTTCTGTTGACTCTCCTGGCGGCCGAGTGGGCGTATCTCGGACTACAATTCGTCGTGCGCACAGCGCTGGAGAAAATTGCCACGGGGTCACTTCGCCGGGAGGCCGCCAAACGATATGCGATGCGCAAAAGCTACTTGGACGACATCTCACGGAGTACCTCGCCAAAGGGCCGACAACGCGTGCGCTTCCAAGACAGGGTGAATGTTTATAGCACGGCAACGGATGTCCCCACCAAGGCGCAGGAGTCCTTGCACCCCGGTCACCATGAGTCAACGAGCGAGGAGCGATTCTGGGCATGTCCCCCTCAAGATACAGCCGACGCCGGCGTTCGGCTGATCAAAGCCCTGAAAGCGGGAGATTCAGTGCAGCCCGAGAAGATGAAAAAGGGCGTATAGACTGGGCCAATCGAGCATGTTTGCGTCAGGGTAGAACTGTTTCACATTTTTCGTTTTCATTACCATTTCTAGTTTCCTCTTTCAACGCGGTTGACCTGTGTGACTTTTTGCCGTCAACCTTCCACCGGTATCGATTACTTGCCTGCTGTGCAGAATTCTGTCTCGACGTTTTCCCGTTGGGTCTTTTGAACTCTAGTTCCTATGGATTTGACATCCTGTCCTTTCACATCGGTGCATTTGATGAGTGCTACTAGTTCCCGGGATGCATATTTACTCAGGGTTGTGTACATACGTACTTTCTATTTCTTTTTGTTTTGGTATGGGGTGACAGGTTGGCAAATTCTCTTTATGAACGACGTATAGCCTAGGTATATCAATCTAATAATACACATTGTAACAATCCGTCCTGCACATAGTTCTCCAGTACTGGTCACAAACGGGCCGGCCATCATCCCGGTAGAAGTGAGATCGGTTAGAGTGAAATGTCGCAGACTGAACTCGTCGTTTGTGTCCGTGAACAAGTAGTTCTCCTGTATTGGTCACCAATGTATAGGTAGCGCGCCCTCGACCCGCAGCCAGGCCCACGCTTGACACTATCCGCTCGCGTATATCTGAGTACGACACGGAAACAATGAATAGCCTGTCACCCCCACCTCTTCTCTCCCGAGAACCTGATGGGTTACAACCATTAATTAGAGAGGGACTGGGCAATGAATAGTTACATTTTGATAGGTGTGAAAATCATATTTCGAGAAGCATCGAATCATTCGAGCAAGTTACACAAGATGAGTCGTGGTGGTACATCGTAAGAGATATATATTTTTCTTATGCTTTGATACACGAACACGCAAAATAACGCGAGGTGAAGTAACACAACAGTTGGCACGGATCACATGGTCTCTCCTATTTGCTATCCACGTGGATGGAGTGTAGGTTGAGCAAATGGGGTCGAGAGATTGGAGGGCATGGTTCAGCCTACGTCCTTCCACGGACCACAGAACCTTCTGCCACTGGGGAACCGATCGAACTAGACCTCGCTACGTATCATCAGCGAGTTGTCTAGGCGGACCATCGGGTATTCGGAATCGTACCGGTTCCCCCCTTATTTCTTGAAATTGACACTAGCCTACCTAAATTGGTTACCTACACGGTAGGGCTAAGACATGATACTGGCGAAGGATCTGGAGCCCCGGCGGAGTTCGGGTGATTCGGCCACAAAAGCCTACGCTGCTTGTGATAGGTACCTGTTCTCATTTTGCATGTCTCCAGGTGTGTCGAGGGATACGTAGGATTGGGTAGGGATGGGCATGGATGCAGATGCTCGTTCATGCAGGGAGGGGGGAGGGATTGATGGGCGGTCAAAGGTGGTGTGTATGGTACCATTGATGAGGTTACGAGGAGGATCACCGGAGGCAATTGAGGCATCCTTTCTGACCCATTCTTCATCTGTGTACTCAATTATAACCATACTTAGTGTTGAATCCACTTTCAGCCCTACAAGGCAACGCCAAGTCAAGGGAAAGTCAATCAGTCATCCGGGCCCACCAATCACATCATCCTTCTTGAAGTCAGTGACCGACATTCCATTCCATTTCCCTTTCCGTCTTCCTCCCTTTCTTTCCCCATCAATTTTCCCTTTTCCTTTTCCCCTTCCGTTAAAAGCCCATTAAAAGCCCCTTCCATTGCCCTCCATTTCCTTTCACCCCTCGCCTTGCCTCGTTCTTTTTCTCTCCCCTTCCTCCCTCCCTTCCCCTCTTTTGACACTCTTTTCTGGAGGAGCGAGTCTCCTCCCGTCTCCCGATGTGCCCCTCTCAGCGTCCCTGCGACTCAAAAACCGACCTCTTTTTCCAAGAGCATGAAACGGGAAAGCTCGTCCCCATGATAACTGTCGTACGCCGGCGTAGACGATGGCATTTGGTTCACCCCTCCTGGTACCGCAACAGCTTGCTGGCCAGTACGGGATTTTTAGAGTTCGCCAATGCGGGTGATTTTGCAGCCAATGTGTGGAATGAGATCCCTGTTCCTCGGCACGCTATGATCCTGATGGCCATTGGAGGTCCAATCGCTTTATTAATGAGTGTCGTTGCCCTCCGCGACTTCATCCTCAGCTGGCGAAACGTGAAACGTCTCCACGCCGAACGTAAATACCTACAATCGCTACAAAATGATTATTTGGTGTCCACCAACCCAGACCCGGATCTCATCCGGTTGATCGACAGCCGTCTTGGCGTCGGATGGCGCGAGCTGGGCACTGAGCTTATTGACCGCATCGCTATGGACGTTTTTCTCGGACTCGGTGCTCTCCTCGTCGGCACGGGAACCATTATGGCCATCTGGGGCGCCCACCCCAAAGTTTTCCACGCTAGTAACCTCCTCTCCGGATTCGTGGGGAACGCCTTTGCCGCCTCATTTGGAGTCGTCAACGCCGTCTGGTCCGTATACCTTGCCCGCCGATTCCACCGATACGATCGAGCCTGCGCGCGTGTACCCGCCCTGGCCCCCTTCCGAGACCGCCTTCACCTTCGCTTCAACAAATTTAAGTGGCACGCCGTCGTCTCCGGCCTCACCGGTCTCATCGCCGGCGCCGCCTCCATGGTCACAGCCAAGATGTGGTGGGGATACGTGGTACTCGCGCCATGCATGGTCCTCCAGGTGGCATGCAACCGGTTCTGGCGAGTGCACCTAGGCTACGATCGGCCGGTCGTCAGCGACTACGATCAACGCGGGATCCTACTCCGAGAGACGCAAGAAATTCGCGACGAAGAAAAGGACGCACCGTTACTGGACAGTCTCGCAACCACGGTAACCTTGTACAACGCGCTCGGTGCTCTCCCCTCGCCGAGCGAGGCCCTCGACTGGACGAGGCTGGACTCTCTTGTCCAATTCATCATCACGAACGATCTCTTTGATTCCCTCTGCGACTGGCTCGCGCGCGATAAATCCGTTCCTTCCGACGTCCGGGACGCCGTCTTCCGTCTCCCCGCTTCCGACGCGGAACTCGTCGAGGTCACTCTCACCCCAGAGCATCTCCTCGCTATTCCCCTGCCGCTACAAGCTCAACTGCGCGATCTGTGTCGTCAGTATCTCCAGCACGCCGGACGGAAAGTCCTGCTGTATCGGGAGCGGTATTTGTTAGAAATGATGGGGTCTATGCTCTCCAGGGAGAGTGAGTAATATAGCACGTCCTGTATACCAATATGTATATCGTCTCTCTTGAATAGGGGGGGGGCCATTGGGACACTCTGTGCCGGCACATGAGGCAGTAGATCTGCATGCATAGATATTAATGTGGATAATACAAAGGAAATTTGTACGGTAATAATAATTAATGAAGACATTTTGCTTAGTTTCTTGGTTGTACAGTAGCCCAGTCAAGAAAGGAGATAAGAAAGGAACATGACTAGGGTAGCATATGTCACTATTGTCATTCTTCTTCTCTAAATGCTCTCATCAAGCCCCATCCGGTTCCTAATATCGACACGGCAGCTTCTATCCCTGACTACTTTATCTCACTTTCCCAGAGCCGTCTGAATACAGGTGGATTACTTAAATGCTCCCTAAACTACTTTGACTATTTCTTCCGATTCGGAGCGCCCATCTTCAAATTGACGTACGAAAATTAATTCATTAGCATGACCACTACCTGATTTTGTATGTAACAGCTGATACCGACCTAGTCCATACCGCCACCGAAGACAAAAATACTGAACATACTCACTTCGGCATGAGAAACCCTCCCCCCTTCCCAAGGACTCTCACGAAGGCATTGCATAGTCGGGTAATGTGAAGCGAGGGAGTGATAGGCCAACCATAATTCATACCTTCTGTTCGACTGCGGGGAAAGAGTGGTTAGGGTGAATTGTCCAACTCATGCATACAATCAAGTTGATACCGGTGGCTATACTAGACATCTATGTCATCAATATACCGTTTCCCCACCACTCAATAACGCTAAACGCTACAGGTGTCCGAAGATCAGCACGTCGTTGGGCTATGGAATTAGTATCTCCTTTGCCGATAGGTCATGTAGTATTCTGGGAGGCGCTGCGTAGTACAGTACCTACAGTACCATTAGGTCTATCCCTGGACGGTAGACCTACGACCACGTTGGCTCTCACCAATGTTACTATCATGATGATACCAAAAAAAATAAAAAAAAAATAAAAAAAAGGAAAAATAAAGAAAGGAAAACAAAACAAAAATTATGTATAGTATATTATATTCTAATTCCCCAAAACGCCCTCTTAAAAACTAAATAAACCACTCCTCCTCTTCCCCAACGGATAAACCACCAAAGCAGCCACAAACAACCCCACCGTAATCCCAATCGCAACCTGCACCATCCCGAACCCCAAATCCTGCACGGACTTCTGCTTCCCCGATCCAACCCCAACAGACTGATTGCCCCCATGTCCACTACTACTAGAGATATTCGACCGAATCTCATCTGCCGATTCAACACCCGTAATCAGCGATCCAGATGCCGCCAGACCGGAGGGCACCAGGACAAAAATCCCGGGTAAGATAGCTGTCGCGGCATGACCGTGCCAGATACGACTGTACAGGTTCCCCATAACGCCTATAGCGAAGGCGCCGACGGTATTCGCAACCTGGGTATTTGTGCCGAGACGCTTTGTGACGAAGTAATTAGTGACGTAGCCCGCGAAGGCGATGACGATCATTACGGGGCCCTGTTTCCACTTCCCCTGGTTGATGACTAGAAGGCAGATGGAGAAGGCGATGACGAAGGGGAAGCGGGCGACGTAGGGGTTTTTGAAGCCCAGGACGTTTGGACACGTAGTCTTTGAGGTTGCGTTGCGGTCGATGAGGCCGTAGATGGTTGTTCCGACTGTGATGCCGTAGCCCAGGAAGAGGGAGTAGATGATTGCGTAGACCATGCGGATGGAGCCCGGGACGATCTTCTGGGACTGGAGCTCGAGGCTGCTGCAGAGGACTGTGTAGCCCGGGAGGATAAGGGCGATGGAGGATTGGGCGATGGCGGAGAAGCAGAAGAGGTATTGGTGCGTGCCGTGGATGGTTGTCATTATGCTGCCGATGGCTCGGGCGATGAACGAGGTTAGCACTGCGGCTGTTACTTCGAAGACGTTGCTGTAGAGGACTGAGCGGGGGGCGATGATGTGTTGCATTACTCCAAGGAGACAGCCGTTGAAGAAGATGATGGGCATGTCGATTGGTCTGGCACCGAAGGCGAAGGGTCCGACCATGGCTGTGGCGAGGCCGCAGACCAAGACGATTATTATTTTGCTGTACCGCGGTTTGCGTTTCACTATGTCTTCTAGTTCTTGGATAGCCTCCTCGATGCCGATCACGTCGTGGATAACGTTTTTATAGACGTTATGGGTTTCGGAGAGACGTCCTAGGTCGACGCCTTGGGAGACTCGGACTAGTTTGACCTCTGCGGTTCGTGTCGATGGGTCATCAAAGGACATTATCATGCAGCCGGGCACATAGAGATACTGACTATCCACTTCTAGTACCTTCGCAGTCATTTGCATGTACTCTTCTAATCGATGCGTGGGGGCGCCGAACATCATGAGTGCCTTGCATAGCTGCATGATATATCGTTCTCGAGCGATAATTTGCGCAATCTGTAAGGTAATCTCTATCTCGTCCTCCAGGCGCATATTTCCCAGCGATTGCTTGCTGCGCCGCTTCGAAGCAGCGGTGAGCACTTCACTCGAGACCGGTGTGCTTGTCCCGCTGATATTGGTTGTAGAGCCAGCAAGGGTATTAGGTGACATATTCGGCGGTTTTTTATACCATTTCCTTTTACCTGGTGTGCTTGTCCCGGGCGTGCTGCTATCACCCAAAGGAGTCTCCATCTGTCTAGGTGACTGACTAGTATTTGAAGGTCCACCGATGTGTGAGTGGTCTAGAGCCCCATTCAATTTCAGCAGCTGGGATAAAACACCCCCAGTACTGCCACTGCGTCGGAGTCTCCGATCATTCCACGCATCACCAGGACTTCCCCAATACTCCGGACCCTTATGCGGATATGGCTTTCCATGTCCAGGACGATGATAAACAGACCGGTCATGAGACATTTCCCGAACGAGACGATGAGCCTCAGAGCTCGATCTATCCTGCTCATACCCTTTCTCAGAAAGAGCCGGCCCGCTGTGTCCACCCGAGTCAGGACGATGCTGTATATCCCGCACATCCTGCTCATCAGACGGCGGGCGTCCAAGACGAGCCGCCCAGTCTCTCGCTTTATCCGTCACGGTATGTCGAAGCCCATATACTCTGCTGAGAAAGGAACCCCCCTGACTCGGATGAGCGGGTTTAGTAGGCGACACTTCCCCAAAGTCCACACTATTTGTACCATGAGAGCGATTAGAAAATACAGACCGCTTCCTAGGCCGCTCCTCGGTGATATCTACGGACCCCTGCGTGGTTCGATAGCCACCCTCCGGTGGTGCCGCCTCAGGCGAGCCCTCGGTTTCAGCATTGACGTCGCCGTATTCGTAGCTCAGGTCTGTGCTAAAGTGGACCCGATGATGGCGGGAGAGCGAGACACTGCTCGGACTGTTCTTCGACACATTGGCTGCTTGACCCTCAACATGATGGTCGGGTGTTCCTGGGCCCTGTGGCTCAACACTCCGGTAACTGATTAATGAACTCTGGCTTGCTCCGCTATCGCGCCGGTCCTGGGTCATGAGGGTGGTGTCTTTTGGAGAGATATGAATAAGCAGGATTTAATTAAGAGGATTCACTCTGTACGCTAGCTCGATAGAAATTCCTAAAATCTGCAGCACGTATAAGAGTGTCCAGAGTAGTATAGGAGGACGTTTTTGTATTCAAGCACCACTACATGCCGAGGAAGGTGCTGTGAAGGTCGGACTAACTTCAGGGCAGATCCACAGCTAGATAATCACATTCACTAGATCCAAGGGATTGTTCAATCAAACGAGGCGGGCGAAAATGATGAAAGCGAGGGGGATGTTTACTAGACGATCTTCCAAGACTAGATGTTTTCTGGTAGAAAACCACAATGGTCCCAACCATGGGTAGTTCGACGTCATATAGGATCAACACCAGCGAAAGGCACCACTAACAGCCTTATCGGAGGAGTGGACAATTGTTGTGGACCCCTTTGAAGGATGTTGACGCTTTGGAAGATGAGTCTATGACGCAAACAGTGAGTTTTTATGTGGGTCCAGATGCACTTCCGGACTTTTTACGTGACATGTAAATGTCGGCTGTATAAACTGTTGGAGCGAACTGAGGAGGGTTAACTGATACCTCCTATCATAACTTGACTTGCTCTACTATCCAGTAAATAATAGAGGGACTTTGGGTATCCTGGTGATGTTGCAAAGCGGATAGGTCCGGTTGTGGTGAAAGGTATCCTGGCCATGCGAAAGCTACTAGTGTGGATTACCGACGGTCTAGACGTTCAATTCAACTCAAAATTTGATAGATTTGATCTAGAACATAGTTATAAATATGCCAACCCCGGAAATGCGCGGGCTTCAATGATATCAATCGATGAATGTCCATATTTCCGACAGCATGTGCGATCTCATTTTCTTTTACTGAGGCATTGAATAACAGTCGAAACTCATAGAGGGTTTGAGAATAGCGTGCATCATGAATCTCATTTTTGCATTTTGGAGGACTCACTCAGGAACCCCTGTATTTTCAACAGATCGTTGCTTCTATATCCTGACTCATCTTCGAGTAATTGCGTCGATATAGCCACGACGGTATCGCATCTATCAACAACAGTAATAGTGTTCTGGACTCCTACAAGGATATCTTCTATACTGCTTAACAGGAAATTGTCGTGGCCTGAGAGATGTGTTATTGAATCTTCGAATCTATCGATCTCCTCTTCGAGAACTACTAAGGCACTCTGAGCTTCCTACAATTCATCATGCAGAATGCACCATATAGGACCTGATTAAGGAGCATCTAGCTCGTCAACCAAAGGGTCTTGTTTATTTACGCCAGTTAATAAATGTATAGCACAGCATTGTAGGCAATCAAGGATTTAAAGCACCTGCTGTACTATGTCTACGCTCGAAGATCGCTCTAAACAGAGACCTGGAGCAAGATAAGAAACAAGGTAAACGAGTAAAATATATGATCCGCTCTAAGCCTCTCGCTAAACCCCTGAAGTCTATTATTATCAATGCCGAGTGGGTCGAGAACAGGACCGAAGAGCCAACACGAACGCGATAGCGAAAACGAATTCGGCAATTAGATAGCGCTGAGGAACCGAAGACCTCAGCGAATACATTTTTTTCCATCTCTTCAAGATGATTATTATCTGAAACAGCCCCACGCAATTGGTGCATATTCTTAATGCTCTGTCCTTGCCAAGAGAGGCTTATAGTAGGATGGAGCTTCTTCGGCCTAAGATTATTGGTGGTGACCGAGTATTCGTCCTTCTAATTTTTTTCTACCTATTCTCTTCATGTTTAAATATTTGCAGCACCAGCTAGAAAATAGGTATTGAGCAGACCTCCCTTCATTCCTTTTCTAGTCTTATTCTACACATTCATTTATACTTATTTCAGCGTTCGGATCAGTATCCCGGCAACAGCAGATAACATGAACTCACGCAGTACAAGCAGTGATGCAGAAGCTGCAGCATCCTTCTCATTCTATCATTATGATCCGAGTATGGCTGCTGCGGTTATCTTTATCATCCTTTTCTCGGGAACGACCATATTCCACATATACCAAATGTTCCGGACACGGACTTGGTTCTTCATTCCTTTCGTTATCGGATGCATTTGTTAGTAACGCTCTATCAAATCATCCTTTCCGTTAGTTAGATACAAAAAGCTAACCGGAGCAGTTGAAATTATCGGCTACATCGGACGCGCAATGTCCAGTAAAGAGTCACCAAACTGGACTCTTGGACCATACCTCCTACAAACATTATTCCTGCTCCTCGCCCCAGCCCTCCTCGCAGCCTCTATATATATGTTTCTCGGTCGAATAATCTTAGTCTTAGAGGCAGAATCTCATGCAATCATGCGAAAGAAATGGTTAACCAAGATCTTCGTGACGGGTGACGTCCTCTCCTTTCTCTTACAAGGTGCCGGTAAGTGCAATGCACACCCATTAATGGCGACTTATATATAGCATTTCAGTCCTAACAATTGTCCGAAATTCAGGCGGTGGTATCCAGAGCAGCGGCAACCTCGACAGCATGAAGCTCGGCGAAAAAATCATCGTCGTCGGGCTTTTCGTTCAAATCTTCTTCTTCGGTTTCTTCATCGTCACGGCGAGCTCATTCGACATGAAGCTGAAGAAATACCCTATTCCAAGATGCTATTCTACTGAAATCCCGTGGAGGAAACATCTCAATGTGTTGTATGCGTCGAGTATGATGATCATGATTCGGTCTGTCTTTCGCTTGATTGAGTATCTACAGGGAAATAATGGGTATTTGCTGCATCATGAGGTTTTCTTGTATATTTTTGACGCGGTGTTGATTCTCATTTCTTCCTTGATTTTCAACGTCTGTCACCCGAGTGACATTGGTCGGTTTTTGACAAGTGAAGCGGGTCATGAGCTCAAGGATATTTATAGTGCTGTGCCTTGACTATTTGTATAATACGTATAGATATTTGGAGGGAATGATGGCGTCCGAACACTACTTTCCATGTCCAAGCATGGACTACCAACCAATAAGAAGCCTCTAACGTGACATGTCATGCTGTATAGCCCTACAAGGCTACAACGAGTCTGTGTTAAATGTCAACAAATAATCCTCGAACCAAGGAAGAAAGACGAAGGGTACATGCAACGTTCACATTGATGTCTTCTTAACGTAATTCTCGAGCAAGCGGGTCCTCTGTCGGTCTCCGAGTTGCCAATCCAGCCTACGGTCCTGATCCAGTCTATTCACAGAACTCTGCCATGGGTGCTTATCATGGTACCGTATTCTGGTCATGGCAGCTTGCTATGGCTAAGGGACTCGAACAACAGTTAGAACGTTGCGCTTCAGTTACATCTTCCGTATCTCTGGACTTCTGCCTAGATGTAATTGTGTATACTAATGATTGAGAAGAGCACTACACTCTCTGGGATATACTTGAGGAGAATCCGTGCCTGCTTTCTGTGGAGGTGTGGTCCTGGATCATTACGAATGATAGATTCCACGCAGCACCCTTGGGAACATTACCTGCACCTCCTAGTGTCTGCGGTGGAACCGGTGAGACCGTCTGGCCATGTCCTTGAAAGGGCATATTAACATAGCATTGCCTTTTATAATAAAATATCCGACAGCTCTGGTCTCTGACTTTCTTGGTTGTCACAAGAAAGTCGTCACTCTAGAGTGAAGTCCGCCCGTTTATATGCATAGGTCTTACGATTGGCCGTTAGATATCGGGATGATCAAGGCCAATAGGTCATAATGGAGATCCACATATCGAGTACGAGAACCAAGCAACTAAGCAAGCATACTATGATGCAATATATATTAAACATTAAATTGAACAGAGAAAGCGTATCTTTTGCATTGCTGCACGTGTGGCTTGTGGTACTAAATTAAAAAGCGAAACACAACCTTTAACTGTATTGGTTTATAGAGTCCATTGGACTTTACAAGAAGCTTGGCTCCTCTGCTAATGGAAGGTAAAATGTGAAAAAATTATTTATTTCTAGTGTGCAGTGATCGGTTCTCCAAAAAGTGTTCCATGCTCGATCCCGATTTCTGGTGTTTGCCTTTCCGTGAGATGTAACCACTGCACATGTCTCAACAGAAAGATTGTTGCTGTATACAGAATATAAAGATATTACACCTAGCATTTCGTTCCACATGAGGGCAAAATAACGACATAGCAAGGAGGAAAGTCCGGTATTAAATGTAAGGGGCGGAGTCAAGTATGTGGCGTCACTAGTTAGTTACGTTAAATACTGGCCACGCTAATTAAGAGGACTGAGCTAGCTAGTTACTTGACGAGTGGGTTTTGAGAGGTCTAGCAAGTACGTTAGCAAGGCAGAACTAGACCACCGCCCAAAATGATGATTTGTCCCTTGTTCCAATATCTTACATCTTTTTGTAACCATTCGTTGGTCAAAGATACAGTCAGGTGTTTATCGTAGCATAAACCAGTAGATAATATACGCGGAATTCTGTTGAAACACCTAGAATAGCCCTGCATTCATATCTTAGACCAAGGTGTAGAGGCAGCCGCGCGTCCAGAGTTGCAACCCTGGTACAGGCCCAGGGGAAGCTGAAGCCGCAATTCAGCTTTTACATTAGAAAGACCCACGATGTTCTTACAGAAGCCGGGGCTATTGCTGATGAGCACTCGGACTCACAGGATATGACAAGCTTGACTACCTGGCGACATTCGGACAAATAATATCACTTTTTTCTAGACTAACGTCACCCTAATCTCAGAGCCCGTCAAGCGCTGTGTTTATCTACATGAATCGGAAATTGTTATATCCATATTCTCATTCCTGTATCCCCAGCAGCTCGTCCCATATTGAACGCCATAACTATTATTTTGGTCTACGTAATGTCCACTACAGTGACCCATGAGATACACTAGTCCTTTTACCGACCAAATCCGAGGTATGATATATTCGACTTCCGTGCGAAATGAGTTGATCGTTAGTACAGCAGAAGCCAGCCGAGGTCTGCTCAATGATCAAGATTCATTAATTTTAAGATGGAGACATGTTTGACTGTATGATTTATTAAAACTAGGATGTCACCTGAGCCTGTCTGCGCCAACTGACTAGCAAAAGCTCGGCTCGGTCTCTATTTAAGGCCGGAAGTATTGGATCTACTCGCAACTGGCTGGAAGACGGGACAGCAAAGCCCGGCAAGCATACGCTGTTGGTTTATTTCTCTAATTAATTGTTTAACACTTATTGCTATTGCTACAATGCTTTATTTCTTCTAATAATTGTGTTGCTCAAAGCTCGATGCCGGCATATCAGTTCCAGTAGTGATGACGTCAGCACGTAGCTGTGTGAGATGCAACCAAAAAGAAGTCCGATGGAGCAAGACCCTCGCATGCACCGATTGCGTTCAAGGAAAGAATGATTGCATCTTTCCCGCTCCGAGCCGTGCTCCGCGGCGAAAAAAACGGCCCTTGAAGGCCGAGCTTGTTGCCCGACTGAAGCGGTTAGAGGAGTCTAGTGAGCTGAGTGGAAGGGGGATTCGGGAAACCCATCTAGGCTATACGGCAGAGACCGTTCCAAATCACCTGGGACTACAGGGATATCTGAGTGGATCAGATAGAGAAACTGAAAGGCCGTCAGATTTGCGAAAAAATGGTTTATACCGGTAGTGTTGAGAATGAGAAGCAAGGAAGTTTGATCTCGCACAAGGGTGCTAGTCAATATATGAGTCATGGAGCGCTAGTTAGACTTGGGGATCAGGCAAGGCATTAGATCTGCTGTGATGTGGCAATGGCATGCCATTGCCTTTGTGCTATCGACACTTTGCATTAGACCTAGGTCACCGGAATCTTACCGAGCATGGATGGGTGGAGCGCGCCTACATTCGGTGGAAGGCGCGAGACTTGAAGGAAAGGGGCGTGATGCTGAGCGCAGTCACGCATCTCACGGAGCGGGCTGCCACGGCACAAGTTCATCAGTGGCCCAGATCTGATGGTGTATCCTGCCCCAGCAAGTTACCTGACCCTATTGTTGCGAGTGTGTTTAAGGATGGTGGCGATGATTCCACGACAACAGATTTGCTAGAACAGACTCTTTTTTTCGCATAAACTTAAGCAACCCACCCTCGCATGTCCTCTTTGCCTTGACTGGACTAAAAGCGAAGTTCTACCCTACCATTAGTATTCCGCCCAGAATCATCAAATTTCTGCTTAGATAATATTTTCCATTCTCCTATCTCTATTCATATACTAAAGGGAGGTCTCAAGCGCTTCAACTACCCTCACGATATCTGACCCTCGTCGAAGCTCCTTCTGCTAATTACATCCCCAAAGCGGAATACGACGTTTGCAACTGTTCAAGTGTCCATTGACGTATATATCCCTCCCAGTCCACTGGCGTAACACCATAATATTTCACATTGTCAAGTTTGGGGCCCACAAAAGTCTGACCGTCAATCCAATAGTAGTGGGAAAACCTGTAGAAGGTTTTTTCAGTACACGCAAGAGAAATTAAAACGGGATAACAAGCGCTTCCAGCGACATATACTTAAAAACATCCTGTGGAACTTTATCATGTAGGCTGTGCATTTTCTGATACAAATCATCCCTCGAGCCACGTCTTTTCAAAGCCGCACTCAAGTAATGGACTTTCTCGAAAGACTCTGCAATCTCACGAATGAGGGCACGGCCGTCGACAATTGATAAACTTGGCCCTCTTTGCACATCGTATAGTAGATATGGCAGATGAATACCTACATCGCAAGATATCACGTGCATCAGGGTCCCCAACAACCGCAGCAGTGAACTGCACCACATTATCATTAAGTAGTCCCTCCATGACCTCATCGCCCTTGCCCCAATGCCAAAAGGTACGGGTACTAGGATCAAAGATATTAAAGAATGGACTGAATACCGGCTCCATGAATCCACCTATGAAAATATGACCACCGGAGACATTTTTCTTCGTCTCGAGGTAGGCCTTGACGTGAATCATAGGTTCTTTGGAAAAAGCTGGCCCAATTCGAGCTTGGTGTAATCAAGCGCCCAGTCGCTAGCAACATATCAGGACACATGGAGGTCTTCGCAAGCGTCGATGAGCTCCTTTTGACCGTCGAGCATGAGCTTTTGGTTGCCTAGGTAGCAACAGACGACTACGTGGCAACCTTGGACGAAGGAGCGCACTGTGTCTCGATCGAATGCGTCTTCTGAAATCAACTCGACCTTGGAAGATGCCTTGAAGGCCTCCGAGGCCTTACTGGGCTTACGACAATAGCCGAGGATTGAGATATTGTCTTTTTCGAGGAGGTATGTAACCAGGCGACGGGCAGACTTGCCTGTAATGCCTGCGATTCCGACGCTCATTGTGCAAGTTCTGGGTTGGAACAATTGATATGGAGAAATGCTTTGAGATTGTAGATACTGAAAGGCTTGATCTCAGACAGACATTATCAAGAATATAGCAGTCTTTTTATAGTTCCTAGTTTACTCTAGAGATATCTGTTTTTGTGAGCCACGGTTTATAAGGCCCGCCCCCGGAGCTTAAAACAACACCGGAAGAATTCCTGGCTCGGGGTCGGAACAGAAACGGATGACACACTAGACACTGTTATTGTCTTAAATTATTTTCTCCTTTATAGATTCGCTCATGGAAGAGTAATAAAACTAGAAATGTGAGAGGAGTGGCTCGCGCTTGACCGTATTGGTGTCTATCGTGACCAGAGAAGCCCTATTAATCAGCTGTCCTCAAGATACTCTCGACATGTTACTTCCGACTAGCTCCAAGATAGAGCGGCAAGGCTTCACCATAAACCTACACTGAATCCGCACAGAAATGCGGGTGCCAATGCCAGATATAGAATCCGCAGTGGTTGCGGGTACTGCGAGTTCAAAATTTAAGCCCGAATCGGCACCATTCACCACTCTATCCCAAGATTATGATCAAATTCACTTTACAGAAAGTTCAAACATGATAACTCTCGCGATCGTCGGAAACAGAATGTAATTTTTCCATTCTATCGAAGTAAGTAGGGTTACATACATTTATCTGCAAGGCTTATTATCCAAGAGGCTGTCCGGAACTAGTTTAAGTCATCCATCGCTAAAGTTAAAAAATGCCACGATCGCCATTAAATTCTAGACGTTTCAACCACTCGGAATCTGACAATGAACCCCCATGATGTTACTGCGACTCTACCAAAAGCTACGAGGAAGGGAGAGCTCCAATCCCTGCCTTTACTTCTTCCCATTTTCTATTTACTCTATTATGGTCCGCTTTACAATCGAATTAGCATTGCGAGATAAATTTCACTCATCCCGCGACCTTACAAAATTGAACTATCGACTAGTAAATTTGCACCGCAATGAGAATCTTGAAGAGGATTACCTTTTACACATCAATCCAGGAGGAAAGGTATGAAGGCTTCGAGATTTTTATAGATGATACCGAATGCACAACAAGGGAACATGATTCTTTTTTTGTTAGAAAAAGGAATGATAATACTAATTTCACACTGCAGGTCCCTGTCTTAACATCCAAGTCACTGCCAGCCCCTCTCACCGATAGCTTATCTATATCATATTGGGTCTGTGAGCAACGTCCAAGCTTGATCCCGGAAACCCATCGGGCAACTATACAACGCCTTCTATCCCACCTTCATCGCATTCGAACAGACAACAATCCGAACCCAGCGATAGACGATCTCTTGGCTCGAGTAGACATCACGCCTGAACATCGTCGTGCTCTGGAATATGAACGTGATCGGTTAGTTTAACTAGATATGCCATTCAGCTTCGCATTCCATGCTAACAATGAGGGTCACCCAGCGAGAGAAAGCACACAGAGCCTGAATTAGATGACGAAGACGAAGAAAGCATGACGGGTCAAGCGAGACATTTGTTCTCACAACTATTGGTTGAATACGAAAAATTCAATCGCGGTGGGATTTGGATATTTGGGGACGACACGGGCCCGACAGTGCTGGATGCGCATGCTGTGGTGTTTATTGCGCGACTGGTTGATATCCAACTTGAAGACCTGGTCCCTGTTCAGATGCTCCTGTATGCGAATTCCATCATGGGGTTGCCGGAATGGGATGCAGTGATGCGCGGAATGCCAACGGTCTGGAATTCTTCTTTGGGCCCTGTAGATCAACTCAAGGTAGTGTGATAGAAATAGGCTCCTGTGGTTAATGACACATCGTAACACCGATAATACTCCAAAGAAACAACGTGCCATTACCTGAAAGGTAGAAATGACGCAGATCAGGGTAGAATCGTACTTGGCAGGGTATCAAAGCCAGAAAGGTCTGAAACTGTGTATGATCACAATCAAGCCAATGGTACCCCTTCCAAGTTCTGATAATATCGTCCATCTAAGCCAGCTTGGGCTCTAGCTTCCGAGTTGAAAGGCTCTTTGATGTTGCCCCGGAAATACTTCCGTACATTAGTACGGAAAACGTGGACGGGATCAGTTCCCTCCTCTTGGCAGATCCATGTCAGCCATCTGTGGCCGGTCGTAACATGGGTGATCTCGTCGTTATGAATAACCTCTAAGCTCTGAACACTTTCGATATCACCGGCTCGGCGGAACTTCTCAATAGTCATTGGATTGACATCCAGACCTCGGGCCTCATGTACAAGCGCAATAATACTGATCCGCGCTCTGAGATCATGAGCCGTGATGGTTGCCGATTCCCAGAGACCGTGGTGCACAGGGAGGGCACCGAAGTAGGATCCCATTTCTTCCATACGCGCGCGCAGTAAGGAGAAGTGTTTAGCTTCATCGCTAGCCACCTTGAGCCAGTCATGGAAAAATGCTCGTGGCAGTTGCCGCGAGCCGCCTTGCGACGTTGGAACCGTCTGGAATGTCGCAAACCGGATACATATATCGACTGCGAGATCGATAGCCCAGAGCTCAATATTCGCCAGCGCATGTAACATAGCAATTCTGCTTTTCAAGGTACCGCCTTTTCCAGACTTTTGGGTTGCCCATGGCTGCACCTCCGACAGGCCTTCCCGTGGCGGTTGAGCAGGGGGTGAAACGGTCCCTCGCCCAAGGGGCATCGGAGAAGACGATGCCTCTCTTTCGGTAAAGATAGAAAATAAATGAGCAGTGAGCTCGATCTTGTGTTCCGGGTTTGGGCTGTTCAGAATGTGAGCACACCAGTCGCACACGGTGGCGTTATCATCAAGGTATTTAGCCGGGGCTGACTCTGTCTGGTGAACCTGCGAAACTTCCTGTTTCGGCGCGGCCTTCTTATTGGGTCCTTTACCATCCTTCAGCTTGAACTTCTCGCTGACAGGTTCAAGCTTAACCAAGGAGACATCAGACCCATCCTCTGCGCTGTACGACAGGGTCACGTATTCGCCACGGGCATCGACCGGGAAAGTGCAAGCCTTAATACCAAGGCTTGATTCACCTGTCTCTACATTGAAATCATAGGCATGCCACGGACACGAAACAACATATGCAGAGTCTTCAATATCCACTGAGGAATCTTGCATAGGCCCACCGGCATGGGGGCATTCGGCTTCCATCACATAATATACCCATCCATCGTCAGTCTCATTGGCCGCCTGATTTGCCTTCTTTGACGGGTCAATTACGGGCAGGCGGAACAATACCAGGCGCTTCTTGTCCGAGAGATGGATGACATAGCGCGCCTGACGAATCTCCGAGAGCTGACCAAGACGAATTAACGCCATTCTGCAGGTACAGAACTGAGGATGGGCAGGGAAAGAGAGCCTATACAGTGTCGTGTGGGACGATATTCATGGGTGCCCGATTTGGTGGGGTCACGTGGGGGATGCGTAGATTTTGACAAACTATCCCGTATCAGGAAAGAATGATTTTCAATTAAAACCTCTTACAAGTATTTTCCCACTCAATGTAAAAAATGTTGCATTCTTTTAACGAGTATCCGATGTGGTGTAATGGCTAACATCGCTGTCTCTCACACAGCAGCTCGGGGTTCGATTCCCCGCATCGGAAACATTCCTTTTTGTTTTGTCTCTTTCAGCGTTACGTATTCTCGCGACTGGCTTGGCGGTTATTAACTTGAGTCTTAACCTCTTTATTCTCTCCCATCAATGAACGAATTGTGCTCTCCTTTTTCCATATATATTATAACTGACACGAATATTGCTCTGAATATTATTTTTACAACAACTAGATGGGCAAATGCTGTCAGAAGTAGTGATAGCATATCGATATACTCCGTCCCTGTTTATATATATATGTAAAGGTGTCCATCCGTCCATCTTCGCATAAATTTATTGGTCTGATTGAAAGCAAAATCAAGACCGTAGAACTAGAAAGGTACATATTATAGATAAGAACTACCATATTCTCTTGCATTCCAGTCGTGCCTCCTTTGGTACAAGTTATCCAGCATCTATGGCATCGCTTTACACTGGCCCCGATCCCTTTTCTCAGCCCAACGCTTCATCCCGAATAACCCTTACTCCGGCATATACAAGAAGAAAGCTTGCCGGGTGCGAATTACTCAACCGTCGAGGGATCGCCTCCTCCATTGCAGTGCAACAAACGGATATATTATCATTGGACAATGATGATAGAATGCCAGAGGCGGCGAACAAAATTTGTAAACCCCTGACTCTGGTTGAGACTTCAATGTTTCAGGTAGTAGGACCAATATATAGTTATTTACGAATACCTGGGTGTTAATTCGGGAAGATCTCAAAAGGTCTCCTCAATATTATACGTTAACCCCTGTCCAAATTGCCGTGAATCTGTAGGCTCCGGGGAATAATCAATCTCATCGCCGCACCGGCCAATTTCAACCTAGATCATAGGGATAGTGTATGGAAGATAAAGATGTGCTACCCCATGTTGGGCCCTTTTTCACCTGTGGGATAGAGCAGGAATGTGTAATTTCTCGTTTACTAAAGATGATCGAGGATTTAACACACGAGTTCTCTCTTCCTCCACCGGATACAGGTTATAGACCATGGATTTGTTTAGCCGCATGCTTCCTGGTTGAAGCTTTGGTCTGGGGTATGCTCCCGGCTCCGGATGAGTTTGACTATTTTGAGGATTGCTCACTGATTTTCTCAATCCTGTGGGGCAGGATTTCCATTTTCCTACGGTATTTTCCATGATTATTATAGCAGCCATGAGCCTTTCATGTCGCAACCGTCCGGAATTGCGGCTATCGGTACCTCTGCCATGGTGGGTGCTGTTCCAGCTCCGTCCACGGGATCATTTCGCAATATTTAACCTGAGCTGACTGATCTCCACCGCAACAGGGAATCATGTACTTCGGCTGCAACTTCTGCTTCCTGGGAATACGGGTCCTGCCTTGGCTGAAGAACAAGATCGCCCTCGCTGGCCTGTGCGTCATGATCGTCTCCCTGGTTGCCTCCTCATTTGCCGAAAGTGTTCAGCAGCTCATCCTGACGCAAGGCATTTTATATGGCATAGGCGGCACGCTCTTGTACTCACCCGTGATAGTCTACGTCGACGAGTGGTTCGTACGACGGAAAGGATTTGCATACGGCATAATGTGGGTAAGCAGCTCTCCGTCAATTCCGTTACTGCCTCCCTGGTTTTCCGTACGACTGAACGATGCACGTAATCCCCCTCTAGGCCGGCACCGGTTTCGCTGGGGTAACCATCCCCTTCATCATGGACTGGGGCCTGAACAAGTACGCATGGCCAACCGTGTTGCGCGGATGGGCCGTGGTATTATTTGTGCTAACAGGCCCCCTACTGGCAATAATCCGCCCCCGGATCCCACCCAGCCAAGCCCAGAAACCCCATCGCATCGACCTGTCCTTCCTCACAAATCGCACGTTCCTCCTTTGCCAACTAGGGAACGTGTTGGAGGGGCTCGGGTTCTTCGCGCCCGCCATCTACCTTCCGCTGTACGCGCGCTCGATGGGCCTGCGTAACGAAGCAGTAACCGCAACAGTGGCGCTGCTGAGCATCGCTACCGTCTTCGGGTGCATTTTCATCGGCATCCTAATCGACAGATTTCACGTCACAACCGCAATCCTCGTCTCTTCTATAGGCGCCACCGTCTCGATCTTTCTAATGTGGGGTTTTGCAGAGACCCACCCCCTTCTATGTGCTTTTGCAGTCGTGTACGGGTTCTTCGCGGGAAGCTTCACCTCGACTTACACTGGTATCGTGAAGGAAGTGAAAAAGGAACATCCCTCTGTAGATGCAGGCATTATCATTGGTGTCTTGGCCTCTGGACGAGGTATTGGTAGCATTGCCTGCGGTCCCCTGAGCGAGGCCCTGCTCCAGAATCATCCATGGGAGGGTGAGCTAGCGTTTGGGTATGGGAGTGGCTACGGTGCGTTGATTGTGTTTACGGGGGTCACGGCTGGCCTGGGCGGTGTTAGTTTTGTTGCGAGAAGAGTGGGATGCATATGATGATTGTTTTGGGAGATATCTTTGGTGGCTTTGCTTCGTTTCGCTCATCATAGGGATAGAAGCGAAAGATGATGCCGCTCGAGGGAGGTGGGTGCCCTAGGCCCTAGGCTAAAATCCTGATCGTGTTATTGGTATGGTACAGATGTATAGCAGATTTATGTGTGAAGAACGCGGTTTTGTATTTTTGCCTTTAAATTATTGTAGGGTATCACATGGTCATGAAGATCATGATGATACTGTGGTAGCTTTTTTAACCTTCGTGGCCCGCTGGTGGGCCGACGGGTCGACGGATCGGCCCTCCCGCACAACACGGATAAATCGTAGCTTGGCGAACGGCAGAATAGTACTAAATTCTTATAAGATCATGTGGACTAGATAATGTGCAGTGAAGCTTCTCTGCCAGGATGTATACGTATGATCGCATTCTTTGTTGATTTGTCCGTTAGGTGATCGGCGAGTTTCTAGGCAGATATAAAACTTTGAAATACGCTACTGTGTTCGGTTCAGGGAAAAAAAAATTGAAAGAAAGAAAGAAGCAAATGAAGAAAAAAAAAGGAGGAATAAAGGAGGTACGAATAGAGAACAAAATATTCAAGGGGAAGCGAAAGGCGTCTTCAACTAGCCATAATGTCCTGATAAGCATAATATTCAATAAATCAACCCAAAATGAAAGCGCCATGTCACAATCACTACAGGTATGAAACATACATACGTAAAGATCAGAGATAGAGCCTCCTACAAGTATATAACGCACCAAAGGACCCTGCCCCGATACTCTTTCCTCCCTCAAAATTTGAGAACCCAACAGAGGCTCTCTTTCACTCTCGTGCAGCTCCGCATTTGGTCTATGGCGCGCCGCCAACCATAGCAATATCCCTTGCCCAATGCCCAAAAATAGCATAATCAATTGTGATCCATCCTGCTATCTAATACCAATTAATCACTATGTGAGAGGCCCCGGCCAGAAAATCTTCAAAAGGAAAAGTAACTCAGAAGACCTCAGAGATAGCTAGTAGTATATATACGACCGCTTGGATCTTTAGACCATCGATGCTCAAGCTCGGCACTGGGCATTGCTTAAGCTCTCGAGCTTTTTTAATGAATGATATTATGGCAAGTATAGTCACGATTGGATTTATTGAGAATAATGCAGGTCCGAATGAAAATATACTCTATACGAGCAAGATACTAGCATTGTCAGTGACGTATCGTGGTGCAATTGGGTGAGACGTATAAGCTTAGCCAATCGGGAAAAGTGGCCATTGTGTTGGCGTTGGAGAAATTGATGGTTACTAGGGTGATAAGGTGAGAATAGATCAAGGAAATCTATTATATATGAAGTACCTAGTGTACTATACAGTAGGCGCTACATGAGCAGGCTAGAGCATCAGTATTGCGACGCTGCTATTTATTTTTGGGCTGGCTTTCGAAGAGGCCCGCGCACGGGTGTACGGAGTAGGCTGGAAAAAGTAACTAAAGATCCAACTGGGCTGTCTAAGGCAAGTATCTATAATATAGTGGACTCTACAGTGGTTGATTGTGAATTATGATGGTTGGCCATCCCTCGTTATCATTTGGCTCCTCAACGTATGCTTTCTGCCAGCATGGCAGTGTTACTATTGTAGAAATATGATCTTCCATGGTTCCCCAGTTCTACTAGTCAATCTTAGCACCCTTAAACCGATACCGAAAAGTGGAACCTACATTAGTTCCAAACGGCAGCTCCATGAGGCTCTTCCCGTTCCATGTCTCATGGGCTGAAGAGTGACGAAATCTTCATGCTGACCGGGAGAAAGCTGGATATCTGGGTCATCATATATTGTAAAGCCGCCACAGCTCACGGCCTTCTCACGTGTTTCTCAACCATTGTCACGCAACTGGTATAGCCAGAATATGTCTAGGCGGATGTTGTGGAATGTAATTGGCCTAGAATCATCTGGAGAGCACGGGCAGTAGCTAGCTTTTATTGTCACCCGATAGCCATCGTGAAGGGAAGCAGCTGGTGGGCATTCAAGCTCCATCGCGAAAAACGGGGATCCATCTCTGTACCTTGTTCATCAGCAAAGGCCACAAAGTAGATCAATATGCAAAGGATGTTTCTAACATTCGGGATGATGGCTGGGTAGGTGGAAGGGAGCTCGGAGCTGGGTATGGGGGCTCCCCGTCTTCAACAGTGAACGTGATATGTGGGCCACCTGGTAGAACAAGGGAGGGTTCTCGAGTCTTTTAAGGTTTTTGTTGTGATGATCTAGGACCGAGCCCCAATCCCACACCGAAACATGTCCCCCTGGCCACAACAGTGTGTGTCGTTCTCCCGGTTTTAAGTATGGCAGATATAGCTCAGAGGATTACTCCTTCCAATGACGGGCACGACCGGGGGATACTCAATGGTAATGGCGCTCCATTCATAGACTGGTGGCTCTGATTGACGTACTGGGGGTGCATGGTCTCCAATTCCTTCCAATCCCTTGAGCTATGGCGGAAGAGCATAAAACCAGAGGCAATGAACCCGTCGGAGTGCGGACAAACGAACACGAGGTCTCTCATCTCGTGAGAAATCAAAGGCGCATCGCGCCTGAGAAATATGTTTAGATACAGTTCTGTGTGACAGGAAGTAATACTACATTTGCTCTTTCCCTTCAATTGGAGATACGTGGCCAGAACCTCTTCCTCCATATTCACCTGCTTTCTCAACGAGAGGAGTGGTGCGTGTTAGGTAGTGCTTATGATATCGTCGCGATGAGAGGTTGAAGTAATATGAACGTGAACTCTAGAGTGCGTAATAGCCCCTGCTTACAGTCTTCCTGGTACCTTAGGCTACCGTGATATGCTCCGATTGGGAGCCGGGTGTGTTGAGTCTGCGGCTTCCTACCCTACCATAGTCATGATTAAGCTGCAAAGTAGATCATTCGAATACAGATCACTTTCATCGACTGTTAGCTAAAGCCATATCGCAGGCGTACAGGACCTAACATAAGTTACCAGTTACCGTGATATAGCTTACTATATAAGAGAATTATGCAAGCGTAAAATTAACTTCTCCCATGCCCCATGACTTGCTAAGGTCCTATTCGTATAATACCTCGTGAAGGACGAGGACCTCTAATATTGCGACTGAAGTCTGTAAGGCAACCAGCCACGACCTAAATACCAGCTACAAGGAGGTACGAACCATATTTGCCCACGTCAATTACCCAGCAGAAAACCCACTAATGCAATCCCGACACTTGCTCTACTAGAAGCGGGGTACGCCGGAAATCGCTGTGCATCGTATTCAGAGAAGAGTATTGAGTTGAGTTGTTCCTATTGTGGACTTTAATTGGCTAGAGACATGGATGAACCATGCAAAGAGCACCTATACTTAAGGAAGCTAAGGTTACCACCAATTGTTCCGACCGATTCAGAGGCGCGATATTGCCCGAAGTGCTCCAAAAGATGGAACATTCCCTGGTAGGGAGCCAGACGACGTGACGAATGTGGCGGTTCACAACACATTCCCACAGACTTCTTTGTCAGTTAAGGGGACCGAGTCCTGCATGGATATGTTAACAGGGTCAAATACTTGACGATAAAATTGTGTCGTAAGACAGCCCTCTACTTCAATATATCAGCCAGGGCTATCCATGCTAATACACTTTACAATTAATATACGCGTCCTGCGGTAGGGCTTATAAAATACTATAACAACTCAGCTTGAATCATATAAAGACCCTGACTGGAGCTTCAGTCTGCCGATTATCATTTGAAGCTACTACTAAGACAACGATGGTGGACTGTAGTTTGTGTTTGTTCCTGATCTTTACATCGAAGTCATGTGCGGGCTTCTGCCGATATCATCTTCGCTACCAAAAACTAAACCTCGAGAGGCTTGGATCAATCTGGTAACAGGACAACTTACAATGATAAAGTGAGAGAGAAGTGAAATTTAAGATACTAATTATAGCCGCTTATGAGCATACACCATTTCTAAAAACCAGGTAATCCCACAGACGCGCCTGAGAAACCCTAATTTGTCACTTATAGCAGATATATCTGCATCTGCGATGGATGGATGGTATCCTATCATGATGATATTCTAATAAATTAAAGAACTGGAATACCTGTGAAGTGAAGAGAAGTTCTAGCTGAATACGGCGTACCTAGTTCGACACAGGCTCCTAGGTCAGGCAGCACTGCAGTTCTCCGACGAGGCTGTATATTAGAGCTGTAGGGCCAAAGGCAAAATCGTCGCCTATGTGGCTGTGTAGACTTCTCGTAAGCAGGTAAATCCCTGTCAACGGCATCATCGCAGCCACCCCCTCCTCTAGATTTTCCTTTCGAGATGGTAGGTGTTCTTAATATTAGACTCGTCCTTTCCCCTTGGGTAACAAAGAAGACGCCCAAGGGACAAGGAACACCTTATTCACCTCGCATCAGATTTAGTCTTTCAACGAATGACACCTCACTTGGAGGCGGTGCCATGGTCTCATTGGACCGACATAGGACTCAAGCGAGGAAGTGTTAACGCAAGGCAGCGTATCAACGACAGCCACACATCTCGTGAAAGACGAGGCTCAATTTCCTTTAGGCAATGACAATAGAGAGTGAACCAGAAAAGGAATAACGACCAACAGAAAGTGGTTGTTCGCACAATGGCATTAAGTCATATATATGGGGTCACACCAACCCCACCGGGTGGTACTTTATTTCTTCATAGCGTGAGATATACGCATCGGTTGATCTTCACTGCCATTCCCGATATCATAGACGGGGCTCTTACGGCCGATTTCCTCCTTTGTCATCATGTCTTCATCTTGGAAAGACAGGCTTCTGCCGTCCCTCCACGCGCTTCTACTTAGCTGTTCAAGGGCAACTGTATTGGCCTCTGAGGTACGGTTCGAGGAAGATTTAACCACATCCCAGGATCAAGCTCTCGCTGTGCTTATCGAACTGGACGCGGAGGTTAAATGTCTGCTCCGACGGATCCTGCAGCCGATAGCCTGTCAGCCACCACCAAACCCGCTCCTCACGTCAGTCCTCCTAGGTTCAACATGTGCGCTCGATCTATTCGAGAGGCGGATACGATTGTACGGCCTCTCCAGTCAGGGTAGAGAGTCTGTTTGTGAGTCGTGGACACGGCTCATCGAGACGCTACAACAATACACCATGAACCTTCAATCTCTGATTGGGGCTTTCGATCCGGTTTCGTAAGTCATCATCTGGTACATGCTTCGCGTCCATTCACGGTACTGACTCGGCCGTACGAAATATAGTCCCAAGCCTATTTCCAAAACGCCTTCCCTTCAAAATTTATTCAGCAAGCAGACGAACGATGTACAACAGGAGCTGGAAGCCCAGATCCGATCTGAAGTCCAGCAATGGGACAGGCTTCCCCACACACAAGAGTATATGGGGGTACAGCACGAGTATCCGCCATCCACCTATGCTACTCCACCAAGCAGCATCGCTGATGACGATATCCGTGACGAACTTCCCCCCATTCCTGGGCCTCCTCTCCGATATTCCGATTTCGTATCAAAGGGCTATGACCATCATCAAGTTGAAGTTGAGCAAGCTCGGGAGAAGGAGCGCGCGAAGATTTACGATACCCTGAAAACTATCTGGATACCCGAGCATATGGCCCCGGAAGAACGGTCGAGTCACCTGTTGCGCGCAATAGAACTGAACTCAGTTGATGGAATCAACCTTCTTCTCGATCTTGGTGCGGACGTGAATCAACCGTGCAGGAATGATTTGCCGCTGTGCCTGGCAGCTAGGAAAGGATATGACAGGGTAATTGAAACCCTCCTGGAGCGCGGCGCAAAGGTCGAGGGACGGAGTGCGTACGGCAATACCGCTCTTTTATCTGCGGCTAAAGCTGGCCATACCTCAACCATCACCATCCTCCTAGCCAGGAATGCAAAAAAGGAAGCCAGAAGTAATTCCACTTGCTGTCCAGGATATACACCGTTGATGAGGGCGGTGAAATTTGGACAGATGCATGCAATTCGAATCCTTGTCGAGGGAGGTGCAAACATCGCGACCCAGAGTGACGGAGGGGAGTCTTTGTTACATGTTGCAATACAGGGTGGCCATAAAGAGATCATCGACCAGGTACTTCGGTTCCAGCCTCGGATCGGGATTGCAGACAGAGATGGCAACACAGAATTGCACCGCGCCTCCACAAAGGGCCTTGTTGAAGTCTGTAGGTCCCTCGTGGGACAGATGAAGAGCCTCGTGAGAACGACCAACCACAAACAGGAGACACCATTACATTGCGCAGTGAATGCTAGGAGGTGTGAGCTGGTGAGACTGTTTCTCAGCGAAGGAGCGTTTGTTGATTGTGCCGATGATGCAGGGAAAACGCCATTGCATCTCGCTGTTGAAGCTAAGAGCCAGAAGATAGTTCAACTACTCCTTGATATGAATGCTTCCCCTTGTGTAAGAGATCAGAATGGAAAGACCCCCATCCACTATGCTGTCGACATGTCCAATAAAAGTATTGTCCGGCTACTAGCGGAAAGAATGCCTTCTGTCGATGCTAAGGATGGAAACAAGCAAACGCCACTCCACTACGCCGTAAAGTCCATGAACCTTGAAATTGTGCGCGTGCTATTATCACATAAGGCAGCGCCGAATCGCAAGGACCGAGCTGGTAAGGCACCACTTGAATATATCATGGAAATGCCCAAGTCAGACGAGGAGACCGCAATCCGCCTTATCCAGGAGTTCTTACGCTCACATGAGAAAGGACAGAAGCTCACATCCGCATATGGCTTTCCTGCGCTATCTAAGGCAGCAAGGGAAGGCAAGGTGCGTTTAATCCAAGAGTTTTGTCAGTACGATCCAAATCTCGCCAACGAAGTTCCCGCTTCCGACTCAGCTTTTGAACCTCCCTTGCACGAGGCCATCATGTCCGGTCACAAGGAATCAGTGCAAATGCTTTGCATATTCCCGGAAACAGACAGGAACATTTTTGACCGTAAAGGGAATACACCATTGCATCAAGCCATAATGCACTGGCAAGATGGGTTGCTCGAAATGTTAATCCAGGATGGAGCAGACAAGGACTGCCCTCATGCGATAACGGGGTTGCCGCCGCTCCATTTCGCCGCGAGCATGCAGAGCCTCAAGAAAGTCCAAGAGCTTTTAAAGGCCCAGGCAGATCCTACGAAGCGCATCGAAGGACCGCAATGCTCATGGTGCAAGGATCATAATAGCCCTCCGGGTAGGAATGCAAGGTGTGTCCTGCAGGAGGTCCCCGATCAAGATCGGACGCCAGAATACTGTTCGATTAATCGACTCCTATCTGACGCTATCCTAAGGCCTAACGGCGCAGGTTCCGGATCGACGAATAGTAGCAGGAGAGGAAAAATAAGAAGTCCCTACAGGGTGGGTTCATTGGTTTACGTTCTGTAAAAGACATGGCCATTAATGAGGGGAAGTATAGAATACTGTTTTGTATGTTTAACTGGATGAACTAGTTTGTGCACCTATGTTGTCTTAAGTTACCTTAAATTTTACTTACATTGTTCATGGTGCCACATAATCTCTTAAAAGACATTATCACTAATGAGGTATGGGCAAACCTCTACCTGACCATGTGTCCCCCTGGAACGGCCGATATATTGTGTCCAAGGTGGTGAGGCCGTACAAATGTCGTTTTCCGCGTCCGGGTCGGTGTCAGTCGTCATGGATAGTTAACAGGTAGGAAAATGCTTGGTATAGGGTATTAGAAGAATTGATACAGGGAGAATCATACTGTGATACATATAAGCTAAAGCCTTAAGTTGTTATAGGATAGTTTGTCTGGCTCAGGCTATTTTTCAGCTGAATGGCTTAGGGATGAAACTGGACTAGAACAATTGACTGTTGTATGGAGTTGATTAGGTACTAAGTAAACAACAGTGATAATTGGGACCGAAACTACCGAAACTACTCCGTAGCTGAAAAATGCTCTCTTTCATTCCCTCATGTTGATACTCCGTGAAGGATTTGGAAGATTTCATCTGGATTCTGCTCTAAGTGACGTGCTAAAACTAGGGTCTCACTGTCAGGAAGTCTCTTGAAGCAGTCAAAAAAGGCGCGAACGATATCTCGCAACGGCTGCTTTAGGTTCAAACGTAATCGAGTCAAAATTTGATGGGACCCGTCCGAGCTGTGGTAGGTGCTCTGACCGACAGAAGACCTGCGGACATATGACTAGTCAAGAGAGATAGAGCGTGTATAAGGGCACCGAAATAATCCTACAGGGTCAGTCGCGGGAGATGTTGACACAACACGGGGGTATAGAGTGGTTCACGATGTCCAATCTTCGGTCCTCGCTCGTCGTCAACGAAGCTTTGGACACTGACTCGATCAATATGACCTATTAAGAGATGAAAGAGATGGCTTCGGCGATGACACCGGGTACGCACCTGGCACAGAATTTAGCTCAATGCATCGACACATCATTGCATCCCTCCGCAGGACGCTTGCTATTCCATCGCTTTGTTTTGCCTCACAGCGCGGCTACCCCAGCACTCGTGCCTAGTCTTCTCGCACTGTCTGCCCAACAGCTGCAAACACCTTCAGCCTTCGCTCTCCGAGATACCTTTTTAGACTATCTGTTTGACTTAAGGGTTCGACTTATGACCGAGGGCATGACAAGAACTTGGAATTCCTCCCAAAAAATTGATACCATTTCATCCAGGTAGAGGTCAGGCTTTTCCAGAAGACGCTCACGTAGGGTGCAAAGCATTGGCAGAGTGGCGCCCGCGCCTGATTGGCGGTGCTTTGGTCATGCCAAAGCAGCGAAGATTAGATCGAATATACTTGGTGGAACGCTCACTGCAGCTTGCAACGTCGGCTATTTGGGCAGTAGTCAATGATCTGCTTATAATCATATCGCGGATCGGCTGATGCTGGGGGGCAGCCAGGTTTGGAGCCATTTTGGCTGTTGGCGACAAGCTTGCCAACTGAACCTAGGAGAAAGGATAGTCTAGAGCTAAGTGAAACACCTTGTGCTCTTCCAGGAGACGCCTCTGACTATTGTGACCTTTCACACATGCTGGCTATGCTATATAGACTTCCATCTAAAAAGTATGTTTAGAGGATATATCTCGTGAGATTGCGGAAGCGAAAAGAAGCCAACCGAGGTGGGGTTGTCAGCAAACTATCAACCCACTAAAGGCTGCAAAGACAGCCAGTCGATGTGGCTGGCCTTCAGGCCATGTTTATACAGCTATTTGTAATACCCCACTCCTTGTACTATAGAATTTTGGTAGAGAATTAAAGCTTTAGAACACACTATTCCAGGTCACTACTCAGGGCGGTTTGTTGAAATACTCAATTTTGAATGCGTCTGCGGGGTATAACCAGAGGAGAACTAGTTTGAAGAATACGTATAGCGAGTATGGTAGCAAAGAATATTCCGAGTATCTTTTTGGGAGTGACAAGGAGTAGGGTTATAGGTTACTGCCAATGGTATTTCGCCTCTTGCCGCCCCAGCCCCCTTGACATGTTCTTAGGACAAGGCTGAGTTTTAGTAGATAATAGTAATCTTAATTTGGTCTTTGAAATTATTCCGGTCCCCTTGTTCTTCCTGAAGTAGAGCCAAAGCTAATAGACCTTTGCCTCTCTCTTTAACTTCTTTCAAAGATTTCTCAATCATTGCCTCTATCAGAGCAACCCATAACTGTACCTTGATCAAACTATAATTAAATGTTTTATCCTTCACGAGAAGAGTTTCAAATCGGGTGGATCTGCGCCCTTCCTATCGAGGCAGCAGCAGCCAAGGTAATGCTTGATAAAAGTTTCGGACTTCTGGATGAACAAGATATTACAGGTTGGCTTGATAGTTAGCATGGGAGGAGGAACTCTATCCACCATGAGTGACATATGGCTTGGTGATATTGTAATCAGCTGTCCAACAGGTACCTGTGGAGGTATGCTTCAGTATAATATAGACAAAGTTGGAGTTAAGTGTAAATTTGCTTGAATCAGATCCGGGATATCTCTGTAGTGCGATTGGAAGAACCCCAAGAACCCAGAAAGCCTTTGCCAGACCTGATCAGCAGAGTGACCGGTTATTTCAGATCAAGCACGACCATCCAATTGCTGCAGACTACTATAATGGATATCTGAGAGAAGAGGAGGAGACCAGAAGTGAGTGTGAGGACAATGAACCACAGTCTCACTACAGTATTATTGCGTCTGGGAATTCTGTTATCAAACACGGATGGACACGGGAACAGCTCCATACGCAAACTGGGGCACTGTACTTTGAAATGGAGGTGGCAGGATTAATGTTGGATTTCCCCTATATTGTGGTCCGCGGTATTTGCGATTATTCTGATTTGTATCAAAACAAGCAATGGTAAGGATATACTGCCTTGGCAGCGGCATTATACACTAAAGAACTTCTAGAATATATTATAAAGAGCTAAGTGTCGCAAGAAAGCCTGGCTAAAGATATTTGCTATAAGTGATATTCAGATTAGTCTTATATTTAATAAAGACATAATTTACTTATATGGTACTGTGTAGGCTCCCTAGAAGATCTAAATGAAAAAGTCAAAGGCACCAATAAATAATTGAATAAAGTATATAATCAACAAGAATAGTATCACACTGAACAAATAACTTGAGTCTTGACAGATCAGCAGAAAAAGTATCATCAAGTATTCAAGACACCAAACTATGAGCAGTGCAAGAAGCTCAATCGATTCGATATCACTGGGCTGCCAGGTCACACCGCCCTGTACGAGCATTTCCCAAAGAACTACCTGTGATTTATGTCAAATTTTGAGCTTTTACCTACCAATGGCAGCTCTCATATTCCAAAGGTGGGGGGTGTGAATGATCGTTTTCCAGAGCTCATGCGTCTCTCAGTCCAGGATATGCTCAATACCTACTGGAAGTACATATAAGCTAACACCATCTTTTGGCTGGCAGGATGGGGCAGTATGATATCTATCGCATTTTTGTCATGAATACGCATTTCGAGTTAGATACTAGCGCTAACATTTGTTTACGAACAGTAAAAGTGGCTTTCATTGAGATTGAGGACGATAACGGAGGGAAATCGTCGATTATGTCTATAGGGAGCGTCCTAGCTCATGCCATCAGAGTGCTTCTATAGATAATATGCGATACACGTAGGCAATCAACGCCCTGTAGAGCAACGACAGAGAACAGAGAGTATGATAAATGCTCTTTTATTCCTTCTCCCCTCTTGTATAAATAGGCTAGTACGACTTTGGTTAGCACGAAGCTTTAGTCTCCAGAAGCCCAGCCACCAATTTATACCATTAAGCTCTGATGGGTTCCTCAATAGCAGCCATTTCGATCGGGGCTCCGGCCATATTGCGTTTTTGTTAATATTTCTCAATATCATGTTCCACTTCTACAAAGATGAAGCCGCGACAAGCATCGAGTGGAACCCTAAGCAGGTGCAATATATTGAGGCATGGAGTTTTCCCAACGTTAGTCGAGAAGTCTCCTAATATGTTCCCGACTAATTTACTAAGATTTCGATTTCAATTGCTAGGTAAATGAGGTGATATCGTGGAACTTTCGCCAGGGACTTCTTGACAACTCCCAGATAGAAGCCTGGCTGCAGCAGACAGGAAGCTTTTCGATCCCAGACTTCCCTCCTTCGGTTGGGCATTCAAACGGGGGTGTTAGATTATTGATATGCGATTACACTTCATTCCCACATCCCTTGCTTGGAATGTCTTTTGAAAACTATTGCCTTGTAGAATCAACACTTGGGCTTCACCCGGCTACCCTTCCAGCTCTCCAAGTACATGCTGGGACGTTTTCGGGACATTTCAAGTCCAGCCAGGAGAAAGATAAGATATGTGCGTCGACTGCTCTATTCCGCACAACTACGCCAACTACGAACTGAAGGGCTAACATGACAAAGCCATTGTTCTTAAAGCTCCTCAGAAGTATGAGATTGCCAACTACATGCTCTCCCTCACGCATGATCCTACCTCGCGGTGGACCACAGCTTTACTTGCTGGTGAAGCAATCATCGAGCCACCCCATCTATTTGGAGAATATCCCTCGGATATACCTATCAGATTTCGTGCCCCGGCAGGAGTAATCCGAGCCAGCCTCATGCAGTCACCCGAAGCTTGGAACAATCCACTTACACTTCCATGTATCCTCGTCACTGACCATCTCAAACGATTACAGAACTACTCCACAGGATCCCTGACCCAAGAAGTCATGATCATAGAAGAGCAGCTTGGAGTCACCCGCGTTGGCCGAAGGAACCAAATGCCACGTTTTGACGGCCAAGCGGGCAGAAAGTCTCAACCCGGTGATACAGATGGGTTGAACTTTGGCATACCGGAAAGATACCAGGCAAAGTTTCTCACCATTGCCATTAACACACGGCTTACCAGCATCCTATTCACAAGACGTTCCCCAAAGTGGAATTACGAGGCATCAGAGTTTCTCATGCGGCTTATTAGTGAATTTTCTGAAGTGTTCCAAGAGCAACAATCTCTGAACGATCGAATGGGTGAGCTGATGGAGCACAATATCTCTCTCGCACACTCCATTGAAGACCAGGTCCTAAACCTTCAAGCCCGATTGGAACTTCAACTGAATGTGGTAAGATTTAGACAGGTGGCCGTAACTGATGGACCGGCTGTCATTGACAAGAATGCAGTTGTACAGTTTCGTAGCCCAATCGGACAATCAACTGAATGCACGGCTCGCCGCAACAACTGGGAGGGATAGCACCTCTATGAAAATCTTGGCTTTCATCACGACAATCTTTCTTCCTGGGACATTTATCGCGGTATGTTTGCAGCAAACGGAGATAGGATTCTATTGACTAACCCCGTGCGGTTTAGACTTTGTTTTCAATGGACATGTTTGATTGGAAAAATGACGCTTCAGACCCTAGCCTTACTGTATCGTCACAATTTTGGATCTACTGGGCTGCAGCACTCCCACTTACAGCCCTCACTCTCGGTGGTTGGGCCCTATGGTGGAACTTCGAAAAGCACCGCTATGATGTGCATAAGGCAGCGGCGCCCAAAAGAGCAGACAGACCATCCAAGTCATCATGGTGGCGGAAATCCGCAAACGTTTAGAAGAGATATGGCCATCGAGATAATGTGTACCATGAGATGGAATAACATTCATCTAGATGGTAAGGGTGATCCGCCCGTTCTCAATCGCTTAGTAGAGGAATTTGGCCTTATCAGATTAAGGTGTAAATAGATAGCTCCCAGAATGCAAACGTATGCGAACCATGGCTGCCAAATCAGTCTCAGATATGCGTATTCACTCCATTTCCTGCGTTACCGGGGCAATTCGCAGGACCTCCCTGCAGTCACCGGCAGCTCCCATTTGTGACCAGATGTTGCTCCTATCCCTAAACCAACTAAATCATTTGAGCCATATACTCACCATGGGGCTGATATCGGTGACGTTACCTTCATCAAATACGAAAAGGAATCAGAGACATCCGGCATATTCCTGGTATCCTTCCAGGAACGGCCCTGTTTTATGAAGGTGGCGTGCTTTAGAAAGTCGCTTTGTTAACTATTCGAACATTTCTACAACAATCTAGTATCATACAGTCGAGAGAAGGCCCTGGCATCCTACAGAGAAACCAACACGTTTACCTGCCTATGTTTGCCTCAAGGAGGAAAGGCTATGCCAACAAGGGATTGCCCTAGGTCTCTACTGGGTAATCGATAGAATTGAACCTGATGGCGACCTCATCTAGATCGTTTCTTAAAGGGCGCACTTCGCCCAAATGCTATCTTACTGGAATTTATTCCAGACATACACGAAATTGATCTCACAACGTATACGGGATATCGTGCGACCACTCTTCTGCAGATTATTCGAAAAGTTCACGAAGCAGGAATTGGACATGGCGACCCGTGTCCTCGCAATATAATGGTTCCGCCTGACGCAGGTCGAGTGCTTTGGATAGATTTTAGTCGCACGCAAATGTTCGCTGCGGGCCTCATACCAGACCGGATGCGTGAATGGGTGGAAGATAATTTGTTGATGACCTCTGAGATTTTAGTCTTCCTTGTAAGATATCCCGATGTTTAATTATTTTTCGCTAACTTTCCGCTTACAGGCACAAGATGTGAAGGAGGGGAAACTTGTCCAGGCATGGGACTACTATTATCATTATTCATAATGATTACATACAATTCTTTCCAAGGACATGCAAAAAGGTATGCGGCTATATAAGCTGTGCGTTGTCTTTACAAAGAACACATTCCTGATTTAAAGCCGAAGTGTATAACAAGCATGTCACCTCCTATACTTATGGATATCAGTTCAGCTAACCAACCGTAGAACACAAGTAAATACCACCTTCATCTCGACCCATAACCTACTCAACATCACATCCATGAACTCATTCCACGGAGGGATCGTCTCACCAGGCGCAAATTTCCCCCGCGAAGGCCGCCAAATCGGCCAAAAACGCAGAGGTTGCGTCTTCTTCTCTATCACCCTCCACTCATCATCCGGGGCTTCCATCTTCGGATCTATAGCCAACTTACGAGACGGAACAAACCCATGCCTCATATAAATAGGCACACCCATGGCAATAACCGATTCAAGCCACACCTCCATCCCGAATTCATCCGCCCGCCGACATATCTCCCCAAGCAACATGTCCAGAATCCCCCGTTGTCGTTACTCAGGAAGTACGAACCCGATATACGCATCTGCCACCCCATCAGTCGCCAAACCCAACAAAACAAACCCGTCAACAAGAAAACAACATACAAACATACGCTCTCTGCATAAACCTCTCATGCGGAGCGGTTAACATCCGCAAACACTCATCAATATACTCCCGCTGACTACCGGCTGGATACCACGTCGCCGATTGCTGGGCTGAACCCGAACCATGTCGCACGAAGGGATTATCGCGGTGGACTTTGAATAATATCCCGCCGACGATTTTGTCGTTCTGTTCTATGTCCACGACCTTGCACCACACTGCGTCGGGATCATCGCGAGACCATTGCCGTTGCAGCTGAACTAAATTCTTCAATGCGGTCTGCTTGTCCTCCTCCGGCTCGGTACCGAAAATAGGATAGAAGAACCGGAAGATCGATTGCGGGGGATGGTTGAAGCTTGTTTCTTCACAGGCGATCAATTCTTCGAACTCGGGGTGCATCATGGCAGACTTCGGATAATTGGAAGCGTGGGGTCCCGGTTGTCATGTTGCGTTCGTCCGTTTCAGATTTAAGCTTAAGTTCACAAAAGGTGCAAGCGTTCGAAGTGCGGTGGATCTGCACTTATATTTGTCATATGTCACTACGCTACAAGGATCAGACGATAGACTCAAGTAAGCACTAAGTTACCAGAAAGAAAAAAGGGGAAATTAGTAGGCGATGACAATTTTCTAACATACGATGCTTGTCGGCTATTTTCACCCCCTCTCGCACCACCCGTTCCTAGTATCCAATGGCACATAATGCGCTATTGTTAGACATCTGCAACGCGTCGTATTTGGAGGTCTCAGCGAAGCCACCTAGGTCCAGCTTGCAGAATTCTTTAGCTCTAATACTGCTTCCTACAGGCTTAATGGGTCTTTGTCTCATATGTTAGTATTCGCGGTTTGGTTGGGAAAGACAGCAACTGTTGGGTCTGTGGTCTGTTGTATGTCCAATCTTCTTTTGAACAGGTTGGAGATATGATCATTGCGCATTAATGTAGTTTTTTGGAGCACCCTTTGGATGTGAGGTATGTGGTTATGTACTGAGTCCTGATAACCAGACGTTCGCGATGGAAAGCGTACTGCTATTTGGAAGCATTCTTCGATCTAGAATAATCCGGTCTCCTATATGGCGCAAGCACTTGAAAAGGCTTATTGTAAATCTAGGAAAAGGGCGCACAACCTCAAGCACACCCAGAATAGTCAGCGAGGCGCAAGTGGAGTGAAAGGGGTGTTATAGATCAGGGTAACAAGTAGGCTTAGGGCATCTTATCCGGTTCTGGTAATTATCTTGCGCCTTGCGAGATGAACACCGCAGTTCCAGATCCCCATTGTCTAGGGTTGATGGAAGTCACTACTTATTCCATTTTACTAACGTCAGAAAGGAGAATTCATTAATTACTCATGCTCGCGCGTTCAATATTGAGGAAAAGTCGGTCGTACGCGTGCATGGATCAATGAGTGGTCGCTTTTCTGACCGCATGAGGAAACATTTCACATAATAAGTGATGAACCTAAAAGATAAGGCTTTGAACGATGCCTTTGGGTTTTGCGAGTTAAGGTACATGAGAACAATATCCTTGTACGGGGAGGGGACGGCACTGCCAGCCAGCAACGTCGGTGATGGACCGCCATCGATTCCTTATATTGAAAAAGTACCATTTTCTTTCCCCGATATTCGGCAATTAGGACATCGTAGAAGAATGAATAATGTAGAAGCTAAATTAGTAATTGTATAGTTAATGGCTAGGAAAAGATTAATGGCGGTTTAGAGCTTATCACCAGGACTGTTTAAATAAGGGGGAGAAGGTGAGAGGCTCCAACCAAAGCTCTTAGGTTGAGCGAATAAATTTTCTTTAGTGCTCATATCAGGAACAGGGCCCATCAAGTAGTGTTCAGCTTCCTGCAGTCTTTTTTTAAAGAGCGCGTCGGCATGTAAAAGCCTTGTACATCGTCTCTTAATATTAAAACACAGTCAAGTTGGTCTCATTGGACAGTTGACGTTCCGGCAGGGAAGAGAAGCAACACGAAGGGAGCTCTGGGACCTCGGCCGATTGCAATGGCGCAGGACCTAATGCCAGAGCAATATGTTATGAGTAGCTCTACAGGGTTCGAGGAAATTCAGGGGAAAATTTACGTCTGATGACAATCCTCGGAGTAAGTGCGTGATCCTTCGAGGGAAACCAGGCTCGCAGGAACTCGTCAACGGAGTCCGATCAGAGCGACAAGGGTCCAACTCCTTCCAGTCCAGAAGTTGGTATTTCACCAGGATGATAACTAGTACTCATATACTAATCCAGGGTTATTGAACTGTGGCGTATATCAGCCATTCAGCAACGCTAGCCCTAAAATTGAGTTTCGAACTTAATCTCGGGTTGGAGGGTTTTGCTGCATGTCTTAGAATTACATCACTGAGGAATCTCAACACATGCGAACAGAATGAGGGAAATTGGGATATTTGTCTTTAGATACCTCGGGATGCCGGTGGTGACATGTGCTATATAGCGACACGAACTCCGTTGATTCGTGGTGAACCCTGGACACTATCCCGCACTAATTAAGGGTTTTGCGGGGTACAATTAATTTTGAGGGCATCATTACTCTTTTGGGATATCCCCAGGATCTAGCCTGCAAGGCATCACGAACAATCCCAATTACACGTCAAAGGAGGCTTTTTCGGAAATTTCTGTTGATCGAGCATATAATGCCCAGATTTCTCCATGGCCCCTTACTTCCATCAGGAAACAAGGCTTGCGCTCAACCATACCCTTTCCCACTCTGCTTCCTCTTTCCCCGCTAACCCTGGGCCGCTATTATCATACTTGTTATAATTCCAACCTACCATCAGTCAACATGCACTTCTACCGTCTCCTTGTCTTAGCCGCTGGGTTCCTTACAACGGCCACGGCCGCACCAACTGAGCTGATCAAACGCGATGCCACAAGTGTCGTTAGTGCAGTAGGAGACATCGCCAACCAAATGTCGACATTAAATTCCACAGTCAGCAGCTACCGAGGCGGCTTCCTCGGAACCGGAACGGCCCTTAAGATCGAATTCCAGTCCGTCCAACTTAGTCACGCCCTTAAAGATGCCATCTCAGAAACCGAGGACTCCGCCAAATTCACCGGCGATGAGTCGAATAAGGTGGCGGCAGCCTTCATCGACCTGCAACCTAAGATCTCCTCGACTCTAGACAATATAGTCTCCCACAAACCACAATTCGATACCGGCCTTCTCGGCCTGGGGTCTGTTTCATTCTTGGTTAAGTGGAACTTGCAGCAAGAGAAGGATTTAGCTGCAGAGCTGGGGAAAGCTGTTGTTGATAAGTTGGCGGAGCCGTATGCTTCGGTCGCTCCGTTGCTTAACGATCAGATTGCGGCGGCGTTTGAAAAGGCACTTGCTGCCTTTGCTTAGGTGGTGTTTAGGAGGTAGGTGAGGTGGAGAAAGTAGTCTTTCTTGTGCCTATATTTAGGAGAAAGTGCGGTCTAGACACACCTGATTGATAATAAGACAAGGCTCTCTCTATACAGGCACTCGTTTATATAATGATGGAACTGGATATCATTCTCGTCGATCCGGCCCAGAGAAACAGTTGTATCCACAGATGATCCAGACAACAGTAAAACTATAGTGTTTTACCTTCGAATCCAGAGATATTCCATGCACCCATGTGCCGGCAAGCGTACGTATGTCCATGTCAAATAGTATATAACGACAGTCACATTGGGGAGTCAAAACAAGCAGGCCCTTAGAAGGACTCATTTAAAGTCCCTGGGATCGTAAGAAAAGGACAATGAGATTTCTTGCGAGAAATATAATATCATTATCCGCGTTAAACAACGGCCCCTGCTTAGTATTGGCCAGGTAGTGCAAATCCATCAGGCTAAATACGATTTTACAGTTCAATTGTTTGCACAGTAAAAAGCTCTATCTAGTTTTCCTACTTCGTTTAAAGGACCTCCATGACTAACCAACTGGCAGGGTGGTCGAGTGGTTAAGACGTTAGACTTGAATCACCTTTGTGAGAACATCTAATACCTTCGGGTTCGCGCGTTCGAATCGCGTCCCTGTCGTTCTCTTTTTGTCTCTTTTTTATCCTCTGGACGGAGTGGAATGCATATTCAACTATTTTTTCTTTTCAAAAGCAACCCGAGCATAGCAATAGCTTGTTCCCTAGCCTAGAGAAAGGCACGTCCGTCCTGGTTACATCTAGTCAAAGTGCGTCTCATCTTAATATCAAATTTGAATATATATTTCTCCTACAACTACTTGTGAGCCATAGGCATTATACATAACTTCATCACTTTTCCTAAACCTAAAAATCCGGTAAAACATTAACGTCTCTCGCATTCCACAAAGTCGAATGGAGCGAGAGTGATGAATAGAGCAACATAATCGCCAATGTGCATACTCTAACGCTCACTTTGTTTTCACAATAGAATCAGCGCTATGCGTATCGCAGAAGGATTTACTGGTCCTGTATTCTGGTATTTTCTGCTTCCCTCAGCTAATATGATATTTATCAACTCATAAAGTCGTCCGCAATCGTATTATTTATGTATATGGGGACATGACACCGCACTAGAGAGCTACGATGTAGGTGCTAGGGATACTCAAGTTATAAGCTAGAACACTGCTAGCCTGACGGAGGTGACCTGCAAGAAGAACTAGGGTAGTTGTCTCTTGGGACGATCGAGCTGAGAGTAAGAGAGATATTGGGAGATTGAGATTTGGTTTATGAAGCATACGAACGAAGATAGACATAGCTGAGGTTATTTGACCCCTACAATAGACATACTTTGAATAGTCGTTCGTTCAACAGTACGCAGATAATTACTTGTCTTCAACATTTCCCCTAATCCTGCGCTAGACGGCATTAAACGAGACAAGCAAAGTCCATCTTCAACTGGTCTGTCTACCTAGTATGTATGCCTGGCGATATGAAATTGAAGTCTATGAGCGCTAATAAATCTCCGTAGAAGGCGCCTTCATGTTTACAACAGCAAACGACATCATACGGCGCCATTTTCTCGTGAGACGATGTTAGTAAAAAGCGCAAGAGGAAAAGAAATATTATACGAAACTCTCTTTATTGGTTACAGTGGGTTTAGGATCCAGATATTGAATGTTAGTCCTCGTATTCCTCAGCATTGCCTTCATTGTTTCTGCGGAACCACTTCAATAAAGTAGTGGGTTCGATCTTCTTATTGGCGGCTGGTGATCGCCAAGTATCATCTATACGAGGTGATCGCCGTGGTTGAGAGTCCCAACGCGTTTAGGCGAACTCTTGTTTTCTGGAGTTGTTGTGGGGAATATCATTCGGAGCCTGGACTTTTGTTGATAAATAAGCGGTTTATTTCTACCCTTGAACAGTTTTGCCGTTATTGAACGCCTACTATCGCTGGAATTCCACTGAACAGGACACTGACAATATGTCTTTCGCCACTGGTGATGGGGATGTCAGACACCCACTTGACGACTTGATGGAGGAGTGCAACAGATTGGCGGAGAACAACAACTGGGAAGAAGCACGGGAAAAGCTGAACAGTACGATACGATTGTCCGAGGAGCATCAAGGTCCCGAACATGACAATACGCTAGAAGTGAAAACAATCCTGGCCTACAATCTCCGCAAACATGGAGAATACCAGGAGGCTGAGCACATAGACCGAGAGGTATATAGTGTCCGACTTCGAGTGTCTGGGCCAGAAAACACCAATACTGCCAAAGCACTGAACAACGTCGCGCTAGACCTCAAAGGCCTTGGCAGATATGACGAGGCATTCGATCTCGAAGAGCAAGCACTGGAGATATTTATGAAAGTAAAAGGGGAGAATTCTAGAGAGACGCAAACAAGTATGAACAACCTTGCCAACAGCTTTTACCAACAGCATCGTTTCCAGGATGCGGCCCGGTTGCACGAGAAGACACTCAAGCTCCGCATAAACACGCTTGGCCGAGAGCATTTCGAAACAATCATGGCCATGGACCTGCTTGGAGTCGACTATCGAGAGCTAGGCCATGTGGGAAAGGCTGTGCAGTATCAGGAGGAGGCAATCGAGCTTGCGAGGAGGATCCTGGGCGAAGCGGATGAAACCACCATTCGGTGTTCGATAAACCTGGCATCGACATATCAGCAAAGTGGGATGGCCAATGGCAAAGAGAAAGCGCTGAGTTTGCTAGAGCATGTCTTGGAGCTATCTCGTCGCGCTCTCGGCGAGGAGAGTCCGGAAACTGTGGGCATCATGAACAATCTCGCAGTGGCGTACGTCAAGGCCGGCAGACTACATGATGCCCAGCCACTGCTTAGAAATGCCTACGAGTTTAATCGAAGAACATTAGGCCCGAGCCATCCGAAGACTCGAGCCTCGGAAGGCAATTACGACTATGTTATGGAGAAGCTAGGCTTAACTCGAGCAAACACCTTTCAATTCTGATCGTTGTACTATGAGTGTCCTGTGTCAAACAAACGAAATAAAGATAGTTTAGAGTAAAAACAAAGGAAAAGCCGATAACGCATCATGGCTCGATAGTGAAAAGGAAGTATGAAAGTGCAGTTGTATAGAATGCTAGACTGGCTAGCATATGCTAGTTTTAATGTTTTTTCTTCCTACGACGTGGGATATGGGGACTTCGTGAGACCCTCTCCAGCTAGTGCCAAGTCCTGAATAGCAGCCAACCCATACTGCGCAACGGCATTTGTTGATATCCAACTAGCCTCATCCACTGGGGCCAGCGCAGCACTTCCATTCACATGTTCTGAAGCCCAGGGCTGATCAGCAGTGAAGCCATCCTTATTAACGTAAAACTCTTTCCATGCTCGTTCAGCCACGGTCTCATTGTTGCTGTGCTTTGCATAAAACGCCGTCAAACGTGAGTGACCCTGTACCAGACTGATCTTGCTAAAGGCTTCACCGTAACGTGCCTTCTGCTCCTCATTAGTTGCTCCATAGTAATAGCAGTAGTCTAGCCATGCGCTTTCCAGACCCTCCGGAGCATCATCGCCCCAGTATTCGAGCAACTCTGAAACAACCTCCGGGAGCCCGAACACAGCGTTCAAATGGGAAATGGACACACGACCCTTGTTGTTGGGGTCACTTGGCGGTGGGAGCAACGTGCCATTGGTGATAGCGTATAAGCCGTCTCCGGTCACAAAGCCGTTCTTCAAGCTGGCGATTCCTTTCGCTGTACCAGTCAGCTTTTGCTTCGCTTCCTCCCAACGAGGGCCCCGTCGCTCCCACTCAATTAACCAGCCACCGGCCAGACCAGCCCAATCCGTTCCAAGGGAAAATGCAACAGGTTTGCCAGGCTCTGGTGTCCAGCCATCGGTCCGGACCTTCCGTTGAGGATCTAGTAGTCCGTAAGTTTTGTCGGTGTCAAGTGCTTCCTCTAAGAGCTCGCCCACTCGTTCATCGCCACCAGATAGGTAGAAGAAGTATTTCCGATACAGAGGTTGGGCGATACGGACTTGCTTCGCGCTATCGCCGAAGTGCTGAACACCATGGCGAGTTCCAAGACCCTTCCACTCGCCAATATGATAGACATCTACCTCTCCAGTATGACGCGTCAGTGCCTCTGCGAACCGATAAACATCCGCTCTACCGGTTCTGAGGAAGTACTGCCAGAAGAAAAGATCCGGCGACAGCTCAGAGTTGTCCCATGCGTATCCGCCAATATCATATCGCCAAGTGTGTCTGTCTTCATCGTAGGTATGCATGATGTCACCGTAGTCTAAGAAGCCATACCAACGATGGTCTTCAACCTGTCCCTGATAGAACTTGACTAGATAGTCGAGGTTCTTTTCGATCGTCCTGGACTTTTCGCTAGATGTGTCCGGGAGTCCCCAGTAAGAGCCGGCTGCCTTAGTCTCTTTGATATATTCAGGCTCTGGGACCAGAACGGGAGGTTCATTGATATACCTGCTCAAACTAGCCAAGTCATCGCTCGCGGGAGTGGCATCGAACGTGTGCAAGAAGATCTCGCTTGTCCTCGCAATACCATATGGCTTATTGAAACCAGGTTCATAATCCTCGTAAGTAATCTCGAGCGCATCCAATTGCTTCTTGTATGTATCCTGTCCCAATCCATCGTGGAAAGGCCGGAGATCCAACGGTGCGGCTTCAGGGCTATACAACCAAAGCATGATTTTGCCTTTATCGGCGCCCGCATCGGAAATATCCAACCCTGTGGGATACCTCTTCCAGAAGTCACGCAAGCCAACTGCGAATCCGCCTTGCGTCGCACCGCCAAGATAGGCGAGCCCTGAAGATCTTGTGCCAGCCGGGATATTGACCCAAGCGTGGCCAGGCTTGGTTCTCTTTTTGAGGGTGAAGCCGTCGGGTGATAACTGGCTCAGCTTGTAATCGTTCCAGGCAGGAATCCACTGGAGGCGGGATGAAACCCTTTCATCCCAGGTGCTCACGTTGGGGGTAGCTTTGCCTTCATACTGCGCTGATCGGACTTCCACGCCTGGGTCGCGACGCAAACCAGTAATTCCCTGAACGGCTTCATGAAGATAACCACCATCCACTCCGGGGAGTCGGATGTGACGGTTATACAACTCTTCGCCTGCCAGGGGAACTTCAAACTGGAGGCCAAGACCAGTGACGAAGTCTTCCTCCGGCTTCCCATCGAAGACAGTACTATGAACCACCCTAATAGAGTCCGAGTTGGTGTACAAATAAAACCGCAGTACAAAGGGTAGCCAATCTTCATGATCGCCATCACCAGTAACCTGATGCTTTCCCCTCACGGTAACCAAAGCCCGAACAGAAGTCTCATTGCTGACCACAACCTCCTCCACATTACTTTGGAAATTAAAGTAGTTGATCGAGGTATTTGCCCGAGCGGCAACATCCTCCGCAACACCGGACTGGGTATGGAGCACGAGCTTTCCATTCTCGGCCACGACCTTCCCACTCGATGTCGTGATGGAACCCACAACGCTATTGCCCGACTTAGGGAACGACACCGTTAATTTACCGGTGTCAATTGTGACGCCATTGGCCCCGTTGGCCACCTTCAATCCCGGAGATCCGTCGGAACGGTTAGACGGTGGTCGGCGGGGAGATGCCGATGCTGCGCTGACGCAATATTCGCTATCAATGGTGTCAAGCGGTGGGATAGCGTGCCCAGTCCATTTGATTGACCCATCACGCCAGTATCCGGTTACCCAGGACTGAAGCGGAATTTGTTCCTTTGATGCTCCGGAGATCGTGAATTGGGTCCCGTTGAACCGGTACTTTCCTTGCGGCCATGGGAGACCGAATGTTGTTCCGGCTTGATAGGCCGGAGTATCGCCGACCCAGTGGATTTTGACGTTGTCGGACGAGGTGCTGTTGGTTGGCCGTGTGAATACCTCGCTGGCCATGGTGCCGAGAGCAACCCAGAGAGGTAGTTGTCGCATGGTGGGGACGGCGAAGGGGGAGCCCACCAAACCTAAGGGGGATTCTTATGTATGTGCGAAGTCGGACTACATGATGGGTAGGGTAGATGTGGTCATCTTATATAGCGAATTATGGCAGTTTAACGCCGAGCCCGGAAGAGGCCAAGGATTTGATTCAATTTCCCATGTTGGTAGCATGATGACAGTTGCCTTCCAGCGGTACATTAACCAGTCAAGATACTATAATACCTAGCTGGCTCGGACTAGCTGTGGTCCTAAGGGAATGACGAGATCCATCGAAAAGAAGAAACAAATTATCACACAAAACCGTACCGAATGGCATCATTGGTGGCCAGCCTATGGTGTAATTCTCCGAAATGTAATTGCACTATCTCCCTCCGGTTTAGCGACAGCTTCTGGTTGACCGGCGGGCTGTTCTTAAAAAGGATTTGCAACATCATTATGTCCTGCCAAGCATTCTCCCCGCATAATTCGGAGCAAGATCACCCGAGCGTGTTAGAGCTTCTCTCCTGTTCACCAATAGGCGTTTGCTGCTACTTCGTCATGCAATTTCCCGGTTGCGGTAGTGGAGAAAAGCATGGATTCTATTAACCGAGTTGCATCACTCTGTAGATTCTCGGGTGGGGATGCGTATATATACAAAGGAACGAACATTATGGATAGTGTTTTTCATTTATAATCATTGTGGATAACTATATTGAAGGTTGATAAGCATAGCTAAAGAATTCCTTGTTGCCAATTTAAACGAATTACTCGATTTAAATTGACCCTAGTTCACAATAAGATGTCTGTTCCAACCTTAGTGAATTACCTCATATACAAATGATTATGTCTCTCTTAAAGGCGAGCAAGCGAAAGGACTTCATCGTATAGCCATAGAGTGTTTCAGATTTGGCACCTGTTGTCCGGCGATGTTGGATATTCGGTCTACCACGACGTCTTCGATTAGACCTGTATGCGCGAAGGGGACGTACGATACAGAGAGGCCTTATGGGCCATATTCATGTAGCCTGAACGAGAGTCCTTTCCTGACAGCGTAAGCTTTATCTTAGTAGCTCTTCTGATTACGGCCGGCATTATTCAGTGTCAACTATAGGCGTACAACCATGCCATCCCCGGCATTCACTGCAGGACAGGTTGACACGGCACTTATAAACCAAACAGTCGTCAATTCCCACCAAGTGAATATTCTAGGCCTTCTTAACATGGCCGCTATAAAATGGGGCTCGTTGGATGTAGTTTGGGCTACGTGAATTCGAGGAACCAGGAATTTGGATGACTTTCTCGCCTTTGCTTTGGTCTGCGATCACACAACCCTCTCAACATGAGTAGGCCCATAGCAGGCTGGGTGGAAGAGGTTCATGTGAGCATGGCTGATGCAGTTAATGTATCTGAGAGAATCTCTCGTCAGGCAGTAACATACCAAACAGAATGTCCCGCGGACCGCAGATCTTAAAACTCTACCAAGGCTATAATTGCATACCTAGTTGAAAGGGTCCCCTCAGTATCGAGAACTTCACGACTCCGCGAAAATGATAGTACATACCACCAGCCTTCGTTTGAACATTTTGAATTGACTCTCGAACAGGGCTGACAAAATCCAAAAGATGATTAGTTCTTTAAGAAACAACGCCACAATGCAGATAATGCAAACAACAGCACAGTTCAATTCTTTCATGGCATAATGAAGCGTATAGCCAGGGAGATACATAGAGCCCCCGGTATCTTTAAGATTGAAGCCTCTATTATGAGCCAGTCCAGCATCCTTGATATGTGTACTACACCCGGTGGTCTCCTTGAGATAGAGCGGGGATATAACCCTACACCTCGAGCTGTCGAATTCACACTAGCTTCTTCTGAGGAGAGAGGGGGGCGGACACAACGTTCGTTTACTGGAAGATCCGAACGTTAAATTGCACCTTGTAGACATCGCAATGCTAGCTGCGGATATGGGTGTTGCAGACATCCCGACAGAGCACCCCGACGCTGGGAATTTCTTGCCAAGACACGTTACCCCAGATCAGACTCGTCACCTCATAATTTGCGGTGGACAGGTTCTCGGAACGCACGAAAGAGTCCCTTATCATGAATCAAGGGAAGCTCGCAGATTGATCGTGTCTCAGCTGTCACTTGGCCTTGAACATCTAAAGCCCGGGGGGAGTATAATTGTCCTCCTTCACAAGGTTGAGGCGTGGGATACTGTGCAATTACTGTATACCGTCAACAAGTCCTCATCAATACAGCTTTTCAAGCCATTGACTAGCCACACCAAGCGATCGTCTTTCTACATGGTTACTAGAAACGTTGGAAGCCATCACCTTGAGGCTATCCTTGCAATCGCGAGATGGAAGGATGCGTGGTACTTGGTACCCTGTCACATTCGGAACAGAGAATATGTACTTGAAAACAATTTGTAATGATGATGTGGATGTTGGAGTAATTCTAAAATTATTCGGTCACAAGCTCATAAGACCGTGTTGCATATTCAAGCCAAGGCATCGGCGAAAGCACCGTTAATCAAAGCAGGGTTAGCTAACTGAAAGAGGATCGAAGTGCGACTGTCTACGCCTCATGACAGGAAAGCAATCTCAATCAAATTTACTAGGTGTATATCCTCTACATCTCTTCTATGGTCAGGACCCTTTGTCTCGCTACATATGTCCTCTGTCCAATCCTACCAGTTCCAACCACTCCAAGACTTGAAGTTCTCTGAAATCAGAGACCATCGTAGAAGAGGATGTCAGGATATGTATTGGAGTTTCTAGGAACCTTCGTTATTCCTTTGTGTTGACGGATATATTGTCTTTTCTAGGATGAAACTGCAAATTAAATGCGTTCAGATTGTTCTAATTTCGACATTGTCATTCGCTTGGCCAACCACATTTACTCGTAAAGCCGTACTTCTGTCTTCTAATCTTTTCGGGATTCGGTCACTTCTCGAATTTGCCTTATGATCCATGATACTCCAAAGAAATAGGCGGTCATCATATCAGTGAGCCAGTATGGCATCCACATTGAGAACCAAGAAATTGTTGACATGCCCCCAGCCCAAAACAAGTCTGGAGTACCACCGATCCAATCATTCAGCCATCCCTCGCCCCTTAGAGCAGATTTTACTAGCTTTGCTGCATATTCCTGTATTGACATAGGGGAGGAATTCTGGTTGAATGATAATCTCTTCTGAAAAAGGCCTGATATGGGACGGTAGAGAGAGTTTGTGGGTAGGTTTCTGTTGAAATGACTTGCCACTTCAGAACGCACGGTTGCTGGGGCACTGGCTTACGCATTATTGACGAGTACCAAATTTCCAGATACAGGTCCTGCGTACCACACTACCCGTTATATACAGCTGGAGTAGTATAGTACAGTTGTTATCGGGGAAGTGCTCGTTCAGAATTTTAGACCCTCCTGGCCGCCTCCGGCCCATGGGTTTCTCGCCATATCCACTCTTTTGAAGATCTGGAGTGGTGGTTGAATTTGGGGAGAAACCCATATGTAGGATATAACGGCACTGGGTCGACGTATTTGTAGACTGTATGAGGCCTCCGTATGACAAAAGCCGCACGGATTAGTCGAGAAACGGTGTCATACTTTTCTGTCTTAGCAGTAACTTGCACGACTCCGCCGTCTGAATCAGAGCAGATATGGTGACCTCCAAGAGACTGAGCGTTAGGAAATCAAAGAAAGGCACTGGAATACTTCTTGAAAAGCTGCCAGGCTTCATGCTTTATCTCCGATGTATGAAATAGATCGAAGTGGGACATCGTACTTGAAGAGCCCTTTGCGCCATTCCAAGGCCGAGAACCGAGGCGAGTAGTTCTACTCTAAGATCCAGATCCGATGACCGGTAAGAGGGCTTCTAATCTTTGGTAGCGGGAACATTGCCCGGATAGAAGGGCGACGTAGTGTTGGGTCGGTTGCCCATTACTAGTTCTATTTACTTCGAGGTCCATCCCATTTGTCTTTCTAAAAACATGCTCACTGATGTCAGATTGATGTCGGCCTCACCGCATCTTTCCTGGTGAAATGAAGCGAAATATCTCGAGAAAGCAATTTAGCTGCCGGAAAAATATACTTCGCAAATTAAGATCCTCGTAGAATTCGAATTAGGAATTTATCGCCTTAGATGGGCAATTCTACCATTCTGACGAGAGCCATGGCATTGTTCATGTTGGGGCCAAGTATCACGAGATGTTGAAATACGTGCAAGAGCAAGGAATCCAGTAGCTCCATTTCTTGGAGTTGGCTCCTGATGGGATAAAGGGGGTTCTGGATCCAAGGTTTCCGCGGACGGTGGTGAAGTGTCGGCCTCTGGAAGAGGTGGAGAGAATGGCCCATTGGGAATAATAAAGTATATTATGTATAGTACTTCAGCCCCTAGCTTGTCTAGCGTGATGCTACCAGGTTATGTACGATCGATGAAAGCCAGGACAAGACTCGCAAGCCCTTCCTTCGCGTCTCGGGGTTCAGTCATCTGCGGTAGATACCAGACGCGCACTTTGGCCGACATCCGATAATAGTCTACAAAAGACTTATAATCTAGATTCCGCCTTATTCGAATCCAGTGCCTACAAGCCCGCTGTGTAGAAGATGGAACACGTGAAAGAACAAGGTGTCTGCCAAACCGTGCTTCATGTCGAAGTTGCAGTATTGAGGCTTGATGAAAAAGGACTGACAATTGAACACGAACAGAGTATGACTTATACTTCAGCGAATATCACCCTCATGGGATACGGCATAAAGTTAACCATAATATAGACCGCGCTACGCGTCACAAAATTCGCAGAGTTCGGTTTTTATTCGTGCTTTGGGTCGAAGCCAATGTAGGACAGCTTAAGATTCAATACGCGGAGGAGCGGCGCAAAGTCTTGGAGGTCAAGAGGAAAGTATATCAGTTACTCGATCCGGGCACTTCCTCTACTCGTGTACAGGGTTGGGTCCAATTGCTTCTGGACCGCGCCTATGGCAAATCAAAGGCACGAAAGCATCTCAAGGTATTTTTGAATCCGCTTTCCGGCGCTGGTTCCGCCGTGAAATGGTACTACCAATTCGCGGTCCCTCTCTTCACCGCAGCACAATGCCATGTGGACTTACAAGAAACCCGTTCTTCTGGCCAAGCAATGGTGTTGACATAACATCCGCCTCCGTGAGTCAGTTTCTTGAACGGATCGACAGAGTCAAGTAGGCTGGTCAGGATATGATTTTGAACAAACGATGGGACACCATCCGCCCATCTCCCCGCGTAGATAAGATGCCAAAGAGCATTCCGCCAGGCACGGTGAGCTTCTGCAGTGGTTCCATGCTGATGGTTTGCCGGCGTAGTCATAATAATCTGCACAGGAATGTTCGCAATCCGAGGAATAAAATTGTCACTGTTCTTGATTCCACTTTTCACAGCATCCACAAGGGGATCCCTGTACAGTGAATCGAATAGGTTATGGGGCAATAGTCTGCCAGCGAGCACTTCATGGGGTCCAGACGGAGTCAACTGGTCTGCGATTGATTGAGTGCCTTGCAAGAATCCCGAATTTTTCGCGAACGTAGTGTGCCGATTTTCTAAGATCTTCAGGCCCGGGTAACTTGCCGCATAGGCCTGGTGATCCCTTGTTACATTGTGGATGAGTGCATCGTCATCGTCTGGTAGAACTAGATACATTTCCATTTTACCTGAGAAGCAATAGGCATGTCCAGCCACCTTATTATTCGACCAGGTTGTTTGATTGTTGGCGTGAATTGCCCTGTCTTCGCAGCGGAAATTCGGCACGGCGGGTGTAAAGACAACAAATATATTGTCACTTCAGAAATATGCTCTCTTCACGGAGTAATACTGCCTGGAATGCCAAGGGCAAAATCCACCCTCATAATATACCTCAGTTAAGGCATCTACATATCTGCCATCGAGGCCCACACTGATCTTATGGGAGTAGATCGCAGTAAATAGTATAATCTATAGTTAATATTCAGTGATCGGGTCTCGAATCTCAGGGCTATAGTCGGTGCTGTGATTTAATATATTTTCGAAGATACAAAGCTATGTTGCATATTTTGTTTCTTTTGCCATCAGTTGAAATATTATTAATCCAAGGTTACATTTTAGTAATATAGAAAACGATATAGTTATTGAACTTGGTATTATCAAGCTTCTAAGGAACCTCTATACAACATGGAATGAATGATCCTCATTCAGTCCAAGTTTACTGCTCGAGGTACATAGACCTCATGCATACTTGTTTCGTAAAGTGGTCAAACAAGGAGGCATTAAGGAAATGCTCGACATATCCATGACAAGGAACTCCCTCATATCTAGTAGCCTCTTTACTACGGCAACTACGCCACTTACGAGAAAGGACATTTTACGGAAACCTCTTACGAGTATATCAGACACAATCCTATATTCTCCATCACTAAAAAGAGCTTCAATCTTTCGCCCTACCAGCCCACTCTACAATCACGCCAGAGAGAGGGATATGAGAGAAGGAAATAATACGGTTCAGTATTCATAATCTTTCTCGCAATAGTGGGGATCTATCAGGTGTTGATATGTTCTGCATATCCGAATTGAAAACAGTTCATGGTGTTCCAGTAATAAACAGCTGGCACGGTATTTTTATGTCTCGTATATCTGCGTATGAGTATGTTGAGATCAATTCAACGTCCACCCTTTCACTTCCCTCATGCGCGTAAACCAATCCCTGACATAAGGGAGCCGTACATGGGGTCCATACGGGTCCAGCTCCCATTGTGGGCTAGGGGGAGCAATACCTGTCTCTTTCAGGCACGAATCTCTCAATTCATCCAAGGAGCCACCTCTATCATACTCTGAGTCCTGTCCCAGCGTATCACGAACATTCTTTAGGCTCTTCCTCAAAGCCACCGTTTCCTCCTCGCATACACTAAGGTCACTAGGGCTAACCACCACTCCGTAGTTCTTTCGGGCTCCGTCGATGGTCACCAATCGCCGGCGAACTTCCAAGGCAACCTTCTCCGCAGGTCGAGTGAGCGGGTCTCCCAGTCCACCACCTCCCCACGTCACCCACTCCAGTAAGTCGTCGGGATCAACGCGAATGTGGTCGCACTTCGAGGGGAGTATCTCAACTGGAGGTTTCTCACGGGACTTGGAGTACCGGTACAAAACCTTCCGAGAGCGAGAACCCGGTTTGCCACCGCGAATGCCCCATGGCTTAGTGAACCAACGATCATCATGCAGACTGAATTCTCCACGGCAGAGGAACCGGTAGAGAGTGCGTTGCGCGTTACCACCGCGATAATACCCAGGTCCGCCACTGTCTGCGACACTCTCGTTCGCTTCGATGCGCAGCGGGTAGTTAAGTTCGATGCTTTCTGTGGGGATCGATTTGATGGCGGGGAAGAGACAGTGGCAGTCGAGTCCATCACCGGCGTTCCGAGCAGGTACACCACCGAACCCGATTTGGTACAACTGATACCATTCTCCATTGGGCTTGTATCCGGAGTAGAAGAAATGTGGCGAGTCACTGAAACCTGCCGCTGCTGCATAGAGCTTGTTTTTCTGGCCGATAAGTGCTTGCATTACATCCATTGTTCTTCCCAAAAGGTGGGTTCGGCAAGAGATAGCTGCTGGCCTAACGGGCTTCAGCACCGTGCCCTCAGGGATATAAATATCGATGAGGTCATGGAAGCCGTCATTAATCACTGTACCAGGTGCTGCTGCCGCAATCATGTAGTAACCGATGAACATCTTGAACATCGTCTCCGACAGATAAAAGTTGATACTATGCTCACTCTGGGGCGAAGTTCCGCTCCAGTCAAACAGGAGCCGATTTCCCTCGATCTTCTTCATTGTGCAGGTTAGGGCCCAGGGGCCAACACCATGACCATCATCGTCAACGAAGTCAGTAAAAGTGCAAGGCTTATCATCAAACTCTGTATCGATGATCCTAGCCATTCCTGTGCGGTTACGTTGCAGCAGTTCAGAACAGGCGGCAAGGTAGATTTCAGATCCGAATCGCCCGGCCAGCTCACAAACCCGACTCTCAGCAGTTCGGCAGGCGGCAATAATTGCCATCAAATCTGAGCGATACCAATCGGGCTGGCGCGAGTTGCGGCAGAGCAATTGAACTAGGTCGGCGTTCATGACGCCTTCGGAGTAGAGCTTGATGATGGGGATCTGAACACCATCGTCGAAGATCGATGTGGCGTTGATCGACATGCTGCCCGGAACCATGCCTCCTACGTCGGTTAAGTGTCCAAACTGCGACGCCCATCCAATCAATCTGCCCTCAAAGAAGATTGGCAAGAGCACAATCACATCGTTCAAGTGCGTTACTGCCCCTTCGATCATGTATGTATCATTCGTGATGAACACATCACCTTCATTGACTGTTCCTTTCCATGCCTCAAGGAACTGGGTGATAAAGCTACCGAATTGACCCACAAGCATCTTCCCGTCTGCCGTTGTGATCACGTTAAATTCATCTTGCTGTTCGCGAATCGCTGGTGACATGCTGCAACGGAGCATCAGTGTGTCCATCTCACTCCGGATGGATGCTAAAGCAGATGCTACAAGAGTTGGGATCAGCGGTGTAGATTGAACTGTCTCCAAGGCCTCGCGTGCGGTTTGATCCTTCGACTGCTCTTTCTGCCGATTATCGGTTGGATGTATAAGAATGTTACCAATAGCGTCTATCTCTCCGTAACATCCTGGAAGAATGAGTGTGTTGCTGTCCATCTCTGTGATAATGCAGGGGCCCTGAACACGTACGCCTCGGTAGCTAATCTTCTCACGATCCCAGAGTGTGGCCTCGAGAGTCTGACCGTCTATGACGATGTTTTTCTTGGCCACCATCGCGTCAGCCGGTGGTTCATTAGGCGTGTCCTGGCTAACCTGAGGTAGCTCAATGGTTGGTGTAGCGTCAACAGCGACGACCTCAAGGCGCATAAGTTCCAGCTCAAAGTTGGGAAGGCAATACTTGAATTGCTGTTCATGAAGCAGGTCAAACCTTGCCTGCAACAAGTCTTTCCAGGGTTTATAATCAAGGGAGAGGTCCTGCGCTTCCAAATCAACAGTCAGATTCAACGCTTGACCTTTGTATCTGAGGTCGACGTGGTAGCTGATGTTCAGCTCCATTGAATGGCCACCATTGGAGCTTTGCATAGTCTCCCTGCAGGCCGTCTCGAGTTCGTTAAACCGCTCCTTGACCTCCTCGGGCAGTGTCATGGAGAGTAATTTGATGTAAGACGAGGACTGAGAATGGCTCAGTCGGGTGGTAGCATCACCCAACGCGCATAGAGTACCTGGAGAGGGAGGGACGATGACTGGCCATGCTCCAAGAAGCTTTCCGATCGCGTTGGCATGCAGTGGGCCAGCACCTCCAAACGCAACAAGGGCGAAGTCCTTAGGATTGTAGCCCTGTTCCACGGACACCAAACGCAATGCTCCGTACATGGTCTCATTAACCAGGTTAATGATGTCTTCGGCAGTTTGTGTGACGCTAAGCTTCATTTGGGAAGCAATTCCATCGACTGCGGCAAATGCAGCCTCTACATCTAGTGTGAATTCACCTCCCAGCAGCTTTTCTGGAAGATATCCCAGAACCAGATTCGCATCAGTGACGGTGGCTTCAGCACCTCCTTTGCGGTAACAGGCAGGGCCGGGGCTTGCCCCTGCACTCTCTGGTCCCACTCTCATTGTTTCAGTGATGTCCATGTATTTCGCAATGGACCCTCCTCCAGCTCCGACTGTCCGGATGTCCACGGCGGGTGAACGAACCGTTAGTTCCCCGACGACTGTCTCGCGGCGAAGACGGGGCTTCCCTTGATAGATCAAAGCGCAGTCTGTTGATGTTCCACCCATATCGAATGTGATCAGATTCTTGTACGGTGTGTTGCGAGTCACAACGTCTGCAACACCTTGGACACCTCCTGCGGGGCCAGACATCAGGATATTGACAGGAAGCTGTCCCGCCAGATCCAAACTGGTCAGGCCACCGTCAGACTTGAGGATACGAATCGTATTTCCATCCTCTGCAAGCAAGTCCCGCAGATTGCCCAGATAGCTCTGGACAACTGGCTTAACGAGTGCGTTGGTACACGTCGTGACAGTTCGCTCGTACTCTCCAACCTCCCGAAGCACATCGCTGGAGGAGATAATAGTAACATGGGATCCAAGTTCTTCCCGCACAATATCTGCCACTAGCGATTCATGCTCACTGTTACAGTGGGAATTGAGTAGCGAGACTGCCACAGCCTCCGGTCGATCTTTCGTCCATGCCTTCAACTCAGCACGTAGTGCTTCCGTATTCACCGCGATAACCGTTTCTCCATTAACTGACATACGCTCCTGGCATTGGATCACACGCTCCAGTGGTACTATCGGCTCCGGAGGTGTATAATGTAACCAGGCACCGAGACCACCGGGAATTTGGGACCGGCGAACAGCCAAGATATCTTTATGGCCTGCAGTGACAATTAGGCCCGTGCGAGCTCCTTTGCCCTCTAGAACAGCGTTTGTGGCGGTTGTTGTGCCATGGTGGATGAACTGGAACTTTCCGTCCCATGAATAGCGCTCCTTCAGCTGTCGCCGGACCTTCTGGATTCCATTCTTGATACCAATACTTTGGTCCTCGACGGTAGTTGGTACCTTGGCTCGTACAATCTGCCCGTCAGGTGTAAAGGCACAGATATCAGTAAAGGTGCCTCCTACGTCCGCTCCCAGCCGATACTCGCCATGTCCGGTGCCGTGTGACATTGTGAAGCGCGCTTAACGGAAGCTCCCCGTCAAATACAAACAAAAATAGGCTGAAAGGCCCTAGGTATTAACCCTGGGTGTGTGGTGGTGGTATCTCCTAGGCTTGTCGGGCAACGCGTATCATGAACCCACTGGGGGTCAAGTGAGTTTAAATTCCGCAGAAATCACCTCGCTTGAGATTGCGCGGAAATCCCTTCTCTATTGGTCCTAGAAAAATTCTCGGTTTACATTTTCTATTTGTCACGGCACCTTACGATCCTTCAGCGTAGTGTGAGTGCTAGCAACTTAGCTTGCACAACCCCTCAGATAGCGCTTCGGGGGATTGTGCTTCACTGGATAGTGCAACCCTGGACCCGCTCATAGTTTGCAAGAAGACATATGACATGGCCAATCTTAACCTGCTTTAGAAAGCTCGGCCTCGGCGCAGTCCACTCGCATTTGGCAGGGAATAAGCCTCCCTTGTTTCAACGTTGGTTTTATTGGGTTTGACCCTGCACAGTTTGTTTTTTAGGCAAGGTGCTGACGGAACTCCAAGCTGCAGAATCCTCTCCAGGTGGCTCTACTTTAATTTAATATCTTTCAATCTGGGTATGTTGGGGAATTCTTCCGATCGACCCGCTTTGCCAACGAGGTTGTGGGCCTCCGCGCGGATGCGGGATTTTCCCGACCGTTCCAGATATGTAGCCGAAGGTGTCCTCACTTTGGCCTGAGAACAAGGATATAATTTGAATAGACTCCAGTACTGGCCTGGTTCGACTTTTAAACGCGTCATAAGGCGGTCTTCTGCTAGGATATATACCGGTTGAGTTGTCAGTGCGACAGCCTGACTTTGGGGTTCCTTGGCTAGGACATATCCATTGAGCATTTGGCTGTGCAAAAACTAGTCCAGCGAGCTAAACAAGACCAATCGCTTAGCAGTGGTTCTGCACGCTTATTTATTTACCGCTGGCCATGTACTTATCGAAGAATGTCTCCTCGACCCTTGAGTTAGGTGAAAGAACAAACCCGCGGCTGATCTTGGTGAATATATTGATATATAAGATTAAACCTTCAACTAATACTGGCTCTTGGTCAATTAGGAAAATGAAGTATTCCTCGGGTTTTAACAAAATCCTGTAACTCCGTTATTCATAGTTCTACTTGGTTATATCAACCTTCAAACAATCGTATCTATATCACTATTTAGTTTGTAGGACCCAGTTTACCTTACTCAAGAGCAACAAGACACCACAAGAAGAGATAGAGATATCATTCAAGTACGCCAGCGTACTCTACATCGATTGGTTCTGCTGCATAAGTCTCCTTAACCATACATATGCACTCCATATAAGTACATTCACTCCGACGCGGACTTGCCAGCCGACTGAGTTGCCTTTCCAAAACGACTGACATAATCCTGCCCAACCTTTGTTTAAGAAGTTTTGGTTATCAACTTTTTTTTTGTCATTTTATGTATCGTCCAAATAGCGGACATTCAGTTAAACGCCACGATGCTCACGCAAAGCACTAACCTGAAAGTATAAACTAAGAACAAGGCACTGACACACCACCAGGCTTCGATCTTCACAGACACTGGGTATGTTTCTGACCATTGCTTTATTTTTCTTTCTTTCTTTCTTTTTTTTTTTTTTTTTTTTTTTTTTTTTTTTGATTTGAGACTTCGGTTACTCCGCCTGAAGGTTCGTTCACTCTCGAAGACCCAAGAGCTGTTGAGCTCAGTATCCGTCCGTCCAACTATTGAGCCGGAAAAGGCGGGAGCGTAAGAACAGGCTGAAATGTCGGTGGTTGTGCAATGAGCTCAAGGAACTCTTCGTTTGATCTGTTCACGTTCAAGTCGAGAAACTCCCTTAACCGGCTTCCACCAGTATGGGCGCAATCTTAAAGAAAACATTGTTTTGTGAAGTCATCGGTATCGATCTTGAGACGGCCTGGGCCGAATCCTTCTGGAAGACAAGTTCGGAAAGGTTCGCCAATTTCATTCTTCCCTGGCTTGCATAGTTCCCTATTGACGGGTTATACATGGTAACCGTGAAAAGAAATTCGAGATCGACTTTGCCTTCAAAATACTGAGTGGCTTCGTTCCCGAGTACTTCCAGGTGGTACTGGTACCTGCCGACATGATTATCACCCCAACTCTTTGGCTCGCGCAAAAATATGTAGAGATATATGCATCCCTCTGAAGCCTTTGTGCGGCCTGCCTAGAGGGCTCAGCCATGACTGATAAGATATCTAGAATCGAAACTGTTTAAGTCAAATTGAAGTGGACGGAGATTTGATGTTGACGGCTACAGGCCGAATCTTGCCTAGATTATAGACCTTCCTGAGGGCACCTCTCAGGGTCAGTCTGCTCATGTCTTTCTCTGTCTTTCTCTCCTTGTGACCCTCTTCGACACAGAATATTTTATTGATATGTTCCATCTCAAGGGCGGCCTCTTGACTATGCAAAGGAGTGGAAAAGGAGTTGCGACATCATTTCCATAGCTCATTACTAGATGAGACGACACTATTCAAATGAATGGTTGTACGCGACATAGCCAAGTTTCTTTGTGCATTGGCAAAGATGATACTGCACACAAACCTCACCGTCTAAAAGGTGATGTTTTTCCTCACAAAGGAAATGCCGATTTGAAAGGGGAACACTCCATTATTTAGGTGCAGATGATCGTTCGCATGATGATTTAGAACGATGCATGCATCATAATGATCAGGCTAGGTTGGATCAAGTATGTTTCATCATGATCATGAAGCCCGGTGTTGTTGCTTTCGTCCGGGTGAATAGTCGAAACATGGGTTGGGATCTTGTATACAGACAGAAGCAACGCAACACTTCCTGTACTGGGGGCTATCTATCCTAGAGTTGGGACTTGATTAAATCTTCGAATCTATTAGCCAGAAATCCCGTAGCAGTGTTCCGGCCCCTTCTCCATTTCTCAACAACAGTCCAACTATTTGTCCTTGTCAGCGTGGCCTCGTTTGCAGGGGTCAGTCCGTTTTTGGTTATTTATCTGTTTGAGATTCCAGCTGTAATTCGTTGTATGTCACATTCATTGTCAGGAATAGTTCATCTCTGACATCAACACCCCACTAGGTTGTCTGCGGTCATATCTCATTCTCCCTTGAATTACTACTGAAGGCCATATCAAGCTACATCTGCCTGCCAGTGATTATAGGATGGGAGTTCACAAGGTTTATAAGAAATATTTTTTACGCTAAGAGCAAGGCTTCCTCACTTGTAAGCTGAGCTCTCTACTAAGAATAAAAGATATTGGCCTTAGACAGTCAGAAGCGCTACGTACTAAGGGGTTGGGGTCGTGGTTGGAAGGAATAAAAGCTTCGGTACCAATGGTATACTTTTATTCGGTAGGAGATGGAGATAATGGAGTTAACGAAGCTATGCTATCTTGGGAATATTGGATAAACTCCGGGGGGTGTGACATGATTATCAGGATGGTTTGTCTCCTTTGTGCAATGGAAGTCGATATGTAGGTTTTCTAATATCATTTATTTAGTCAAGGAATTGAAATATTTGGGACCATGTCCTCGATCAGGCTTTTGAGTAGTTTAACAATCATTTAGGAATCGAACCCGTCCATAAACTCCACAGAACATATGTAGCTTGGCTATATATTACTCCGATGTCTGGACCTTAGAAGACCTCGCTTCTCCAAAGGTGACCAAAAGCCTGCCTAGAATCAACGCAAAAATCGCATGGAAATTCAAGAGTTCGTCCATCAACCTGGTCTCTTATAGTAGGTCCACAACGGTCTTCAGCCTTTCAATCATGCACTGTTATAAGGCATCTCACAGCGTAGCATCTGGATGGCCTTTTTTTTTTTTTTCCACGGTGTATTCCGTCTTCATTTTTAGTTTGATCTTAGTATATATTGACTTTAGTATTGCTCGAGCCGTGTAGGGAAATGCGTCAATGACTAGAAAGGGTTTGGCTACGATCGCAAAAATGACTCGCCCTATAAACCATGAAGATGGCAGATAGTTCAGGACGTAGGGTAAGAGTAGATCACGGGATGAACCGTGCCCGATGTCAGTAAAACATATGGACGCAGAGACACTACCTTGCCACAGCAATATATGTGATACGGGTCAGGTTGAGCTCATGTTACCCAACATAATGTATGACCCTGACCCTGGCCCCCCGATGGGTTTGTCAAACAGCTAGGGTTACAGCTCCCTAAGTTTCGGAAACACCGCGGGAGGCTACGTGAAGCTCATTGCTCGGCCTGTAGTGTTGTGCTCTAATTGGTTGGTATTGCTCGCATGAGAGATCTCTACAGCAGTATGCGGGATTTTGGTAGTCCCAACAATGTCTCAGATTTCATCCAGATAAAAAAATACGAGTTACATTAGCATTCTACCCATGTTGTTCGAACAATAGCGTAAGTCACAGGTTGGTGACTTGGCACGAAGTAAGAGTATCATCGCCTTTGCGTGGACGTCTCAAAGTTCTCCGATCGGGTATATATCGCAGTGCAAGGTTACATGCTTCTGGAATAGCCAGAGACACGGGCTCCGAGCAAAAATCGCGGATGCGAAACTACCTTCCACAGCATTAGGGTGTCCCCCCCCCTCCCCCCACAGATTCTACGAAACAAACCTACACAGTGCAGGGCACTAAATAAAGAAACACGACCCGTGGTGTGGACTCAGGTTGTGTTTTGAAGCGATTGTTGCAACCAGGGTTCTAATCTGTCCGATGCTCTATTGTGTAACGCCTGGGCCCTCCAAGAGGCAGTTAGTTCTAGGAACATGCGCGTCATGAGCTTTCTAAAACTTTTTCGTCCTTAGCTAATCCTTGTAAGGCAGACGTAAAATTGGCACAATTCCAGCGAGGGGAAAGGGAACTGAAACAGTGGCCAAAAATTCTAACTGGCAGGATATTTTTATGAAGCGGAAGAAGCCGAGGAATCTGACATAATCCGCACAGCCATCATGCACAATTGGCTGCTGTTGTGAACCTTTTTTGAGGGTTTTATTTCGAAGGCACCGCCACTTGCCGCCAGAACCAACAAGTTGAACTCGACAAAGTACCGACAGGGCTCATCCAATAGCCAAGGCGCAGTCCATAGTGGTTCGCCCAATGGACTCATTCGGGGAAAATGCAGCCAAGAGACACAACGTCATCCCTTACGACAATCAGGACTCAATCGCAATCTCCACCACGGCCAACTGCACCAATGCCAAGTCCACGAAAACCGGGATTGGTGGACGATCACCCTCTCATTTCGGCTGTAGCCTAAGGAAGACCGTGGCTCTGTTTTTTTGAGAGAATACTGGGGGCTATAAATAGTGATATAACAAAAGTGTGCGGTGGGTCAGGACAGGGGAATTGTGGCCTTGGGGCCTTGGCAAAGCACATCGAGGTCCCAGGCTGGCCTAGGGACAGGGTCTTCTCCGTGCTAAAGCGTGCTAAAGACCTCGTCGTCTTGAATATTACTCTAACGTGACGTCTCGCATGACCTCATCGGAAAAGTCGGCGTGAGTGAAAGTCAAGAGACATTCCACCTTCCGACTGGGATATCACTTGATGGACAGAACGAGCACCACATCCAATCCCACATGGAAGCCTCCGGAAGACTACTGTGGAGCCGTGGATCCAAACACGCTTTGCTGTGAAACGCAAGTCGGGCGACGGAGTACGTAGTGATTCGCGGCTGTGGTCTCCATCCCATTGCATTGCCACTGGAGCCATAACTGCGTTCTTTATGCCGATCCAGTTTTACCGTCAAGATTCACAGGGCAGAGACAAACTATTTAAGAAGCCCGATACTCTCCAGATTTTCCGGAATATTAATTTAGATCATCATCTATCATCTATCTAATCAGTGGATAACTGCCTTTTCTCATATATAACTCGCAGCCTTTACCTCCACACTCCTCTTTTTTATTATATTTTATTTTATTTTTTTTTTTTTAAAAAAAAAAAAAACAACCGTCCACATACAAACCACATTGAAAATGCAGTTGACTGTCTTGACCACCCTTCTCCTTACCACCTCCGCCTTGGCCGCTCCCCAGGACATTGGCGACATCATCTCCGGTGCTGAGAGTATCGCCCAGACAGCCGTGAACGGTGGCCAGAGCGTCGCCTCCGATGTCGCCAGCGCCGCGACTTCTATCGCCTCTGCCGCTGAGACCGGCGGCGGCGCTGCCTTCTCTTCCATCACCTCGGCAGCGGGCGCCGCGGCTACCAGTGCAGAGAACTGGGGCTCCTCCGTCGCCTCTGATGCCCAGAGCCGGGGCTCTTCGATCGCCTCTGAGGCCAGCTCCAGGTTGAGCCAAGACCTGACCACCCTGACCGGCACCAATGGCCAGCCCACCTCGACTGCCACCGTTTCCACCACTTCCTCCGCCAGCAAGTCCGACTCCACCACCACCGGCAAGTCCACCTCCAGCTCTTCGTCTTCTTCCTCTTCCTCCTCGGCCGGTAGCGCCTCCTCCACCTCCAGCGATGGCGCCGGTGCCATGCCCACTCCCTTCAGCGTTGGCGCCGGTGTCGCTGGTATCGCTGGTGTCTTGGGTGTCATGGCTGCTCTGTAAACGAACGATCATAAAAAAACCTACCAATCCCTCTCGTTCGAGACGACGATCCTATGTTACACTATACCATGATTTAAGCGGGACTATACTTCAGTTATGACAAGTTAATGGGGAAATCATGGCGTTTTGTCGCTTCATGTACATGGATACACACATATGTTTTTTTTGAGTTTTATCGATATACATACGTTCTTTTGAAATATATTATCTAGTGATATGATCTACTACAGCTGGATGCATAAACTGGTGCAAATGTTTATATACTTGAATACTTTCAGGAGCCCGTGTATGAAACACGCTAAGCCGCTTTTGTTAAAGCGTCCAATAGGGCTTGTTACGTATTTCAGTATTTCATGGTAAGGACTATCCCCTGACACAGAGTATTTTACATAGCCTGTATCCAAGCGTACATGCGCATCCTTCTCGCCATGTATCCAGGATCCCTTCTGGAAGATCACTTCGATCATCCTCATATACTGGTTGAAACCTCATTCAATCAGTCACGAGCAAACATTGTTCCCAACCCTTAATACCAAGGCGCTAATATTGAGGCCCTTCGTAAATAGATATGATGTCAATATATATTATGTAGTAAACATGTTATTTATAGTATATATGCGTAGAAAAGGCTTTTCGGCAAAGTTCGATGGCGCCCACTTGCACAGCGGTATCAGAAGCCAACTATCTTTTCGCGAGGAGCAGGACAGTATATTCGAAAAGTAAGAGCTTGTCACTAGGACCTACAGAGCTTAGCAGGAGTAGAGGTATTAAACCAAGAGCTATACGAAATAGCGAAATCAAAAAACGGTCGTCTAAAACAAGAAGAATCTTCCTCCCTAGAGACGACTACCTTGGCATTCATCCATAGACTGGATCTCGTTGGCTATGTGGGCGGTTCTTGCAGTTGAATGATCCAATGGCCGGTCTCCACTGCATCAGTCAACAAACTGTTGACGTGGCGGCCCAGCCTCGTCATGCTGCAAAGTACCTACGCCCCGCTATACGGCTGAATGCTGTCGCAGCATCTCAAATTCACAGTTTTCCGGAGTAGAATCCTTTTCTTTTCAAGTCGCTGGGGATTTATAGAAATTTTTCTAGTATGTTGAATTCTCCATTTAGATATGGTGTGGACAAGTCGGGATCGTATGGTGGACTATGAATAGAAGATGTAGAAAAAGAAGGGTGGGTGAAAATCCGCAGTCGCGTTGGCGCTGTCCCTGGACAATATCTATTTAATGAAGTGAGAGAAAATAGAGACAAAGGAGAATTGGAAGAAGGGACGTGAAGTATATATAGTTAAGCTCCCTCAACGACAGCTTCTTAAGAAAATATACGGTAGGGTTACGCACCCTTGAGATACTGTGGAAGCCTATACATATTCTGACGTGCCAGCCTCCTTTTCAGGAGTTTAGAGGCTGCGCACTCAACCTGTAGTGGCTGTGCATGCATGGTCAGCCTGATGCCAGCCTGATGCGCATTCGGCATCTCAACTCTTCTTCCTACCAGGTCCAAATAAGGCCGAATATCCTCGCGATAAACGCCTTTTGCCAGACAAGTTTCTACTATCTAGCATCTACCCATACCGTGTTTACCCGCCGAGTTAAGTCGTGCCTGTCCATGTTAGCCCGACGAGATCTCGCCGAGATGGATGGGAGAGGTGTTCAGAATGAAGAGGAGACTGAGACAAGATTGTGTCACATTCTAAAGCGACAAAAGACTGTCCACTATGACAGTTCATCCACCCAACGGCACGATCATTATACCATCGCCTGGATCTGCGCGCTGCACATAGAGATGGCAGCAGCTCGAGCCATGTTGGACGAGACCCACGAAGCCCTACCCAGGCATGCAGAGGACAGCAACACCTACGTACTTGGGAGAATCAAGCAGCACAACATCGTCATTGCGTGCTTGCCAGTAACTCAATATGGAACGAACAACGCGGCGAACGTCATGACAAATATGAAGCGAACCTTCCCCGCTATCCGCGCGGGCTTGCTGGTCGGGATTGGTGGTGGCGTGCCGAACAAGGCTGATGTGCGCTTAGGTGACGTTGTCGTTGGAACAAGGGTGATGCAGTATGACCTTGGGAAAGCCGTAGGAGACGGAGAGCTCCAACCAACAGCGATCCCTAAGGTTCCTCACCATTCGCTTGGGACAGCTGTGTCCGCCCTCCGTTCATTACATGAGCTGAACCCCAGTCGAGTCCCATCTATCCTACGGCTGAAGCTGGAAGGACACCCTGAATACTGTCGCCCGAGCTCCCCGGATCGACTTTTCCACGCGACGTATGAGCATGAGTCTACAACGGCCAGCTGTGAGGGCTGCGACCAGTCGAAGCTGGTTCTGCGAAGCAGACGGACGTCAGACAATATAATGATTCATTACGGCGCGATCGCCTCAGGGAACCGAGTCATGAGAAGTGGCACTACCCGGGACAACGTTGCTCGAAAATTGGATGTCATGTGTTTCGAAATGGAGGCTGCTGGTCTAATGGACATTCTCGCTTGTCTCCCGATTCGGGGAATATGCGACTACTCGGATTCCCACAAGAGCAAGGAATGGCAAAGGTATGCTGCAGCAACCGCGGCGGCATACGCTAGGGAATTACTCGAGGAGCTACCCGTTGCCAAAGTGCATGTAAACTTTACCTGGATGCCCAATCCTCGTAAGTTAGCTTAGTAGTCCTGGGAAGAGTCATTGCTGCTCACACTTGACGTGCAGATCAACTTTCATTGCACGAACGCCGGCAGCGCTTGCTGAATTCCCTCAGGTTCGAGCAAATGGATTCTCGGAAATCAACTATCGGGGCCGCCCTCGCCAGAACATGTCGATGGTTTCTCAGTCACCCTGACTACCAAGCATGGCTTGATCCGCAAAACCTAACGCGACATCATGGCTTTTTGTGGATCAGTGGCAAGCCTGGCGCGGGCAAGTCAACAATCATGAAGTTCGCATACTCGAGTATGAAGAGCAAATCCCGCAACAAGCATGCTATAACTGCTTCCTTTTTCTTCAACGCTCGAGGGCAATATCTGGAGAAGTCTATCTTAGGGCTGTACAGATCATTGCTTCTTCAGCTGCTTGAAGGGTACCCCGATCTTCAGGCAGTCCTAGATGCTCCTGACATTAATTCCCAAGGTCAGAATGGATGCCCTTCCTTGGACGTGCTTAAGGACCTCTTTCGTAGCGCAGTTTCAGCCCTTGGTCAACGCTCGTTTATGTGCTTCGTCGATGCTCTCGATGAGTGTGATGAGCAACAAGTTGTGGACATGGTCCAATACTTTGAAGAGCTGGCAGAACAATCCACGAATAACGGCGTCCTGCTCCGGATCTGTTTCTCCAGTCGACATTATCCCTATATAGTTATTCACCGGGGAATCCGACTTACACTGGAGGATCAGTCAGGTCATGGCGAAGACCTGGCAACCTACGTCGCAAACCGCCTTCAAATCGAAGACCCTGTACTTCTCGAAGACCTGCAGACCCAACTGCTCAGAAAAGCTGCCGGTGTTTTCATGTGGGTCGTCCTAGTCGTTGATATCCTGAACAAGGAATATCGACATAATGGGCTGGCTTTGAGAAGGAGACTCGCGGAAATACCAAGTGATTTGAGCGAACTGTTCAAGGATATCCTGAGACGTGACAATGAGAACATGGAGGGTCTCCTGCTTTGCATCCTTTGGATTCTCTTTGCAAAACGGCCTTTGCAACCGAATGAGTTCTACCATGCTCTCTGGTCTGGTTTGTCTCTGGAGGATCTGGCCGATGCTCAAATCCCGGATGTTAGCGTCCCAGATGCGTCTGACAGCCTTGACAGATTTAAGAGATGTGTTATCGGCTCGTCAAAAGGTCTTGCTGAAATCACGAAATCTAAGCAGCCAACAGTTCAATTCATCCATGAATCCGTCCGAGACTTCCTCCTCAAAGAAAAGGGTTTGCATGAATTGTGGCCTGACCTCGGATTTGATTGGGAGAGCTCAAGCCATGAGAAACTCAAACAATGCTGTGACTCCTACATGAATCATACCATAGTGCGTGCGTGTGTTAGTAACGTGTTGTCAGAGGCCAACGCTGACTTGCAAACGGGGATCTCAAAAAGGTACCCGTTTTTGGAGTATGCCAGTCAGCATGTTCTCTATCACGCCAACGCTGCAGCGGAAGCAGTTCCTCAAGATGAGTTTTTGTCCCATTTTCCTGTGTCGGACTGGATCAGTGTCAATAATATTTTCGAGAAGTTTAAAGTCCGTGAATACAGCCAGGATGCAAGCCTTTTCTATATTCTGGCAGACAAAGGATTCCCGGAGCTCATCCGCACAAGGCTCAAGGAGGATCCGCACATTCATGTTCCTGGAGAGAGATACAGGTATCCGCTATTTGCCGCCTTGGCCAACGGTAACAAAGACGTCGTTGCTGCTCTTCTGAACTCACCTTCAAGTGTGCATAATGGAGTCGATATTACAGAGGGTCTGAACCGCAGGAAAGACTTGAAGCAGTACGCATATCGCACACCACTATCCTGGGCTGCGCAGGAAGGTCGAACAAGCATTGTCAAGCTGCTTCTCCAGACAGAGATGACCGTTGATGACATGGATGCGAAGGGCAAAACACCACTTTCACGGGCCTCAGAGAACGGGCACGAGGCGGTGGCAGAGCTGCTTATCGGCAATGGAGCAGATGTCAATGTCCGTGATAATGATGGATGGATTCCACTCTTACACGCCTCATTGTATGGCCATGAGGAGGTAGCAAAGCTGCTTATTGACAAGGGAGCAG